AACTGAATCGTCTCTACAAATTTTATTAACCGTACAACTGTTCTGAAAACTTGGCGACAACCAAGTTATCGCGCTTATTAGACTTAACAGAATAATTTGTTTGGCTTATTCTATATATACAGTGGGGAGACAAAACAACTCATTCAAATGGTGCTTAGCATTTTTACACAGTGAGAGGGCGGGCCTTTTCAGTCTGTAGATTCAGTTTATTCATCAGTAAAACCGTTTTTTAAATCTGTAATTATAATAATTAACGTACGTTCTAGGGGGAATTTACAATTTGTTTGTCAGTTAAAACGTTGTTATCCCTTTCATTGATAAAAGTAAAATTGAAATCTCAGACAACAAAGCCACTGAGAACAGAATGCAGGTGGCGAGATTAAAAACACGCATTTACCTTTTTATATACAAAAAATTTCGTAAGGCATTTACTTAAACACTATCAAGTCGAATCAAGGGATCCCAACGCTGTCGCTTCGAACACTATCCCATCAGCTGTCCTTTCGTCAGAGAGATTCGATCCGAACGCCTAGCGATTGAAACGTCGGTGTTGAATCTCTGTATGAAGGCCATTAACCTTATCAATTCACTCGGTCGTATCCTAAGTACATCCAACGGCAATCTTTCAAAGGATATTTTAAAGACCATCAGTTATTATTCAGCGAGTGAAATTAAAGGTTTGTCTTACATGTAGTTGTCATTATCTCGCCTCATGTAAAACAGTCTTGGATTCTCTTCTATGCTGTGAATTCCGGATTCCAAGTACTGGATTCCCGTTTCTTGTCAGTGGAACTTGGCTACTGGATGCCATCGTAAGTGCAATTCCGGATTCCTTGAGCTGTATCCCGGATTCCAAAACCCAGGATTTCGGATTCAACAAGCAAAAATTTCGCGGATTCCAGATCTGGATACCCTTACATGGGGCGAGCTATCCGTATAAGGAGTTTCTACCTTTTTTGACTGACTGATTTTAAGCCATTATAAAAAAAGCTTAATGAATATAACTAATTGCCGCATTAAAAATCATGAAAAATAAGATAAATTAGCCGAGGATATTCCGATCGAGTTAGGGGAGCCAATCAAAATTGCTATCCAGTGATTTGGTGAATATTAAAAAACAACAATAAGTATGATATAAATTCAAAACAAAGAACTAGAAGCCTCCGCAGTCCATAAAACAAGCTTGGTGGGGGTGTACCGCCTAATTTTTCAAATCCTGACCCGATTTCAGACCAAAAAAAGTAATTTTCCACACCGGTTTTCAGACAAGATCTCTAAAATCCATACCCGTTTTCAGACCTGGGGCCCGTTTCTCGAAAGCCCGGATAATTAACAGGCCCGTAAAGCTGTTGTTGTTTGCATGCAATATAGAGGTTTTAATAGTTTTCCATCTAAAGTGATAAAACTATCAGTTAATGAAACAAAGTGGAGTAGTTTGCTAGCCAGGAGCCGTACTCTTATTCTTTATATGTCGATTTGAATATTTGATTTCCTGCCCGAATAGTTACGGACACTTTCGAGAAACGGGCCCCTGGCCTTTAGGCAGAAATATGTCATAATTACTTAGCCGTTAGAGTGAAAACAAAAAATATTCAAATCCATTTCGAATTCGCATATTTCTCTTTCTTTCTTACTCATTTGGAATTGAAACGATAAATACGTTCATACAATCCGTAGTTCCTTCGAAAACCATACCCGATTAATCCAGACCAAAATGGGCAAAGTGTATACCCGTTTTTAGACCAAAACGGCACAAAATCCATACCCGATAGGGCGGCACATACCTATATGGCTTATATAAGAGAAAACCTTTGTCGGTGCAGTTTTCATCCGCTCGATTGAACTAATCTTAAAGTAATTATTCAGCCGAAGAAAACCTTTGCTCTTTTTTTTTCTCTGCGGCATTTATGTCAAGTTCGGGAATTCTTTTATCCTTTTTTGACACTCGGGTTATGATTTGTCTATCAAGACACACGGCTCGGGCGGTACTCAAGATCTCGGGCACAGTTTCTCCCAATACGGACCTCCCAGCCAGTGAAGAACACATATATGCATTAAAGGGGCTGTGTCACGGCAGTCCGGTTGATTTTGTTTAATTTTGCCAATTACTCGCCCTCAATGGCTATGGAACTTAAAGTAAGCAAAGAAATTACACGGAAATGACAAAATCAGAGATTCGAGACAAACAAATATGTCTCCTGAGCATTATTTTTGAAGTTGCCAGCAGTAGAGGTCAACTTTGAAAAACTGTTAGGCTAAACAGTTTTCAAAAACGCTACAGTTTCAATCCGTTTCCATGTTCTTCAGTTTTGCCCATCCGTGGCATCTGTTGTATCTGTTGTGTTATTTTAACCTCCCTTTAAAGTTTTAAGCAGTTATCTTTACGTTTCTCTTAATTTAATTAAACGGGAATTTTGTAATTACCTAATTTGGCAGAATTTCGTGACACAGCTCCTTTAGATCAATGGTAAATTTTTATCCTGTAAATACACGATAACTACTCTTTAATTCATCATATTTATCCAAACAATATTCTTTAACTCATGAAAGTCCAAGTGTTAGACCTTCAAAACCCCGCAACATTTTGACCGGATCACCCGCTGGTCATAAGGTCACGTGATAAATCTCGTGACTTACTCTGTTTTTGAAATCATTGCGGTCGAGTTGGAAAAGAGGCCAATCTGCTCAGCTGTCTAGCAGCTGGCTTAGGAGCCAGTCGAGCTGAGTAAGCCACTATCTTGGTTTTGTTGTAACCACGGTGTCTAAAAGACTTACGCGACCGATATGTTCAAGCGAGGAAGGGGTATTTTACAGAATTCACAAATCTCACTTGCAGAGTTATCAGGATAATTGAAGGTGAGTGCAACATCAGTTGGTCATTATAACCTTATTTTTAAAGCTTTTTGATACAGCCTATAAAACTGGTTATTGCTGAAAATGTCAGGGTATGCTAAAGCAGAAAGCGAGTTGAATATATACAGTGTCAAGGCGGTAGTATTTTAAAACTGAGATAGCTCTCGGTTTTAAATGTTCGGCTGTTTCCGCTCGCTTATCTCCCATTCTTGTCAACAGTAAGGCCGAGTGCCATTAGCTTTATGGCTATCTCCATGGCTTACTTATTCAAACCAACGCAATAATAATGTTTACCTGTGGAGTTGTGCCTTTCTTCAACCGTTTTGGGAGCGATCTTGCATCAAAGCGGAGACGGCCGGTTTCTCCGTCAGTTTTCGTCGCGCAATTTCCAGAGTATCAAATATCACTCTCTTCTTGGGGAGAATTAAAAGTTGACAGTTCACCGTGACACTTTGGTTGGACTCCAATTTCCACGCTAGGAATTACGTACATATGTTTGATCTTGGGAAAATATGCAGAATTTTCAGGAGGTCACATTATATCGGGCAAATAATTGTATGTGATTTCTCTGAAAAGCAAATTTCACATGAGAATACTTATTGACATTAACCTTGACAATCACTATTATTTCCATTTTGGTCAAAACTTGATAGCCCTTTAATTATATAAGTGAGACTTTTTGTTTGTTGTTTTCTCCATTTTATCCATTTTGAAAATATTTATGAGATTTGTTAATAATGGTTTATTTGATCAGCTGCATATACCAATACATGTACATCAATAGTGCAGTGTTTGTATTATAACAAAATATATCAGAGGATATAAACAAGTGACAGCTAAATTTTCTTTCTCCTCAGTGAACATTCATATGGTCCTTAGGAATTAGGCTCAAAAAGTAAATGGCAAGCTAAATGAGTAGGAATAATTGTGATAGAGATTGAAGGAACATACATTAATTCACTTTTTAAGTGACATTTTCGTGGCCGTTGCAATAAAAGCGTTTTAAACTGACCATGTCTGTTTGAATTTGGGAAGCTCTAACTTATGCTTTTGGTTGGGTTTTATGATAATGCACAGCAGTGATTGAAAAATATGCTCATTTTTTTATTGCAGTCTTCTCCAAATGTATTTGAATGCAGCTCACAGAACAATTGCCTGCTATCCTTAGTGTCTACTGATCAGCCTCTGACAAGGTTCCAATTGAGTAAAAACTGCAGCTGACAATAGGTTAGTTACCATGTATTGTAAATATGCAACTATTGTGTAGTTTGGCACAGTACAGGGTAGATTTTATTAAATTACATGTCAGTTAAAGAAGTTTCACAGCTGTAGTGTGACAGGGGAATTTTGCCGAACACTGAATGTGGGATGCAGGACGCCAATGAAATGACTCTGAAGTTTGGTGTTTAGGGTTAGGAAACTGAGTGAATCAAGTGTCGGGTCATTTTTTACCAGTATAACAACTCTAAATGGAACCTGATTCACTCAGTTTCCTAACCCTGATCACTTTACTTGTAAGTCATTTGGTGTTCCTCGTTTGCAGAACACCAAATGCAGAATGCTGACTCTGAAGCTTAATGATCAGGGTTAGGAAACTGGGTGAATTAAGCTTTAGGTCTGTTTTCCCAGTTTATTGACCCTAAGTGGAACCTGATTCACTCAGTTTCCTTAACCCCAATCACTAAATTCAGAGTCATTTGGCATTCTGCAAAATTTCCCTTGCTAGCTGAATTGTGTTGTGTGGAAAAAGGCAATTTCAGGTTTGAGAGAACAAGCAACAAGGGTTTTTATATGAATGTGTGGTATTGTGGCTTGCTTGCATGTCCTCAAATCTTTATTGTGGTTTGGGTCAAGACACAATAAACATACAGTACCTGAAATATTCCCAGGTATTCCAAATCTTCTGTGTTCAACAGAAAATAATTCTAAACAATATGTACCGTGCATGTATACGTCTGAACTAGTGTTTTATCTAGGTGCGTGACCTGCCAACAGGTCATTAATTATTACTTTTTAAGCATGTAGATCAGTAGATCAGGAAGAATGCATCACTTTGTTGGATGAGTGCTTCTTTTTCAACCATGAAGCTTCTTGACTCCATCCAAAGCAAACTGCCTGACAGATTATTGGTGTGAATGACCAACAGGCTAGTTCAGATCTGCCCGTCCCCTCACTACATCACAGATGCCTAATGGCAGCTGCATCAGTACTCTACAAGATGTACACAAGTAAATGTCTAGCTGACTTGAAGGCTTTGCTCTCTCAACCCTTTGTGTTTTGATGTTCAACTCGATCCTCGTTTGCAGTCTGTCAATGCCAAGTCATGCTCTCTCTGTACCAGTCTCAAGAACCCACTCCACCTGATCGGTCTTTTATCCATACTGCAGTCAAACTTGGAATGAACCCCCAGACAATGTGGTTGGAGTAGTCACTTATTAAGGGTCCCAGTCATTTAAATGCTGTGTTAATCACCATCTTTTTTTGTCCTGATTTATGTAGCTGTTGATTCTGACCCAGAAGCTCAGTGAGCTGCTGTAAATCATTCATTGGCCCTTTTGGACCACTGTATATTGCATTTATCATTCCTTTTGTGGCTTTTTTTCACTTCTTCTTGTTATATAGAAAAAATATATACATGTATATCTTAATTTAAAAGGCAATATGTTTAAACATGACTGTCTTAAAAATGGTAAGAGACTGGGAGGATATTGATTGTTTCAGAAGCCACAAGGATCTTACAGGTACCCCTAACTGAAAATTTTCCAGCTCCTAAGGGTAACCACTGACTAGGCTTCAGAGTTCTTTGAGCTGATTTATTCAAAGGTTCAGCCCAGCTAGACATGACATATCATGAGCATCTTTTATTTGGAGTTCGGATGATGATTAAATGATGATGACTGTTTTAAGCAGACTCTAGTGACTAAGGGTTCTCTAGGTGTCTCCTTTCAAGTGAAAAGTACAGGTTTCACTGTAACCTAAACTGTACCCAAAAAAATGACAAAAGATTTCATATAATAGGGGAAATGAATGAATGTAGCAATGAATTATACCAGAAAGACTCTTGACTCTGAAGATAATGACCACACAGGTTGTCTAAATGTCAGTCACTGTCAGCAACAGACCTGTATAGAACCTGGTTGACCGTACAGTGTATTAATTTTGACCTAACCTATATAAATGGTTGAATGAACGAATTAAGTTTGAATATGCAAAATAATTTACATGAAATGAGAGTGTACTGATACAGTTCTTTAAAGTTAAGATTGACTATACAGTAGAACCTGCCACTCTACTGATTCCCACTTAATAGAAACATCCATGTAGAACGGACGGTTTTATTTGTCCCAGACAAAAACTCGTATAATTATTTCCTCTAAAACTACACCCCCTAAATACAAACATCCATTAACTAGAACAACGGAGCTTTTCTGTGTCATGAATCTCAACTCTCAAATATTGTTAACCCCGCCTTATTGAGACTGCTTGTGCAATGTTTATTTTCCTTGTCACAATTGTGCTAATTGGGAAGTAGACATTTAGGATAGGATATTATTACTTATAAAAGCAATTGGAAAGTAGTGTGACTGAAGGCTCCTTTTTGTTTTTATAAGGCTGTTAAATTGTATTTCCTCTTGTGTTTGAAGGCGACTGTACTGTAATTTTTATAACGTGCCCTGTCTCTTACGACACAAGTTTCACTGCCTTGGCTTTTTGTTGCTTTAGTTTTCATGTCAATATAATATGTGTCTGGTGTGTTTTATCTGAGAGCCCGCTCAATTGGACACCGAGATAATATGGACACCACAGCATGTCCTATTGGTGTCTCTGTATTAACTGCATGGATTCCACTTTACCCTCTGACATGTATCTGGTCCTCTATATTTAAGGATCTCTTGTTATATTTAATTAACCATTGATGAACTTATTTTGCATCTGCATGTCTGTACATGCTGAATTCCATCTGAATGAAGGTTTAATGGGATATTTTGTTGTTGATGAAGGGTAATTAATTCAAATCTCTAATAGTCGATCAGACTTACAAAATGAATAATTTAGTCACATTGCCCACATAATACAATTTGTATACCGCTGAACCTCCCATCCAACATTTTGCATAACCATTGTCTTCAATTAATAATACCCAGTTGGAAACAATCATTGTTACATGTACAGTGTATGCAAAATTTTGGGGAAGGGTGGTAAACAAGGTGTATTATGGGCAAAGTGAAAATGGTGAAAATAATGGTATTTTTTACTCTAAAACACCTAGGTTTTAGTAGTATACTTGAACAGCGGTAAGTTACACTTTTACAAGTTTTATTGAACTGATGCAGAAAGTCAAAAAGATTACTTCTTTGCACTGAGATATGATGCATTTGATGCTTTCCACTGTACAGTGTATTTTGATTTTTCACAGGTTCATTTGCTGTATTGTAATGACTTAAAATGGAATCTGCATTGGAAAGACAATGAAGAAAATCAGAAGAGAGGACAGTAACAAGTTAGTTAAGTTAATTTAATTCTTACGATGGATTTTCTGTTACTTGCATGTAGCTTTTTCATCTCTTTATATCTGCAGTGTTTGTTTACTAAACACAATACTAACTGGATGCCATCTCTACTTGCTTTAAAAAGCTCATGATTAATGTTTTTTTTTTACAAAGTGTAGGTCATTATACAATTCGCATCTACACTGTAGTTCAATACACCTGTCGCTATAATGGTTTACTTTTGTTTTACTTCAGTTCAAACTCAATACTGATTATCATCATAGTGGTGCCCGAAAATAGATTTAAACCAAAGGTGAAATACTGATCCATAACAGCCATTTTCTTTATGACTGGAACTACACTTATACACTGTAAGTTTGTGCAGCTGAAACCTGTATATCAAACAGTATATCTTGCGGACTTTAACAGGTGCTTCTTCAAAGCAAGGCTGAAAACAGGGAATTCTAAAAATGGTTCGGTCTAGAAACAATCTTTTACTGATTTTACCTGCAGGAAAAAGAATACATTTAACTTACGTATATCTTGCGGACTTTAACAGGTGCTTCTTGAGAGCAGGGCTGAAAACAGGGAATTCTAAAAATGGTTCGGTCTAGAAACAATCTTTTACTGATTTTACCTGCAGGAAAAGAAATACATTTAACTTACGTATATCTTGCGGACTTTAACAGGTGCTTCTTCAAAGCAAGGCTGAAAACAGGAATTCTAAAAATGGTTCGGTCTAGAAACAATCTTTTACTGATTTTACCTGCAGGAAAAAAAATACATTTAACTTACGTATATCTTGCGGACTTTAACAGGTGCTTCTTCAAAGCAAGGCTGAAAACAGGAATTCTAAAAATGGTTCGGTCTAGAAACAATCTTTTACTGATTTTACCTGCAGGAAAAAGAATACATTTAACTTACAGGCCTTGTAGATCTTTCGCAGCGAAGTGAATCACTCATCAAGTCGGACTAGTTTAAATTGTTCCGCGCACTAGTTTGAATGTTTTGAACCCGTTTTGAATGTTTTCTTTTTGTCTTGTTTTCTAATTTTTAAATAAGAAAATATATATTTTCTGGGGAATGAGCCACTTGTTATAAAGAGAATCGCGCGCGACTTGCTTCACATTTCTCGAGAGATTGCATGATTGCCAAAGGAAGCAGGGGAATCTAGTTTCTATTATAGGCAGTAAACTATTTTCTAACACTTTGATTGCCGTATATATTTGGTCTCCCACCGCTGAGTAATCCTGTCGATCCTGCCTGTCATTTAACTTTCCTAAAGCGCTATTATTTTGAAACACACAAACAGCTGAATAAAGCGCCCATGAGCTCACAGTCAACTTAGTGTTGCTTAGAGTAAGCTTCGGTTTCCGAAGTGATTTCGTTGGCCTTCGGGCGCTTTTTTGATTGGCCGTTGCGTTCCAAAACAATGAGGCACAAGCGAGTTTGCAAAAATTTCGATAGAAAGGATTGTTTAGCCGCGTATCGTCACAAATGACTTTACACGAATTGTACACAAGACAAAGCAATACAATACAATACAATGCAATAGTTTTTTTTTAAGGTGGACCACACACTAAATTAGCTCTATGGATTCGTTTAATAACTTCGCCAGCTAATTTGCAGATATGCCACGGATGATATATGGGAGAAGAAACAGATAACGGCAATCAGAGGGGTACGGTTTTTTGAAACAATCAACTGCACTCTGTTGGTTTAATGTCAGGTTTACAATAAAAAGGCTTGTAAATGACGAGCCGAATGCGAGTAATTTACAAGCTTTTCGGTGCGGATTGGAAGAGTTATGTTACTTCACTTGCTGAAGAGAGGACTTGGGCTTCCGCTTTAACATAGTTAAGGAGACAATAGACCTTTTTACAAATACGGCGGCCATATTGAATTAATTCGATTTAAGGAGTATTATAGGATGGCCAGGGGGCATGAGCACATTTCGTTTGTATTTTCGGGCGCTTTCCGGGACATTTTTTCTTAAAGTTTTCTTAGAATAAGATTGTAATAAGAAAAAAGATCCTTGTGCCGTGTTGGGATGATTATTACTAGCGGAAAAAGATCAAATCATAATCTTTATACCAGAAAGTGACATATAAAGAGCCCTTTTTCCGCTAGTAATAATGTAGGTTTGTGCCGCGTTCCTAGAAAAAAGGGTAATGTTAGATATTCTAAGAAAACTTTGCGAAAAAATGTCCCGAAAAGCGCTCGAATATTCAAACGAAATGTGCTCATGCCCCCTGGGCATCCTATAATACTCCTTAAATCAAATTAATTCAATATGGCCGCCTTATCGGTAAAAAGGTCTATTAGGAGTTTTTTTTTGTAAAATACGTGTGGGTTTGATTCCCTGAGCATATTTTGAAGACAAATGGATTAGAGATAAGACGCAGTAATTTCGCACAGTGCGTTTAAAATTCGATATTTTATTGTCACAATTGTTTCTAAACTTCATCGAAGTGTTTATTCATAGAAAATGTGTTTTGATTGTTTTTCATTAACCGATTTTTTAAGTTAGTATTTGGAGCTTCGAAGAACTCAATAGTACGACTTATTTCCCTTTTTAGCTCCACTTAGAACGTTTACCGGTTGACAAGGTTAAGTAACTTTATAGGTTTAAATAAAATCTCCCTTGAGATGTGTGATCTTTGACTTAAACAAGTCAAAAAGCCAAATTGCACTAGACCGTATTGTGAGCCGCGAATACATACCGGTAAAGCAAGCTACGGCTACTAATTATTTGGGTGCGTCCGATTGGATGGATTTCGGTTTTGCGATAAAATGCAAAACCCATTAACGAATTCCAAAAAGCAAGGTGGATTTTAATAAAGAAATCCTTTTTATAGATTTCATGGATTTCCTTCTTCACCATTTTATTGGGAAATTGCAGAAAACGTTTTGCAAAAATGTTCTCTTAAACAGTGGTCTTTTTCTGCTAACTACGTGTATTCCTGCGTTTGCTGTAGCGCTTTTCTTGCGCGCAGTTTTTCAAATCCTTTTTCCCGATTTCCCCCTTAACGGCGTGAAAATCTGTTTTGGGATTTCGTGTTTTATTGCAACTCCGAAATCCGGATTTCAAAATTTTCCAATCGAACGCACCCTATGAGTTTGTTGATACACTGTGTCCGCCAAAAAAGTGACACGGGATGTATTAAGACTATACATAAGCTTGGTACGTATAGCAATCGATTAATCGTGCAAAACGGCTTTAAGCTACGCCTATTTCTGTGACAGTTAAATCAAATGGTTTTGTTCAAATTAACATGAGTTTTGCTTTCTTTGAAAGTATACGCACACTCTTGGAATCTCAAGCGATGTTATATTTCTCCAGACATGGAAAGTGTTGTTTATCTGCATGCGTCAGTTGTCAACGTTTACTTACTTTCACTGCTCTGTTAGCGTTTTATAATCATGTTTTCAATTTATTACATAAAAGTGTCAGCAGTGTGAAAGCGAGCTTAATGCTACGCTTGTAGTTAATCAAACTACTGTGATGCACAAAGGAGATGCCGTGTGGGTCTTTGAATCAACTGGAAGCACTCAAAAGTATCTACATGAAGTTCCACGTCTTCATCAGTTCCAAAATCAGGCCCACTCCTTTAGTTCCCTTACTCTCCTGGGTAACGCTTGGTGTACAAAACTACATCGGGTCCTACAAAAATATAATGGAATATTGAAACATGCTGACATGTAATGTTTGTTGTTTACACTGTCTAGTGTATCTTCACAGCTTTGCCATGTGGTTGGTCAATTTCAAGTGCGCGATTTCGTTGTTTATTATTATTATTATTGTTGTTGTTGTCATCATAATTATTGTTATTATTATTATTATTGAACTTAAAAACGATGTTGGCTGTGGATGACAACATGTTGTTTCCTTACATCTCCTCTCTATATCTCCATTACCGTCTCCTACGTATCCTTTCCGACCCCAACAATGCTTATTTCTGGATCAGTTCAACAGAAGTGACCACATCAGTGACCCTCAGGTTGTCTTTCAACCTAACTAGTGGTAATGATTCTTATACTCCCACTACGTACCACCAGAATCACTTTTGCCCTTACTGATACTTTGAACTTCTCTCGTAAGATCTTGATACTTTTGTACTTCTCGTGCTTGTGCTCTCACACCTTCATCCTCCGGAATCGCCACAACTATAATTTGACAGCTTCTACCTTCCATGCCAGTAGTCTCTAAATCCGCTCTCCCAGCCCCAACCTCATTATATAAGGTACATGTATCCATTGAAAGGTAGAGTAAAGAGATGGAAAAATCACAACATCAAGGGCAAACACTTAATGACCACAATTCTTCGAAAACACTGTCCGGTGATTTATTTACAGAGGAAAAGTTGAGCCAATGAAAATTCTCAAGAAACTGTGTTTTCGGCCCGCAAACTGAGGGAAGCGGTTAACAAGTCTAGTTACAATGTTAAAAATGTTCCCCTTAGTTGAATCCATCAATTAACACAATATACTTCTGTGTTTATGCCGTGCCTTAAATTAACTCTTATTTAGAACTTTAAACTGATCATTTCGTTATACTATACCTTTATCCTCTTTAGCCAACGTTATTTTATCAAATTTACGTTTATATTGCTTAATACCCGGTCAGTGTCTTTTCCTTAGCAGCTTTTGAAAAACGTCTTTCATACCTCAAGAATCGTTTTCTCCTTCAGCCTAACCATGAGTTGCTGGGCCAGTAGCCTTCTTGGATGATTTTTTTACGTCAGGAACATTTGATCTTGACGTCTCAACGTTAACATGCACTGATGGTTTGTCGTCTTCTGACTCGGAAAGTAAGCTATCTGGGCTTTGAAACGGTGGAGGTGGCGCCACGTTAGGCAACGGAACGGGCAATAACGGTGGGAATATTGGGCCTATCTGAGGAGGAGCTGGAAGGTCATGTGCTGTATCTTCCATTGCAGGTGTCGGAAGTGGCATTGGTGTTGCAAGTGGAACTATTGGAAGCACTTGTGGAGCAAGAAGGATTGGGCGTTGTTGTAGGGGTGGTGCTGCAGCCGCCAAAGGCAAGTTGGGTATTATGGCTTGGTTGAGAGTAGGTAGAGGTATAATTGCCGGCCCAGTGGAAGATAAGTCGTTTAATGGCAACTGACTGTTATCTTCTCGTGTAGTACCGTCAATTCGGGGACCAGCTATGCCACTTGGGGGAAATATAGGATTTTTTCCCGTCAGCGCTGGTTCTTGTACGAATGGAGAAATCGCCTCTGCACCATTGTCTTGAAAAATTGTCGGTGCACGAACATCAGGAGAAAACAAACCATCCAAAGGGTTTCCTGCCCCTTTGAGTGGTAAGGCTCCAACACCAGTGGGATTATCAAGCCGTATTCCTCCCAGCTTTGGTCTCTTTCTATCTTCATTTCCACCAGCGAGAAGGTTTGCGAGTGGATCTGAGAAGACTTCAACTGGCTTATTTGGATTATTACCTAATCCAAAAACATTTCCAATTCTTGGTTTCTTTAAAGGTGCTGTCATGAATTTTGGACCTCTTCGTCTCTCAATTACACCGCCACCACCAAGTACATCAAACTGTCGTTTAAATTTTGTATTCTCAAGTACCATTCTTTTTGAAATCAACCGATTGGGCACTTGTGACTTGGCTGTTTGAACGTTTATGCTTACATGTGGTCGTTGAAGTGAACTAAGAGAACCTAAAGTTGGTTCAGCTTGAATGGGTGAGATAGGACCTTCCTGATTATTCGCTAGCTGTTCTTTTTCGTTTTGGTATTGTTGAAGGTCCTGTTGATCACTTGTTTCTAAAACAGTAGGTTGAGGAACTCCTCCAATTTGCGGTAGTGGTGCCTGGACTCCGCCTGAAAACATCTGAACAGGCTGCATTGGGGTATTCTGCAGTTGTTGGTCAGTTCCTGTTACGTCTTGTATAGCTTGAGTGGGTAGAATCTGTTGTTCCTGTTGACCTCCTAGATAATTGTAAAGCTGTCGTTTCCATACCCGTCTGTCCTTTTTCTCAGCCCGAAATCCTTTTTTGGGTTTGTTGTGATTTTCCAGTGATTCGAGAACTGTTGATCTTCTTTGTTGCCCATCTGCTATTGCTTGTCCCAAAGAACTAAGAAGAGGAATGGTGCTTAAAAGCTGACGTCTTGCTTTCCTTCCTGTTCTTTTTTCATCTGAATTATGTTTAGATATTGAAGATTTTGAAGATGTTTCAACGTTAATGCTCACTTTTGGTCGGGTACTTGACTCCGCGGACTGTGTATCTGGTAACATGATCGGTTGAAACTGCTGAACTTGCTGCTGCTGCAATAGTGGAGCATAGGCTTGTGGTAGTGAAACCTGTTGCTGTTGTTGTAACAGCTCTTGTTGTAGTGTACTTGCTACAGTTTGTTGTTCGTTTCCATTTGATTGGTAAAACTCTCTTTTATCTCCTTTTTCTCCGTTTGTACTTCTCGCCACCTTTCTACTCCTTGGCCTAATTTCTCCTTTGCCTCGTTTTGAAGCTTCAACATGAACAGAAACATGTGGACGCTGATCAAGGTTATCGATTGAAACACCACGAGATATTTGTTGTTCTGAGGATGAATCCTCCACCCGTTGTGAAGCCAAGATATTGGACTGGACAGCTATGGGCGACGTCTCGTCTGCTTTTGATTGTTCCTGTACCTCTATAGGGGTCTGCGTATCGTCCTGTTGTGCTGCTTCTTCTGACTGAAATGCTTCTTGTCCGGGTGTAAGAGGTTCCTGACTTTGATCAAAAGGTTCTTCTACATCTGGCTGCAAACCTAGTACTTGGCGTTTATAAATATTTTCGCCTACTCCATCGGATCGCTTTGATGTCTCAACATTGATAGAAACATGTGGACTGTGAAGAGAGCTTGGCAGATATCCCAATGGCTGACTTTGACTCGGTAGCGTCAAAGGTTGTTGGATCAGTCCGTCATGTGGTAGCTCTGATAAGCCATATATTTGACGTTTTTCTTTGTTTAGTTTTGGTTCATGGCCTTTTTGTTTTAACAAAGTGTTACTCTTTTTTAGTACTTCTACGTTTACTGAGACCCGACGCTGCTGTTCTGTGGAGGGTGTCTGTGAAAAAAGAGGATTCTTTACCGGTATCTGGATGCTGTTGGGAAGCTGCTCCATTCCGTAAACTTGTCTTCTTTTTATTTTTGATTCGCCCTTAGTGGGTGTCTTGTGCCTTAAATCATTTGAAGGTTTTTCCTTTAAAGACACGAACTTCCTTTTGTTCACTTCAACGTTTACTGAAACTCTTGGCCTTGGATAAACCCTTGGCTGCTTGGCTATGGCATATTGTTGTATTGTTAAGGGTGATAACGCTGGCTCCACATAAAATTGTCGTTTCTTGGCATTTTCCTTTGTAGCTGTTTTATTGTTTTTAGTCGTCTTTGGAATACGATGCTTTCTCTGTCGTTGAAGTTCCTCTAACAACATCCCATTAGCCTTTATTCTATGATTTACTGGCAAGGTGTTAAAAGCCGGCATTAAAACGCCATTCTGCTTAAATGTTTGAGGTAACACTTGCATTGCAGGAAATCGTGTTAAAAGTGAGATGCTCTGGCGCTTTGCTGGGCCTTTCTCTATTCCTGCTTTTCTGCTACTCTGTACACTGATTGAAACCCTCGGACCTCTGCTACGTTCTGCTGGTTTATAGAGCGAATAAGAACTAGGCATTCCGTTGGCAGAAATATATCCCTGTGGGGAGACTACAAACTGCCGTTTAGCGTGGGAGGTCGTACTCTTTTTTGCCTTTTTCACCGGGACTGTTGATTTTGCAGCTACGTTAACATTAATAGACGTATGCTTAGGCTGTTCGTTTTGCAGATCCGAAACCTGTTGCACGTATGGGTGTTCAGCAAGAGGAATATTAGGGACTGCTGGTAATGTACCAGGGATTATTCCTAAGGACGGAGCCATATATGGTGGTGCTTGGACAGCTGTTTGTATCGGTACCTGCGGTGCTATTTGCATTGGAGCCAAGGGTGTTCTGTAAGCTAGCTGTTGCGCTTGTAAGGGTAATGTCGTAGGTTGATTAGGGAAAGGCCATGTCTGTTGAACTGAATAAGGCCGCTGTTCTTGGATTTGGTCATTTGGTTTTTCGTATGACTGTTGTTGTGGGAGCCCCTGCATTTGGTCGTTTTCGTTAGAAGTAGTGTATTCTTCATTCGGAGTGGCTTCGTTTGTAGTTAAAACTTGAGTTTCTGGTTGGTTTATATAATTTCCTTCACCTTGAGAGGCGTCTTGTTCAATAGCTCCATTCCCCATTAGTTCGTCTCTTTTTTCTCCATTTCTTTCCTCTTTCGCCTGTAAGTTATGTCCTTTGCGAAATCTTTTCTCCCTGTTTGTTTCAGGTATTTTGTTTCTCTTGGAAGTTGCTTCGTTGATTCTTACCCGTGAAGAATACGGGTGAATGCCGTAATTTGAAGCTGCAGGTAGGACATGGTGATTTTCGGTCAGAGTTGAACTGGGTAAGATGTTAAACAACTGCCGTTTAGAGATACGTGAATGAACTTCTCGAATGTTCTCCTTGGCTTTTGGTATGTTTGACTTTGATGTGTGTACCTCCACGTGAACTTTAGGTTTACGATGGCGGCGATAGAGTGGATATCCAAGGAAGCTATTATAAAGTGCAGTTAAGTATGATGCCAGTGGGTTATATCCTGGGGACTCATTGTCGTCATCTGAAAATGCGTTATAAGGAGCGTGTGGAATCGGTGAAGGACGGGGAAGCGGTAATGCGTCAGAAAATGTGCTCTCCTCTTCAGATTCCTCTGGATAAAATGCTCGTGGCACAAGCTGGTATGGGAAACTTGAAGGAGCTGGAATCGGTAAGTAAGAGGGGTAGTTGTTCATCATTCCTGCCGCTAAGCCAAAGGGGATTCTTGGAGATAATGGCGGAATAACTGCTAAGAACTGTCTTTTTGTCTTTTTCTCGTCTGATCGTTTCTGGATGTCATGTCCAATGTCTGGAATTACCGACCTGGCTGACTGCACATTGATGTTTACGTGAGGGCGATGCTGTAGCCCAGCGATTCCCAGATAATCGTATGGACCTGCAATAGGGTGGTACGTAGAGTGGATGGGTCTCAAAAGGTTGTAAATGGATTCAGGGGCAACTGAATGGATGGCACCTCCCAATTCTCCAAAGCTTGGCGTCTGAATTAAAACGTGTGGTACTCGCGAAGGTGCCTGCTGCTGGTAAAAAGGAAACAGCTGTCGCTTTTTTCGTGATTTTATTGGTATAGATGATTTTGTAGTTTCAACATGAACTCGTACGTCCGGTGAATCATATTTGGGAGCTGCCTGCACCTGGAATGGTAATCGTCCCATTAAAGGTCGCTCAAGTCCTTGCAGAGCTGACAAATAAGACGGAAGATCAGCCATATGCTCTTGTTCAATACCATTTGATTGCCCTAAACCTTCAGAGGCCGCAAAAGCTTGGTTTTGGAGAGCAGCCAACTGTAATGAGCTGTATGCTGACGGTAAAGAAGGATGATAGTCATTTTCCGTAGGTTCTGGTAGGATAAGTTGTCTCTTCGCAATGTCGTTTTCACGTTTTGAGATCTCTCCCGGTATGGTTGATAACTTTTCATCCTGCTCTACTGCATGTTGTGGTTCTTGAACGTTGTTTATTGGGGAGAAAGATTCAAATAGTGAATGAGAGCCTATGAGCTGTCTTTTAGTTATTTTGGGGTGCCTTATAGTGGATCTCAAAGTTTTTTTTTGCGTCTGGTCAGTGATAGTCGTTCCGGTATTTTCTTTGTTGGTTGTCGGTATTTTCGAGATTGTTGATTTTGTCATTTGGGCTGTCAGTGGACCCTTCTCGTTGTGTTCTATTCGTGATCGATGAAGATTATGGAAATGTTCAAATCCTAATTCATCTCCATGTAAAACGTGGCTTGGAATTCCCACATAACTCATGCTATGTGAAATAGAAGAGCCTTGTGGGTAGAATCTGGCGGCAGGGCGGACAACAAATGAATCATGTGAGTGTAAAATAGGTTGATTCACTGTCGGTGGTGGCTGATGAAATACTACAGGGGGTTGGTGGTAAACAACAGCCGGCCGATGGACAACTACTGGAGGCTGGTGATAAATTATTGGTGGACGATGAAGTACTATCGGCGCTCTGTGAACCACGATGTCTGGTCGATGGTAAATTTCGGGTGGCGGATGGTAAATTATAGGAGGACGACTTACAACAATGTCGTTCTTTCTAGAGGCTTTTTCAGTCTTTTCCTTTTGTGGATGAAAGATCTTTCCTTTAGTACTTCGTCTCTGTTCTTTGTTTATCTTGTCTGTTCCCTGATACTTTGCGTTGTCCATTTTTGGCGTTGATTTGTACTTAAGAACATGCGATTTCCCAAAGGCATGGCTATATCCACTGCTCAACCCTCCAGGAAAATAATCCGGTGCACCTATATAACTTCCCGAATGGTAAACGTGACTCGTGTATGGAACAAAAGAAGGATGGGCAATGTAGTGTTCATGTGAGTGAAACGTTGGCTGGCTTACCATCGGCGCTGGTTGGTGAAATACCACTGGAGGTTGTCGATAGATTATTGGTGGACGATGAACCACAACTGAGGGTTGATGGTATACCACTGAAGGCTGGTGAATAACAACATCAGGCCGGTGCATGATTATATCAGGCTTATGGTAGATTTCAGGAGGCGGATGATACACTAGAGAAGGTCGGTTTAATATTACAAGGTTCTTCTTACCTCCCTTATCCGATTTGTGCTCCTTTTTGTGAAGCTTGTTTTTCCCGGAGGGGATATTTGTCTGAACATTTGATAAATGCACAGAGCGTCGATGTCGCTTTTCTTGTTTGTGAGAATGGCGATGAGGTTTCATGTTAACATTTTCCTTCTTCTGATAATCTCTAGTCCTTTTTGACTCTTTCGCTTGTCTTTCGTGCTTCATAACTTTTGACTTGGTAAAGGCTGAACGATAATTACCACTCACGCCATTCACCCGAGCAGAGGGTGCAACATAACTAGACCCATAACTTGAAGATCTTAGAAATGGACCACTGAGCTCGTTTAATCTTCTTGGTTCAGCGATCGGCGCCAAAGAAGAACCGTATCCATAACCATACCCCCAGCTGCCAGGGAAGTAGTTTGGCGCGCCAAAGTAGGTTTGTGCGTGGTTAATATGAGACATATAGGGCACAAAATACGGATGGCCCCGATAAACGTCATGTGAAGTGTACATCTGTTGGCGTACCATTGGGGGTGGTTGATGGAATACTACTGGTGGTGGATGATATATTATTGGAGGGCGGTGGACTACCACTGATGGTTGATGATACACTACCGATGGCTGGTGAATAACAACATCTGGCCGATGTACAATAATAGCGGGTCTGTCATAGATTTCTGGAGGAGGATGATAAATCATCGACGGGCGCTGAATGAGAACCATGTTCTTTTTGTGTCCTTTGCCATGTCTTTTTTTATGTTCTTTTTCTGGATGGAACTGGGCCACCTTTTTCATCTCTTTATCGCTTCCATCTTTTCCATGTTTGTCTTTCGGCTTTGCGTGTGGCTTACCTCCACGCAAATCAAGATCTGCGTTCGCTCTTCTACTTCTGCTCTGCACAGCCGTGTCTACGTGTTTGTTAGACGACACAGTTTTATTAGCAGATTCCAACTTGAGTTCTCGTGTACCTTGTTCTACTTTGGATTTTCCAAACGCATGTCCGAAGTGGAAATGCCCAAACCCATGGCCTGGTCCCCAATGACTCGGGAAAAAGTGTGGTGCCCCTACATACGAACCCCCGTGTGTTACGTGGGACAAGTATGGAACAAAGTGTGGATGAGCAACGTATGTGTCATGCGCATGAAGTATGGGCTGATGTACCATTGGAGATGGCTGATGAAACACAACCGGCGGTTGACGGTATATCACAGGGGGTCTGTGCACCACAACGGATGGCTGATGAAACACTACCGAGGGTCTATGAATTACAATATCCGGCCTGTGCAAAATAATATCGGGCTTATGGTATATTTCTGGAGGTGGGTGGTAAATAAGTGGTGGGCGATGCATTACCACCAAATTCTTTTTGTGTCTTTTCATCGAAACTTTGTCATTACTTCTATGCTTTTCAGTAGCTGAAGAGTTTTTATCAATTGGTAAACTCCTTTTATCCCCATCACTAAACTTTTCATTCTTTGAAGCACTGCTGACACTTTTTCTGAGATGTTTTGGCTTGCCTTCTACTTTTGGTTTACCAAAAATGTGACTTTTGCCAAACCCATGTTGTCCATAGCCCCACATTCCTGGATAGAAGTGCGGGGCACCAACGTAGCTTCCTGTATGTTGAACGTGCGATGTAAATGGAACGAAATGAGGGTGTGCTACGTACGTGTCATGTGCATGAAGAATTGGTTGGTGGACCATCGGCGATGGCTGGTGAAAAATCACAGGGGGCTGCCGATAAATAACTGGTGGCCTGTGAACCACCACTGAAGGCTGATGGAAAACTACAGAGGGTCTGTGAATAACGATGTCGGGTCTGTGTACGATAACATCTGGTTTATCGTAAATTTCCGGCGGTGGATGATAAATTAGGGCAGGTCGATGCATAACAACAACGTTCTTTTTCTTTCCGCGTGTCTCCTTTCCAGTTTGATTTTTTAATGTGATCTCCTCCTCTATTTCCTTTGTTTCTTTCTCAAGAGTTCTCCGACTTCCGTCTGCGTTTTCTTTGTGTTTCGGTCTATCATGCATTTGCTTGATGTCCGTCTTTTCCTCTTCCTCTTGGTCTTCATCTGATCGTTTCACTTTATCTTTATTTGCTGACTTGTGCTGCTTCGAGGAGGTATCTTTTGTTGCAGGTACCTTTGACTTTCCATACGCTAATCCATATGGATGTGGTTGACTCCACCCATAGTTCCAGCCTCCTGGGTAGTAGTGAGGGCTGCCAACGTATGTGGATTTGTGTTGTATGTAAGAAGAATGTGGTACCGGAACAGTATGGGCAACATAAGTATCATGTGCGTGCATTATACGTTGATTTACCAAAGGAGGGGGCTGATGAAATATTACCGTAGGGGGACGATAGACGATGGCAGGTCTGTGGACAACGACTGATGGTTGATGATAAACAATGGAAGGGCGATGTATAATGATATCCGGTCTATGAACGATAACGTCCGGTCTGTCGTATATCTCAGGTGGGGGGTGGTATATCATTGCTGGTCTATTGATAATAACCTTGTTCTTTTTGTGACCAGGAGACGTGTGCGATGAGCTTGAAGCATTAGCTATGTTAGCTGCCTGGTTGTGATCCGCATCCACTGTGGACGCTCTCTTTGATTTTCCTTTAGGTTTGAATTTGCTTGCATGACTCCTGCTCGTAGTCTTGTCGCTGGACTTTTCAACCTTTGATTTGCCCAAAGCGTTCCCCACATATCCACCAATAAAAGGCTGATTAAAAAAATGTGGTGCTCCAACGTACGTTCCTGAATGCTCTACATGTGAGGTGTAAGGCACAGGAACGTGATGAGCCAGGTAAGTATCGTGTGTGTGTAAAACTGGTTGGTGAACCATTGGAGGGGGCTGATGGAAAACAACCGGGGGCTGGCGATAAATTATCGGAGGCATGTGGACAACAACTGAAGGCTGATGATACACGATCGATGGTCGATGTATAATGATGTCCGGGCGGTGCACTATAACATCTGGTCGATCGTAAATTTCCGGTGGAGGATGGTAAATCATTGGAGGTCTATGGACAAAGACAGTGTTCTTTTTCTGTCCTTTCTTAATGGTTGTCTTTTCTTTATCTTGGCTTGCTTCAGGTTTATGGACTCTGTGTTTTTTATCATAATCTTTCGATCCTGTGTGGCTATCGCCTTCTATTTTGGACTTTCCGAATGCATATCTCATAGGGTGAAAGAAATGTCCGTGGTGTACACGATAAATTTGTGCTGGCTGATGAAGTATTATAGGGGGTCTGTGTATAATAACTGGAGGTCTGTGTACGACAACAGGGGCCCTGTGTATGAGGATGGGCGGACGATGCACAACCATCGGAGGCTGGTGCATTACCACAGGTGGCTTGTCAAAGACGTCAGGTGGTGGATGGTACACAATCGGTGGCTGGTGAACTACTAGGTCGACATTTTGTTTCTTTGACCCCTTCTTAGCAGTCTTTTCGTTTTGTGGATTAGTGGAAGTATCTCGCTTTTCTTCAGCTTTTGCGTTGTTGTTACTTTTGGCACCCAAACCAGTTTCGCTTTTCGCGGTAGAGGAGTCTTTCCCAGCCGTCGTTCGCTCAATATCAGACTTTCCATATGCCTGGCCTGGGACAACAGGTCCGAAGTAGCTCGCACTGGGATGTACGTATGATGACGTTGGAACCATGACATGCTGGAGATGAGGTGAAATCAACTCATGTGAGCGAATTATTGGGGTGTGGACAATTGAAGGAGGGTTGTGAAAGACCACGGGTGGTTGATGGTAGACAATTGGAGGATGGTGAACTACTGTCGGGGGCTGCTGAAACATTAGTGCTGGTCTGTGATATACAAGGGGTGGTAGGTGCATCAATATATCTGGCCGACGATAAACTTGCGGTGGTGGACGATAAATTAGAGGAGGTCGATGGATAATTACTATGTGTTTACGATGTCCTAAATGCGCAAAGGAGCTGATAGGTCGAAAATGGTAATGACGCTTACTTCCACGATGGTGATGACCATGGTGATGGTGATGACCATGGTGATGGTGATGGTGATGGTGGTGGTGATGATGATGATGGAAGCTGCGCTTGTTTAGCTCAAGTGATCTTCGCCTGCGGCTTTCTTTATTCCTCGTTTTTGATTTAATTTTGTCGTTCTTTTTAGTTTTCGCACTCTTATGATTTTCAACCTCTGATCGTCCAAAGGCATTTCCATAGGAAGCTGGGGACGGTGTGTACCCGAAACCTCTAAAGCCAGGATAAGCAGAACCACTCTGATAACCGTATCCAGGTATTCTCGCAGTTGCCAGTGGATGTACACTCGACACGCTTGCTGGTAATCCCCATCCGTAACTACCATGTCCCGGGTAGTATTGAGGTGCTCCTACGTGCCCTGGTAATCCCCATCCGTAGCTGTTATGCCCCGGGTAGTATTGGGGTGCTCCTACGTATGTTGCTGAGTGCGAAACGTGGCTCGCTTCTGGCTGATACACTGGATGTGCTACGTACGTATCGTGGGCATGGTATACTGGCTGATTAACCATCGGAGGAGGTTGATGAAATACAACAGGTGGCTGTTGATATACCACCGGTGCCCTGTGGACAACTACAGATGGCTGGTGGTACACAACGGAAGGTCGGTGGATTATTATGTCAGGTCTGTGTACTATAACATTTGGCTGGTCATAGATCTCAGGGGGTGGGTGATAAATCAAAGGTGGTCGTGCAACGACAACTTTATTCTTTCTCTCACCTTTTCTCTGCTTGCTTTCCTGCTTGACAGGTGTTTTGCTCTTTCGTTGCTTTTCACTTTTGGTACTACTTTCCATGTCTGTGGAACGTTTTGCATGTTTGTTGTGCATCCCATGACTGACCTTTGAATACTTTTTGCTTTGTGGCTTGGAGACTTCAGCTCTTCGCGACCAACCCGTTGGGTTAAACGAAGGCAGCACATGACCCATATGACTATGAAGTATATTTCCAGGGTAGTTGCTTATTCCGCCATGAGGAACACCAACGTAATGGCCAGCGTCGTTTACAATAGAACCCATATGAGATGCAAACGCCATTGGATGTAGGACAAAGCTATCATGTGAATAGAGTAATGGCTGATTAACCGCTGGAGCAGGTTGGTGGAATACAATGGGTGGTTGATGGTAAACTACAGCTGGTCGGTGAACAACAACTGGCGGTTGATGATAAACAATTGGTGGTCTGTGGATGAGAATTGGTGCTCTGTGTACAACAATGTCTGGTCTGTGATACACCTCCGGTGGGGGATGGTAGATAATCGGAGGTCTGTTAACGACTACGTCCTTTTTCTTTTTGTGCCCATCTCTTCTCTTCTTGTGATGCTCGTCTTCCTTAGTATGTTTTGTTGACTTCTTGTCTGCAACAGAGCGTTTTGACGGGTTAGCACTTTGCCGATGGAGATCCTTGACATTAGCATCTTTAAGCAATCTGTCAGAGTGTGACGTTTTGTCATTGTCGTGCTCAATATGGTGACCGTCTAGTCGTGCAACAGTAGATTTCCCAAAGCCGCAACCTGGGCAAGTCATATGTATCATGTGCATTGGGTAATGATGAATCAGATGGGAATGGTGAACTATCATTTGAGGTCCCCTGTGGATAATGATTGGCGGACGATGGAAGAGAATCGGGTGATGATGTATTATATATGGACGGCGATGAATGATTATAGATGGCCGGTGAAACACTAATGGCGGTCGATGAACTATAATTGGTGGCCTGTGAATGAGAACTGGCTGGCGATGAATTATGATTGGGGGTCGGTGAACGAGAATCGGCGGCCTGTGAAAGACGATGGGGTGGCGGTGAACTATTATGTCCGGTCTGTGAACAACTATGGAAGGTCGATGAATCATATGGCTCGGTGGATGATACAGTATTGGCGGTCTATGAATTATTAGTAGTGTCTTTTTGGTGCTATTGCTGTTTTTGTTTGCATTTTCGTCCGGTGTAGAGGATTTTTCAGTTTCGTCACTACTACGTTTAAACATAGGATATGGAAGCTCACCTTCAAACGCTGTCCATGGTTCTGCTACGGCTCTCTGAATCCTGGCACCAGCACCCATGTTAAGCAAAGAGACGCCTATAGATCGCTCAGGTCTGGTCGCATCATGAGAAGCTCCTTCCTGACTATTAGAGTAATCTGGGTGGTAAACATGAGACAGAGAATTTATAAGACTTCTCTGTATTCTCGCTTCAGCTCCAAGAGGGCTCCTCTCAGTAGTGTCGTCCAACTGTTTTCTGGTCACAGATCCAAATATTGCTCTCCTTATTCTCTTTTCTGCACCAAGTCTTTCCTTACCTTTCATTACGCCAAATGCATCTCTCGATATTCTATGTCTTAAGTTCTCCGGTTGCCCCTTTTCTTCCGTTGTTGTTTCCTTGTCTGCGTTTATTGTCTTGTTCTTATCTCCGTGATCCACACTTTTTATCTCGTTTCTGCGGGATCCTCTTACGGGAACGTGAGATTTACCGAATGTCCCAGTGCCTATACCGTGCATAAATATCTCTTCGTGAGGGACCCCTCTGTACGTAGCAACGTGGTGTACATGTGATGCATACGGGACTACTACAGGTTTTGTAACCCAAGTATCATGAGAATGAAGAACTGGCTGATGAACCATCGGTGGAGGCTGGTGGAAAACGATGGGTGGCTGATGATATACAATAGCTGGACGATGAACCACAACTGGTGGTTGATGGTACACAATCGGTGCGCGGTAGAGTACTATCGGGGCTCGGTGAACTACAATATCAGGTCGATGATAGACCTCCGGCGGTGGATGGTAGATAATTGGCGGCCGATGTATGACTACAGAGTTCTTTTTGTTTGCTTTTTCCGTTACCTCCTTTGCCTTATGGTAAATAATGTTGTTGTTTTTGTGAAGCTTCGTGCCCGTTTCTGTTTTATCCTTGCTTCTTGTTAGAATTTTATGTTTTGGTCTTGCGTGATGATTCTTTGTTACTTTTTTGCTCTTAACATTATTTCTCGTCTCACCTCCCTCTTCTTTGTAATCCTTCTGTTTAGGTACTTTGGATTTCCCATATGCCATGTAGTGAAGGACACCGCCATGTCCATGATAGTATGCATGCGGTATTTTATAGATGTGCCCAACATGATGCAGTCTCGACCCAAATAGTCTGACCGCTGGGCTGTGTACGTAAGTGTCATGTGACCGATAAACTGGTTGATGCACCACTGGCGGAGGCTGATGAAATATTAGCGGTGGCTGGTGATACACGATAGCTGGCCGATGTACAATTACAGGAGGCTGATGATAAACTATTGGAGCGCGATGGACAACAATAGGAGCTCGGTGAACTACAATATCTGGGCGGTGGTATATTTCAGGCGGTGGATGGTAAATAACTGGAGGACGTCTCACAATAACTGCATTTTTCTTCTTTCCCTTCTGATTGGTTGTCTTTGTTGTTTTGAGATTTAATGTGCTGTTTTGCTTGGTTCCTTGGGTCATTGTTTTTCTCTTCTGGAAAGAATCTGTATCTGTTTTTGTTGAATTATTCTCGTCGGTAATTTTGTTTCGTTCATATGCATGTTCATCCTCGTGGTGCGTATGCTTTAAAATTCTTGATTTGTAAAAGCCGTGTGATCCCTCGAAATGATGAACGGTATAGGCATCAGGAACCCCAACGTACGTGTGATGATGCATTACGCGTGAAGAGAAAGGTATCACTACAGGCTTTGATATCCACGTATCGTGAGACTTTAATACTGGCTGATGGACCATTGGGGGAGGTTGATGGAATATTAATGGGGGCTGATGATACACTATAGCAGGACGATGAACAACCACTGGTGGTTGGTGATAGAATATTGGCGCACGGTGGATCATAATTGGTGGTCGATGAACAACTATAATAGGTCGGTGGTAAATCTCCGGGGGTGGATGATAAATTATTGGAGGCCTATGGACTAAAACAGTGTTCTTTTTCCCGGCTTTTTCACTTGACTCATTTCTCGCCTTGTTGTTTTGCTCATTCAGGGAGGCTTTCTTAGAGGTGAGTTCCGCCGAACTAGTACTCTGTGAGGTCGTTGTGTTGCCTTCAGATGGCCTTTTTTCTATTTCAGATCTCTTGCCGATAGGTCCCCTTCCAAATAGTGGATTACCGTAATTTGTAATAACGTTAGGCACGCCCACATAATGTCCAAAGTCACGAACAACAGATCCATGATGTGTAGCAAAGAAGGTAGGGTGTACTGTGAAAGAGTCATGTGAATACAGCAACGGCTGGCTAACTGCCGGTGGTGGCTGATGAAAAACAATAGGCGGCTGATGGTACACAACGGCTGGGCGATGAACAATGACAGGTGGCTGATGATAGATGATGGGCGGCCTGTGAATTACGAGAGGAGGACGATGTACTACTATGTCTGGCCTATGGTAAATTTCTGGTGGTGGATGATAAATAATTGGTGGTCGATTGACAACGACATCTTTCTTTTTCTTGTTTTCTGTACCGTTCTTGGAGTCATCGGAGTTCCGTTTAACTTTTTGTTTCCAAATTCTATTAAGAGGTGTACTATACTGTGATCTAGTGTCCCTCTTACTTATGGGACCGTTATTCATGTCCGTGTAGCTAAGCTTTTGTCTGGCACCGTCGCTTGACGAAATAAAGGCATATGCATCTTCGGTATCTCTTTTGTTTAATGGACTTCTCTTCCATAGGGATGTAAAGTAAGCCATATAATCGCCAAGACTGTTACGTTTTGTTTTCTTCTTGTGGTTGTCTGAATGCTTAAGGCCCTTCGCCTGAGTACTACTTCTATGAGGCACATGTCCTTTTCTGAAAGAGCAGTGACCGCCATGACAATCGTCACCGTAAGCTCCAGAAAACACGTGATTTGGTATCCCGTAATAGGTCTTCTCATGCGAAACTGTCGAAGCTGTGTGGAACACAACAGGCTTTGTCACCCACGTGTCGTGAGAGTGCAAGATTGGCTGATGCACCATCGGTGGGGGTTGATGGAATACAATGGGTGGTTGATGATAAATGATTGCTGGCCGATGAACAACAACAGGAGGCTGATGGTAGATGATAGGTGGTCGGTGGAGCATTATGGGAGCACGGTGAACCACGATATCAGGGCGATGATAGATTTCAGGGGGTGGGTGGTAGATTATTGGTGGACGATGCATCACAATTTCGTTTTTTTTCTTCCCCTTTTCGTCTTTTGCGTGTTGGGCAGGAAGAGACGATGCAGCGTGTTTATGATCCGTTTTTCCCTCAGCTTTTGATGATTCTTGGTCGGCCGGAAGGGATTTCGTACTTCGACGGAACTTGCGTTTTCCCGGTGACTTTGATGAAGCTGCCTTTATTCCGTGATAGCGTTTAAGCGTTTTTTCCCATTTTTTAAGGTTTACGCCTCCTTTTTTACCATGTTTAGTTGCTTTCCTCTTTTCAGGGTGTTCGTTTAAATTCTCCGTTTTTAATTCAAACGTTTTCTCGTGCGAATGTTCTGTCTTTGTCATGTTCTTACTTTTCGTTCCCGAGAGAATAGCAGTCTTTTTGAAGGCCCTTCGTGGTGCTTCTGACGGCCTATTTCTGGTTCGAAGTGCCCTGGAAATACCAGCTTGCTCTGCATTGGGCATTTCTTCTAACGCACCTTCTTGTAAGCCTCCAGTGGTACCCATTTGTCCTAACGGATTGAGGCCAATTGCGCCCATGCTATTCATTTCGTTCATTCCGTTCATCCCGTTAAAAGCATTGTTTATCTCATTCATTCCGTTTAAACTGTTTAGGCCCTCAATCCCGTTCATAGCAAAATTCGGTCCGTTCATTCCTTCAAGCAAGCCAGGAGGAGGATTTCCTTCCACGTTGATAGGTGGTGGCATCGGTGTTATTATATTCTGCCGCTGAGTAAAGGACTGGCCTAGTCCCAATGGTAACTGAGGCATTGTTCCTTCTTCTGGCGGTACTCCCATTTGAGGTGGAGCATTTATGCCACTTGATATTGGAATATTGTTGTAAAACTGCCGCCTATATGGCCGGTTCATATGCCTGAAACGCCGCTTGTGCCTTCGTCGCCGACGGTATCTTGAAACGTCATCCGGCTCCTCCAAACGAGATCTTTCGTACAAATCAGAATCGTGGAAATGGTGTCGATGCCTGTGTGGGTACCAGTAAGGCAGGCGACGACGATAGAAAGGTGCTTCGTCGTAAAAATTCTCATAGCCACGCCTCTCTAGGAAGGGTGGATATGGATTGAAGAAATGGCGACGATGGAAATGTCCGAACGATCTCCGCATACCAGGAAACCAATGGTGGTGGGGGTGGTAAGGAGGATAATGATAATGAGGGAAATAAGATCGCTCCTGTGATCCCGCCCCAGAATGCGAACCAGGGCGTGAAACCACCTGTAATGAAGCAGGTTTGGCTTTAACTTTGACTCCTGCAGAATTTGCGTTTATTTCAAGATCAGCAGATTTGTCGTCTACTTGAAAATGTCCAACTTCCGGCCCATTGGATGGTTTAGGCTCATTGTCTCGCTCTGCGTAGGTGTCAAGTTCAGGTGCTCTGCGAGTTTGAGTTGTTACTATTTCTGACCCGCTGTTTCCCAGTGCATCTCGCACCGGGCCTACCGGTGCGCTTTGAACTTGAGGTGTTGTGGCCGTTAGGCTGCTTTCCTGAGATGACATTCCAGGTTTAACGGATGGGCTGTTTTCTGGAGAAGCTATCGCGTTCTGACTGGCTGAGGTACTCGTTACCGGTGGTGGAGTTTTTATTGCTTTACTTTTACTTTCATTGGCGTCCTCTTGTTGCTTGTTGCTTGGTTTAGTTAAAGCCTGACCAGAACTAGCCTGATTCTTTTCCAGTTGTAGAGAAAGGCTTGACGAATTAGCATTGCTTTTGTCATTAGGGATATTTTCAAGCTTGTTGACTTTGCCTACATTGTTTGCAACACTTCGAACTTGCGCATTTTCATCTGCAGACGGCTTTTTTTCCCCAACACTTTGGCTATTTGTGTTTTGATCGGCCGCTTCTTTATTTTGACTGTCTTTACCAGCAACAACTTCTTCCTGCGATGACGAAGCACTGTTCCCATTTGTCGCTTCTTTTTTCTGTTTATCGATCATGTTTTCATTACTCGGCAAAATGTCTTCATTCTGGTGTCCTTCATTTATTTTATTATCATTTTCCTTTAATTCCTGTTTCGCACCAGAGCTATCGTCAGACACTCTCTTTTCCTCCTCCACCGAAACAGCAGATGATTCGCTTTCAGGCTGGTCGACTTTCGACCGAACGATTTGTGCACTGTTCAAGTGTGAAAAGTCAACATTAGGATCCGACGTCAAAGGCTGAATTGGTGTTTCAATACCTTGTCTTTTCCCAGGCGTAATACTTAACATTTTCTGCCCCTTACTGTCCGTCTGCTCATCCTCCACTTCCAGCGGACTTCTCTTATAGTGGCCATTTTTATAGTTTACAAGTTCTGGCCAATCTCCTTCATAGATAATGTTACCTGCTGTATTTGGTCTCAAAGAATCCGGTTTCCGGTGCGGTTTTGCTTCTACCGGACAATGGTTTCGTAGGAAAAGTAGTAAAAAACAAAATATTAAAGTCGCCAGAATATTTGGCGGCGACCGGCCAAACATTATGTCGCCTTTCAGTACATTAGACTTTCCAAGGAAGTGAGCGCGTTCTTTGGAACCATTATTTTGTTATTACATCACAGGCCATTTCTTGCGCCGGTTTGTGAACAGAAAAGGATGATATAAGATAAGCGGAATTTGAATTAAGTCGTCTTATCTCATGAATTCAGTGAATCCAAACGAAAGCCACCCGTTAGCTCCCAATCAAAAGTACACTTGATGACAGGTTAATTTGCTACGGTAATTATGTTTTCTCTCTGTGAATGGTACGTTTGTGATTTGGGGTGCAGAAAATACTGGTGTTATCTCACATTCAGTGAACATTCGACAGTGTCAGGATCGAACCTTTTTATGATACATCTTTTGAGCAACCTATTTTATTGAACAATTAAACAAGACGCGATAATTAGGGTAAAGTGTCGCCCATCTGTTTTACAATTGCCGCCGTTATTATATATTGGAAGTTAAGTATTAAGCTTAGAAGCAATACAAATCTCGGTCATTAAGTACGACAAATGTAGTTTAGAACTTGCACCAAAAACCGTGTTTGTTTCTTTACCCTGTGAATTTAATGCAGATTATATAAACAAAATATTAAGCCGTAGGGCAAGTAAGGAAGACAAAACAAATTTTTCAGTTTCTTGAAAAGTGACGCTTTAGTGATCACGATACGTTTTGCGTCTAGTTGTTTCCAAGTTAACCCCCGACAACAATTTTGCCAGTATTCCCCTAGGGACTATCAGACGAGAAAGAGACAGAACGGATTGCTATACTTTTATTATAGTGGAGAGGTAAGGTTTTCTCATTGAAAAATATATTGATTACAGTCGGAAGAAAAATGCATACAAAATTTACCGGAAAATTGTTTGACCCGGAAGAAAACTGGTAGGAGGCAATCTGAATAGTCTTATTGCAAGACAATATATGCAACTTGGCAAAAAATAAGCGGAGACTATCAATGGCAGATTTGTTTTCCTTTCTTTAAGTGAACTTTATTTTGAACGACTCCAGTTTTGTAGAAAGACAATCACCCGCTCCCTCTACAGGTGACCATGTTTTCCATCTTTATCGCCCTAAACAAGCAGTTATCGAGATCTTTAAAACAGGAGCTATCGAGTAGTCCTTATCTTTTAAATAAATATAGACTATTTGGAAAAGGCCTACCGAAGGCAATTGCACTCAAATCTCAAAGCTATTTACTCTCGATCCTTAAAACCCTCTTAGCGTTAAAGATTAAAAAGTGACCCAGAAGAATCACAGTTTTTAAATAATTAGATAAATAACAAAGTTTTAACGGTCATTTGAATCCACCTGTGTCGGTAATATTTCTGGCAAATAAAATAGAATAGAATTTTTACATATCTAGAAACTTTGTCGTGTTTGTTTGTTTGTTATTATAATTTCTTTTACACTGATGAACTTGTTTGTAGCCAAAAAAGACCTATATACCGTGTTTGTTTTCTCCATCGACAAGGGAAGATGGAAAACTGTACATTTCCAAATGTGTATGATGATGATGACGACAATGGTGATGGTGCCTATGAGTATCGAAGTTCAAATTTGATTTACATGCAGGTTAAAATTAAGCAATATAAAGCGTTTTCGGGGTTTGCATCGCCTGACATAAACACGAGAGGGGTTGAGAGAATTCGAGACAGATATGCAAACCCGTGACAAAGTCGAGGATTTGTATAACTGTCGAGAATTCTCCCAACGCCTCGAGTGTTTATATCAGGCTATGCAAACACAGGAAAAAAGTTTTCTCTTGCTTTTAACAAATAACTTTCCCGAGAAAAAACGCAAAACTCTTTGTTATGGCTTTGATTCAAAGAGAAAGTCTTACCAGTCGCAAAGTCTTGTACACGAAGTCTTGCACGCGTAATCAGTTCTTGTTTTCCAAAAGGATGCTTTCCAAAATACGGATTTTTCTCACTTAAAATGTCAGCTTTAAACGAAACAAAAATTGACACATCGTCTTTTTAACGATTTTCCAAGTTTCAGCCGACGAAGGAGTGGGTAAATTAAGTAAACTTGTCCAGTTTTTAACTCGAAAACTTTTTCAAATTCGTGCTCGCGTGATTAGCGCGCGAAAAGCAAAACATTTGGACGTCACAACCATGTTTACATACTCTCACGCAAACACTCCTCTCGGCCAATCAGAGCGCGCCCACTATCTCAGTTATTTTATGATATTGGATAGCAAATCGTTGCTTGCAGAGGCGTAGCCAGCCCATAGACCTTTATGCCTGGGCCTACAAATTTTTGGTTTGATCACTCTACCGCTTGTAATAAATTATGCGTTGTTATGGTGAGGTAAAAAGCTCAAAGCTTAAAAGAGCTCAAACTGATGGTGAGGTCAGTGCATACTTGTAATGCGTGAAGTCTTCAGGATATGTGGTAATCAAAGTCATGCAGGCCTACAACTAGTCGAAAAGCTGGCCACGCCCCTGGCTTGCAGGGTGTGCCGTGGTTATTTACAAGGTTGCCTCATATGCATTATTCCGTTTTTTCGTAGCCAATAAGCTTGGACATTTTACGAGGTTTGCTAAATATTCTGATGAAATATATGGCGTTTGGACCTTTGTGTCGACTCGTTTTTCGCTCGATAACAGGCGTAATGTTTCACGAGTTTTGTGTGTATTGGTATTTCAAATTACTGCTTAATACGCTTTACTATAATGCGTGTATAATCTCTATATATAAGGTAAATGACGTCGCGATTGAATAATAGAATATCTGTTTGAAGTACAGGGTGTTGGTATAGCGCTGGTAAAGAAACGGTGTTGCATATACGAAAGCATGGAGCGATGTACTTATGCGTTAGACTTAGGCGTGTGACTAAAATAAGTTGTTTCAAATTTCATTTCTAGGCTTGGGAATGCTATCTCTTTTTGTACTTGTAAAGTCTTAAAATACTCAAGTTTAGCTGTTGCCTGACTGCATGTACATAACTTGGAGAACGCAAGTCAATAGTCATAGATGGTGAGAACATTTATTTTTTAAGAGTGCAAAAATCGTAGCCCTTAACATTTCTAACGATCTGACATGGAATGCCCATATAACTAAGGAATTTAAAAAGTATCTCATTAAGCTGAAAAGTGTCAGCTTGTAAAGGTCATGTTTTTGCGTTGTAGTCATGTATACACTCCATCATAGACTTAACGCAGCTCTAGTATTTCACCATGGTCTACCTCACTAGTTATCGCATGAGTTAGAGCACATCTAGAGAAGAGCGCTAGCAATTGTTATTTGCCCATGTAAGGAGTACTATAACAGTATGGCCGTGTTCACACTATACTGGATAGAGTTTGCGCCGGCACGAAAATTATACCGGATAGGGCTTCTGTTCACACACAAGAACGATGTCTGCCGCTATTTCTTTGTGGGCTCGCCCATCTCAAACGTGGAGCGTCACATATCGGATAGTTTCTGTGCCAAACTTTGGTGCAGTGTGAACACCTAGGCAAACCGTCGCGGAAGTGAATAACTAGGAGCGATGACTGGAGAGAACTGAAACGGAAATAAAAATTCAGGATTGAGGACTGGAATTTAGTGCACCAAGCCCTCTCGACCAACTACGCCGGCGATATGTTGGACGTGTGTGATCGACTGGCTCCAGTCCCGGCCGTTACTGTTCACAATATACCGGATAACGTAGCCTAAGAAGGCTATATAGGCCTTTCCGCAATAGCACAACATAGTAAGCGTAAGCAAAGAAGGCTTTTTCTCCCAGCTTTTCCACAAGATCCACTTGTGCACGTTTAGGGTCCCACGTTATTAGGTTTAAGAATGTTTTGTTGATGGCTTTATTTCAAGAAGCTAATATTTTACTAGATTAGTGTTTCTTATTGTAGCTTACATGATACCTTTACATTCGATATTAATAGTGTATATGTTGTGATTCAATTATATCGTTTGTTAACATTTTGATTCTTCTTTGTTTTAAACTCGTTATTATACATTACCATACCCAAAGACAAAGGAAAATATTCGTTTAGATTTCATTACAGGTATTATTTAATATGTATTACACAAATTCAGCCACATAAGGCTGTGCCGTGTTTTTTTAAGTTTATATCTAGCCATGTGAGGTATAAAATCGTGGGAACTGAACTTCCTTGACATAATTTTCTAGAATGGCATTTTAATAGTTAAGAGACAAAGAAACTTATCCGGCACCATGTTGAATGTCGTTCCCTAAGTCAGCCAAAATGTGCATTTAAAATATCTTTACTCATGATCAATTTTCCGCGCAAACACGAGATCGTCATTTTTTGCGTAATAACACATTTGATCTTGCTTCTTCACAAAAGATTTTTTCGCCAGGGCAAGTCGCACAAAATCAAATCGGATCGCATTTGAGCGACTCGTTGCGGTGAAAAAATTCTGTTACTGGGACGAAGATGTTAAAAATTTTAAGCTCTTCAGTACATACGAAGCTATCTGTCCCTGAGAAGTGTCGCCGCTATTGGTTGCCACAAATTGTCAACCCTGCACCTGTGCGCACCGCGACATGTCGTCTAGTATGTTTTGACCTAACGGAGGACCTACGCAAGCGAAAAAATAAACTGCGCTGCATAGAAGGACTTTTTAAAATAAAATTGAGTCCAGCCACTCTTAAAATTATTCTGGTTAAACTGCAGGCAAAGTTTTGAAAAACATTTGACGTGGTTATTAGCAAACTACTTCCGTGTCAACTTGCTAAGTGCGGCCACAACCACAAGTATCAACACCAGTTAGCAAAATGCCCTATTTTGTGGGTGCTAGGTTGTTAACCCTTTAAGTCCCAATAGTGACGGACAACAATTTTCTCCTAACGATGTCCATACATTGTGTAGAGATAAAGTTATGAGAATTAGTAAAATGATCACCAAAGAGAAAATGCCTTGATTTTTTTTCAAATTCTCTCAACTAATTCTTAAAGAAAATGTATGGAGATCAAGTTTGGAGAATTTGCATGTGGATGTTGGGCCTTAAACGGTTAATATGTCGTCTACGTACTTGAGGTTCTTGTAATGAAAGCGCGTTATTGACCTTTTAAGCACCGAACATTTTTTCTTCTCTCATCAAATCTGAATTATATTTTCTAATACCTAGGTCAAGCTTGCAAAGTATATGAAACTTTTAATGATCATAATAAAGATTTAAAAGATCATTAAAGTTATAGATGTGTTTAGGCTTAACCAATTGATTTATTTTTTAAATATTTCACCTATTAATCTACATCTGTCAGCCACTAAAACTAATGATAAAAAATGGTTCCATTCCAGTGATAAATAATCATTGGAATGAGTCACAAATAAAATACACTACTGTTTTTCTCCTGAAAGTGAGGCAGGGGGGAATAGCCTTGTTTTTGTTTTGCTTGTTTGAAATTATTTGAGTGAAGTGACTGTGAGCAAGCCTGCGCGGCTAAGTTATGTGTAAAAAAACATTTACCATTTACCGTCCATTTAAAAAGACAAGCTGAAATTAGTCTAAACAAATTAATTTGCTTTCCAGTGGGATACTTTAAAATCGAGTGACAATGCTAACGCCAGACCTGTCCTGTTTGCGGGTGTTAAGTTGTTTAACATGTCGTCTCTTTAAGGTGCACATACACATACACATTCTAAACAGTATCAAACCACCCATCTAACACCTTATTGACCACTGTGAATTTGATTTTCTTTCTTTTTTATCAAATCTGCATTATCTTTTCTAATAACTAGGTAGCTTGGAAAATATATGAGACTAAAGAAAACCATGAGTTTGAGTAGTGTTCATAATTAAAATGTAAAAGCTATAGATGTATTTAGGCTCAAAAAAATTGATATATTTTTACACTTGTCGGCCACTAAAATTAGTGGAAGATAATAATTAAAATAATTATCGGACTGATAAAAAAATCTTGTTGATAGCCCAGCCTGGGTCGATAGTTGCTTGATTATTTAAAAATAAGTATACTGCATAAAGTTCTAGCAGGACCAACGATGAGACGGACCACGGATCCTTAGGGTTATAAGCAAGTCATTTTCTGCGGCCACAATTCTGCCACTGTTCCACTGATTTACACTTGGTCCTTCCGTTTAGCTCAGTTAACGTGATTGTAGGGCTGCCACCGTATATTGCAAACAACAGGAGCGCTTCAGTACGCCAAAATAGCCGCAACAATTTTAACAAAGCAAAATCGTCCATCCTTGCTATTCAAGCAGGTGACCAATTCAAGATAAATGAAATTAAATTATTAACGTACGCACAATAAATTTGCAGGATGTCGAGGGAAATAAGTATCGTCGCTTTTTCGTCTCCATGCACATGCATATATAACAGTACTACTGTCTTTTCATTACTGGGAAATTAGACGTACTCTAATAATAGGCAATATGTTCTTAAACTCCATTTCTTGACATTTTCGACCTCGATTCCATGCCATGTTTGTTTAGCTTGGCTGCCAACTACAGAATTGCTTTAGGCGGTAAAGAATCTTTCCTTTAGTTTCCAGTTTTTCCGTGATGTAGAATACCACTCTCAGAATTGCCACCGAAAATTATTATGCGCTCCAGTTATTATTTTTCTTCTACTCTTTTACTGAGATACAAGAATCACACAATTTTTTTTCCTCAAGTTCCCCTACGGTATCAATTTCCAGTGAGATAAATAGGTTAAAAAAACTCTTTTACTGAATTGTGTTTTTGTTCTGACTACGTTCGATTGGGTTTGCCGTAGCAAGTTAAAAGTTATTCACGTATGTACTGACCGTTGCAAAACAACACAAACATATTGTCTCAGTTGTTAATAGTATTAGGTTTTGAGCCGCGACTTTCTTGATGCTTGTTTAAGAATGCAGCGTGTATACACCTTCCTCCGTAGACTTAACAGTGTTTTAGAAGGAGGGATAAAGGAAGGAAAACATGGCAATAAACAAACAAGCTCACCAATTAAAATATTAGGAATTTTGTTTAAAGAAAATCAAACACCTTCCTGATCAAACACTTTATAATTGAGTGAAAAAATTGCCACCAGCTACTAGCCGGTCAAATTTTGGTTAGTTGTTTCACGAAGTGTTTTTTTTTTAAGTTAAGTTAAGTGCTCATGCAAACAAATTCGGAAGGTTCTTCCGGCAACTTACAAAAGAGTCTTTGAACGTTTAGATCTACAAAGATAACATGTGAATGACTAACCCAATAATATTTAGCCTTGAATTATGTTTTGAGGTACGTTAACGGTAACTTTGGTCCTCAAAATTGCTATGGCTGTCAGCTAAGGTTTAACTTGCACAGATGTGACTGTGAAGAAACACGAACCCATATTTGATTCTAGAAGTTACCGCGACTTCCTTTTGATACTGACGTTTAAAATGTTTTTGTCTCGAACAATTGGTTTATTTAGTCAAAATATGACCATTGTTCTACACTTTTCAGCAACTAAAGCTACTAATAGAAAATAATAGCATAATTGTGCTAAGATAGACAAAATAAACTCATCGACAATCGAATTTTTAAAACGTACTTCCTATTGTCATGGAGAAAAGTAGATAAGACAGCCCCCCGATTTTTAAGTTTATGTAGTCACAATTCTGTCACTCTTTCATTCATATTAGCAGTCTCTACGTTCAGTTAACCATTGGAGGGCGCCACCATATATGGCAAAACACCAGAAGGCGCCTCTCTGGGAGAATAGAGCCATAACAATTTGAACAAAGCAAAACCGTCCTTCCTTGTTATTCTAGCAGGTGACCTAAATAAGTTATTAATGAAAGTAACAAAAATAATATTGCAGGAGATAAAGAAAAATAAGTACGGTAAAGTGACTTTCGTATGTAAAATCTAGAAATTTGGCTTTATGAGAAAGTTTTATACTAAATATCAAGTCCCTCCTTTAAGTTAGGTTTAAATTTTGATCTCAGAAAAGGAATTCTTGTCTCTCTTTAATGTTTTATTTGCCACGTTATTTTCAATATTACAAAAGAATATTTAATAGCTTATGTAAAGGATCAAATAAGTATTTGCAAGACCAGTGCTATCTCAGCAAGGGCTTGGTTTGGTCTTTCGTGCCTCGCGAAGGACTATGGCTAAGCAACGACAAAATCACGCTGTTCTTTTAATTTTTATAGTTATAGCAAGTCTTGTAGTGTTACATGCGAAGCCCCTGGCACAAGATAATGAGGAAAAAGAGCGCTTAAAAAGAGACGAACCCGAAGAGGACTCTCCTCCTGAAAGCTCTCCTGATGAACAGTCAGAGAAAGAAGGTGATAAAGCCTCGGAGGATAAACAAAACAAAGCCGACGATAACGAGGTAGACGAACCTGAAACACAACAGGTTGAAGAAAAAGAAAATGATGGCGATTCTGTTGAACAAAGCGCTAATGACAAATCGAGAGAGGTTGCAGATGAGTCAGTAGAAAGTGAGAAAGACAGTAAACAAAGAAGTTCGAAGAGATGGTTTCATCACGGTCTTGGGTTTGGTCCTTGGGGCTATCCAGGATTGGGTGGTTTACACGGCCTTGGATTTGGAGCTTTCTATCCCAGTGCAGCACCAGCAGTTGGTTATGGGCCCGGCTATGGGCCCGGTTATGGGCCCGGTTATGGTCTTGCTGGCTATGGTTTGGGATATGGAGGTCTTGCTTGGCCTGGGTCTTGGTATAAGTCTAACGTACCAAGAGGGCCACAAAATCAAGGTTCGTCTAAAAAGTTTGGAGTTGAACACCCTTGGGGGTACGGTTTAGGGGGATATGGTTTAGGGGGATATTTTCCAGGTGGCTTAGGTGGCCCTTGGGGAGGGCCCTACGGAGGCCCATACGCCTATGGCATGGGGGCTTTTCCGGGTTATGGATATTTTCCTAACCCCGCCTTATTTGGTGGCGCTCTATTTCGTTCTGGCGTTCCAAAAAAATCTACTAGTAAAGACGGTAGCAGAAGAGAAAATATAGCGAAGAGGTTTCTCGGTTATGGTGGTTACGCAGGCTATGGTCCATTTGCTGTTCCCGCAGGCTTTGGATATCCCGGATGGGCTAATTACGGACATCCTGGTCTTGGAGTCGGTGTGCCTGCTTTTGGCAGCTATAGCCCTTACTTAGGCTATGGCCCTTTTGGTTCGTGCTTTTATAAGTCTAAAGTCCCGAAAGGCAAAAGAAACAGGCGCGATACACCCGAAAAGGCAAACAAGAAATGCTGTGGAGGATGCGGTGATTCCTTCTTGGGCTGCGGTGGATACGGCGGCTGCGGTGGATGTGGCGGCTACGGTGGATTTGGAGGCTGTGGTGGACTTTACGGTGGGTATGGTGGATTGTATGGTGGATATGGTGGATTGCCTGGATTACTGGGATGGGGACATGGACTAGGTTATGGAGGATTTGGCAATGGTGGATGGGGATGGGGTGGATTCGGTTATCCTGGCCATGGTTGGGGTTACGGTGGTTGTGGAGGATTTGGTCCAGGCTGTGGGTGTGGTTGTGGATTATACAAATCAAAGATTTCAGAAAACGATAAAACCAAGCAATCCCAAACAAAACCGAAGAGAGAAGCAGCCGAAGAAGAAACAGAAGAGGACAAAGCCACAGAACAAACACAAGAGAATGAAGAGTCAGAGGATAAAAAGAAGGACAAAAGTAATTGTGGATGCACACCACAAACAGACAACGCGGCAAATAGCAAAGCTGAAAAGAGATGCGGTTGTGGAGGTCCAGGATTTGTGGGATTTCCTTTCTATGGAGGACTCGGAGGTTACGGTGGTTTGTTAGGCTATGGCGGATACGGATTTCCTTACCTGGGCGGCTGGGGTTATGGTGGACTAGGCACGTTAGGATTTGGTTACGGCAATGGATACGGTGGATATGGATTTCCCTGTGGAGGAGCTACTGAGGTAGGTCATTTTGAAATCGATAGAATTGGACTAAAAGTACATTTAAACACGAAGGCGCACAATTAAGAAAGATGCGGTTTCACTTTCAACAAAAGATACAATTCTCTTCTTTGTTTGCTCACCCCAGTTTATTTGAGAATTGAGAAGATGGGTTTACGCCACAGTATTCCGGCAGATGTAGTATCTTAGGCAATTAATATTCTATTCTTGTTTTTGTCTTTCTACATCAGGAGCAGCTGCAGAATTAAAATTCCAAAGAACTATTTATTTGTCGATTCGCTATCGTCTCGTTATCTGCTAATTGACAAATAAGTCCTGTCTTTTTTTTTTTTTCATGGAAAGCTTCCGTTTACATTGAGCCTTGTATTTTAATGTAACAGTCCTGTAGCTCTTATGCCTGTTTGTGCTATACCCTAAAGTGTCACGAAATTAGAAGCTAGTATTGTTAGCGACAAATTTCACGAACAGCAATGAGAATAAATGAAAAAGTATGCTGGTAAATGATAGTTTTGGTTGATTTCTATTACCTTTTTCAACCTGCAATCGTGTTTTTATGTTTCTTTTTAATTATTATCATCATTATTATTATTGATTAAAGAGAGGTACAATATAAAGAAAATAACGCACTATCTATGCAACTCAATAGATGAATTGAATGCTACATTACGTAATGTACAATACTATGGAACGCTACTTGGGGTCAATAAATTAAAGAGTTCAAGTGATGGGTAATGTTCCATTAAAAGAAGGTTTTGCTTGAGTTTGAAGGAAAAGTTATTTTTTCTTAAGAATAATGTAATTAATTGAAATTCTGCATCACTACTATTCGGTTGCAAATGTCCACATACAATTTGTTTAATATTGAAACTAGAAAGAAAATGTGATGTTGAATTTACTCCAGAAGGAGATTTCTTTAATCGCTAAATACAGTAATGTTTCAACAAATTGTTTTCTAAACAGCAAATAGAACTCCTTCTTACTGTTTAAGTTAATTACCTTAAATCGAGTTTTGCACTTTTTCAAAAACAGATCCTAAATCCAGGTGGCTGTGGATACACTTCTATGGGTGGATGTTGCGCATGCGCCACTTGCGGTAAGTCAAAGATTGCTAAAGGCAAAGAGGAATCAAAAGACAAAAGAAGTACTGAAGATAATAAGAAGCAGGAAACTAAGAGATGCGGCTGTGGTGGTTGTGGATGTGGATACGGTGGTTGTGGTGGATGTGGGGGATGTGGTGGATGTGGGGGATGTGGGGGATGTGGTTGCGGTGGATGTGGCGGGTGTGGCTGCGGTGGATGGGGTGGTCATGGAGACTGGTATGGTGACATAGGCCACGGTGACTGGTTTGGTGGTTGTGGTTGTGGTTGTGGTTGGTACGGTGGACATCACGGCGGTTGTGGATGTGGCTGTGGCGACTGCGGGCTTGCTAGCTTGGGATATGGACATGGAGCGTGGGGAGGACATGGGTATGGTGGATGTGGACATGGTTGTGGATGTGGTGGCTGCGGTTGCGGGGGAGGTTGCGGAGGATGTGGCTGCGGTCTTTTTAGATCCAAACTTCCCAAAAAGGGAAAAGAAGAGCCAAAAGAATCCGCAGACAAGCCCCAAACCTCCCAAAACGGGAAAGTCACGCCTGAGACAGGTAGAAAGAACGAAAAAGCAAGTAAACGCTGTGGCTGCTGGGGAGGTTACGGAGGATATGATTTGGCTGGATGCGGAGGTTTCGGTGACTGGAACTGGGGAGGTTGTGGTGGTCCCTTAATAGGTTGGGGTGGTTATGGTGGGTTAGGAGGTTATGGAGGTTGGGGTGGGTTCGGACCTTGGGGTGGCTGTGGTGGCTGTCCAAGTTTTGGTAGTTGTGGATTCGGCTACGGTGGAGGGCCATCTTTTGCTGGACCTTGGACATACTTTAATGAAGGGTGCTGCAAATCTAACGTGGGGTCGAAGGCGTCCAATGCTGATAGTGCTGGAGATGACAAATCTACAGGCAAAGAGGCTGAACCATTGTCTATAAAACCTGCTCCAGCCGCCGCTGTTTCTGCTGCGCCTGCGGCTGCTGTTCATGCGCCTGAGCAACCAGCTTCAGGGCCTTCAAGTCCCCAAGCAGCAGGAAATGGAAAGTTATCTAAGCGCTGTGGAATCGGATGTGGTGGTTTTGGAGGCTGTGGTGGTTGCGGAGGCTGTGGTGGTTTTGGAGGCTGCGGTGGTTGCGGAGGCTGTGGTGGTTTTGGAGGCTGTGGTGCTTTCGGAGGCTGTGGTGGTCCAGGATTTGGATATTGGGGTAATGGACTCCTGGGTCATGGGTTTGGAGGATTCCCAGGTGCTGGATGGGGATATCCTTACTATGGCTATGGCTATGGATACCCATACTGGTTCGCTCGGCAAAAAATTCCCCAGAAAAGTAAAGACGTGAAACCAAACACTCGTGAAGAGATTCCCTTAGCAGAGGATAATTCACAACGAAAGAAGCAAACTATTCACCTGGGATATGGATATGCCAGCGGTGACAATTATCGTCTGGGTTACGGAATGGGAGGAATGGGTGGTAAGTATCTATTTCAAAGGACACAATTAAACGTAATTTGTATTTCTCACCTTTTGGTTTCCTCTACTGGTTTTATTTAGGTCTAGCTGGTTATCATGGAGTGGGTGGCGTTACTGGCACCTCCGTCTACCGCTCCAGCATTCCAAAAGGAAACGAGAGAAGCTTCAAAAGATGGGGATGGGGACATGGAGGATACGGAGGACACGGATACGGTCACGGTCACGGAGGATGGGGATATGCAGCACCTTATGGTCACCCTATAACTCATCCTGGATTTACTAGCATCGGATTTCCGGGTCATGCTTTAGCGAGCTTCGATGTCAAAAACAGGATTGCCCAAAAGCGAGGAAAGCAGAAGCGCCAGATCGTGGCGCCTTCTTTTGGTTCACCTTTAGCACCATTTACCATGCCCGCTGCTGTTCCAGCTCCTTTTCCATCTGCTGTAGCTCCATTGGCTCTTCCCGCTACCTACCATGCTCCACTGTTCACACCGGTTGCTCACCCAGTTGCTGCCATTCCATCGTTTTCCTCTCTACCAGCAGCTACTAGCATTCCAGCTGTTCCTGCCACTCTTCCAGTGGGATGTAAGAAGACAACATTAACATTAATTTCGTGTGTACATGCTTTTCGTTTGTGTCGCTTGGCAGATAGTATGGTAGATCATGACAAAGTTAGCAGAGCACCAAGTAGGTGAAGTAGTTTCACTGTTTCCTATTCGAAATACACGTCCCTGCCAGCGGCGGTTGCAGTTTGAGTCGTTCATGGCCATTTATGAGATGATCTCTGACATTGCAAAACTCATCTCGTGCGTCTCTTTACAGCTAAGGCAATAATATGGGACTTTAAAATCTTAATAAAGTAACCAGCTAAAAGTAAACTTATTTCACTGTTTGGAATCATTTGGTTTTTCTTTGTTTTATTTCAGTCCACTTGGGAGGGATTGCTCTCGGCCGTTCGAATATGCCGCAGGGTCAGCCATTTGGACCCTTTGGCAACTCTAAGAGATCAGAAATGCCACAGAAGTAGGGAGAAGAAGGTAAGGGATAAGGCAGTGACTATGGATTCTTAGCTGAAGTTTTAGGATATAACAGCGGTGTCCTGGGAATGTCTTTCTCACTTCTCCCTAGTGTATATCATTCTTAAGGAACCCTCATTTTCCTATACCAAATGCAAAATCTCCGTTGGTATGTGAGTTCTCGTTTCAAAAGTCCGCTCCGATTCTTATATCATGCAAGAAAGTGCTGTGAGTGATTTTCTTGTGTCCCTTTTATTCTTGCAGGTTGGCAGAAATAAAGATCACTCTCTATACAATCAAACAAGCCAAAGTGTGGATTATTTTGTTATGCAAATGCTTTAAAAGCAGGGGGATGTTTCGATGTTTTTTAAATCGCCTACTTTTAAATGAAGCACGTGGTCCATGAACGAGAAGTAAATCATTTACTAAAATAGTTTTATTGTCAAATACATATATAAAAAATAAACTGAAATATTTGATTTATAACTGCTTGCCTTTTTCTTATATCTCTCTACGTCACCCTGAACTTGTTCACGTCAACCGAGTGGCTGACGCGTACTTATAAAAACAACTTGCGTTATGACGTTTTCCTTAAAGCGTCCAACAGTGATCGGGTTCTTTGAGATACCTCGGTGGGCTGTGCCTAGAAGTTAATTTTACCGTATTTAATGGATTAAGCGCCAATTAAAATTTTGGACCTTGAGAGTGTGCGCTTATCCGAGTCGGGCGCATACACGAGGCTGGGCGCTTATTACGTTTTCATAATTTTCAGCAATAGTAATTAGTAATTATATTTTGCAACAGAGCGTGACGATGTTCCGAATTTCTATAAAGTATTAAGAAAAGTCGGTCTTATTCATAATCAGATATACCCAACACCCTAGTGAGTTTTCCAAGGAACAAGGTGAACACACTTTTGGCTGCCCATTTTTTTTAGTTTCAGTATTTTTGTAAGCTATAAACGACTCTGTTTTTGTAATAGAGTATTGACCCTCAAACACTGAATGAAGCTCTCCACCCTAAGGTACGCACCTAATTGTCGTCTGGATCTTGTAACATTAACAATTTCACCTAAAATATCCTCGTGCCCTTTATTACGAGATCAGCGTCTGAGCCTGTCTCAGTTTCGTCTAATTATAATTGTGGTGGACCGACCTAACCATCAGCCAGCCACATCCACAACGGTGACTGCTGTCGCATGTTGAACCTCCTTCCCCAATCCTTGGCCAGATCTTTCGGCACTACTTTTTTTTCGTCAGTCTCTAAGTACACTTCTGTGCAGTTTTATTGCTGATTAGTATAAACTGCTGATAGCGAAGCTCCTGCCCGTCTTCAGTTGTCTAATTAACAATTATTCCTCGAGAACGAAGGGGCTATTGACTCAGAGGCCATTCGGGCTCGAGGAATAATTTTTTTTAGTAAACTCCAACTAGCTGGTAAAAAATATGGGAATAAAAAAACTTTTAGCTAGTTAAAGCTAGACTTTAATCCTTTTTTGCCGCCAAAAAGCCCGCGCTTTTCGCTACCAGGGGGCTATAACGTATAGCGTAGTAGTACGCCAACCAATCAGAACGCAGCACTGATAATAGACCACTAGTTGGATTTTACAAAGTTCGAATAGTCCTTTGCCTGACAGCACTTTTATGCAGTTGTATTGCTGACTGGCATAAACTTCTGATAGCGAAGCTCCTGCCTGTCTTCAGTTGTCTAACTTCGAATAGTCCTTTGCCTGACAGCTATGACAGGAGAGTTATTTTCAGCCAGATTTTTCCCTTTTTGTGCTTTGTTTTTCTGTTTGCTTGCTTATAACTCAATTGATCTCTTTTGTGTTAACGTGATGTTGGACAGCAGCAGTGTTGCTCTCATTTCATTTCATTTCATTTATTTGTCTTTTAGTCACTCACATTACATAAAAATAAAACGTTACAAGAGGTGTTAATTAAAATATGAGTTGTTGTGACAAGGAAGCCTCAAGAAGCTGGGAGCTTATATTAATAGGCTTCGTAAAGCTATGTTACAAAGTCTTACTTGATTGAAGAGTGTGCAGAAAACATTAGCGACAGATCGACTATCAATGGAATAATTTTTCACATCTATTTTAAAAAAAATATGGAAGAGAAGCTGGTTAGTGTGACTGGCAAAGAATTCCAGATTGTTGTTGTTTTTCATTTTGGTGTTGAGAACTGTTTTATTTTATGTTTATTCATCTCATCCGGATGTGGTTCGTAGATTATGGCCTGAGGTGGCTAGCCAAAGCATATTTCAACGCTCTCTTCGCGAAATCTCTAAGCAATTCGCCCGCGAACGTGCAAGAAAAGTTGCATTTACAACAGTGACTTTATGATTTACATTTTTCAAACTCTGTCAGCAGCAAGAAAGGAAAGAGCGGTTAACTGCACTAACTAGGTGTTTTTGGGCAAGTGTTTTCTTTTCTTTCTCTCCCCCTTCTTCCTCGCCCCCTTTGTCCCGAGTTTTTAGGGTTCAGCATTGCGGTTACGCACCCGAAGAAAACACCTCAAAAGCAGGCTAATATTTACCGGTAACAAATACATTAAATTTAACCGGAGAGGAAAGACAATACTCCATGTTGACGTTAATGGGGAGCAACGATCCGCCATCGGTGATGATGATGATGATGATATCTTTATTAAAGTGTCAAACTGTAATAGCGGTATATAACCACTAAGTGGGGACACTAAAATAAATTTTAAAAAAATAAATCAATTAATAAATTAATTAAAAATTAAGAAAAACTATGTACAGTATAAGCAAGTGAGAAATTCGAGAGAACTATATACAATATGTACAAATGTATCCATTACTTAAAAAAAAAAAAAAAAAGAAATAAAAGATTAAGAAGTGCAAAGAGAGCAGTTAGAGCAGTTATTGTCATCTAATAGCATGCTAAGATCCACTTTTCTGATGTTATATTTGAAGGAGGACAACGTGGAAGCTTTTTTCACATTACTAGGAACAGAACTCCAAACCCTTGGGCCCATATACCTGAGCGAGTGCTTTCCAAAGGAGACTGTGTTGAATCTGGGTATAGTGAAGTCATGATTGCGCAGTTCATACTTAATTGCAGGCTGTTCAAAGAGAGTGCTAATGTATGCTGGGCACATGTTGTTTTTAACTTTATACATGAGAATAGCTATGTCCTGTAGTCGCCGGTTGTGTAGAGTAGATATCCCAGCCATAGATAGTAATTGACCATAGGACGAATGTTTATCACAATATATAGCCCTAAGTGCTCTTTCCTGGATACGCTCTAGTCGTCTAGAATCACTAGCACGGCAAAAATGCCATATAAGGTGACAGTAGGTTAAATACGGGAGAACAGCTGCCTTATATAACTGTAACTTAGTTTGTGTGGGTATAAGGTTCCTGAGCCTCATGAGAACGCCTACCCGCTGGGCGCTCTTCTTAGAGATACTACTTATATGTTCATCAAAACGAAGATTGTTATCAATACAGACACCTAATAGCTTGAGACATTCAGTGGATCTGACTACATGATTGTCAATCATAATACTGTCCATAGACTTCCTTCCGCAACCAAGTGCCATTGTCTGGTACTTGTCCAGTTTGACATTCGACCTCGTGAGACAAGAGCGTGACTAAAGAAGGCCCAACCTTTCTCCTCAGCGGAGTGTACCGCGCTGGACTGGCCTGTATGAAGAAAAATTTCGCGCAACCTGAAAGCTTTGCAATCCTATGGAACGAGTGTAGGCAGCCTATAAATCGCTCAAGCCAATATATTTACAGCAACTTAGGCCAACACTATCGGGAAGCACCGAATTGGAAACCATTAAACATAGGCAAATAACAGAGCTAAAGCTATCGCAACTGAAATAGTGGGGAATCACAAAGCTTGAGGAATGTTAAACTACGAGAGGTGTATCATTTATTTGTAACACAACAATAGGGAGGGTGGGGAAAAAGTACAACATTTGCTAATATATGTATACACTGTTCAGAGATAGGCAGCTAAGGGAATGAAGGATCTTTGCTTAAAGTAACCTTTGTAAGAAAACCTTTGTAAGAGTGACTATCGATCGATCTATCGGCTGGCTTGACACAAGCCAATCCCTTTTTATTGCTGGACATACGTCTTCCAGTTATTTCTCCGACCTCTCGATAACTGGAACTTTTTCGATTTCCCTTAATAATTGGAACCTGAATAACTCTCTGGAACTCCCCTGTTTGATTAAAACTATAGTCCCACAGAAACTTTCAATTCAATCAATCTCATTAGTGACCACAACTCGACTTTCCTTCAAGTCACAATATTATTATTGGTGTTCTTATTAATTAAGGGAATGTTAGCTCTTTCCAAGAGAGCCTTATGGCCCAGAGGGGTTCAGTTTTTCGTGGGAACATTCAAAACTCTATTAAAAACTACTTTTTTGTGGAAACGTATTTAAAATGATTCTTGCGATCACACTATCATTGTGTTACATTTCCGTTGCGCAGACCTAAAGAAGACAAAAAGATCGGCTTACAGTGTATAATACAGTCGAACCTCCATGTGCGACCACCTCTCGTAAGCGACCACCTCCCATACGCGACCGCCAATCCAACACACCAAAATATTCTCAATCAAAGCCTTACAGTTGGAACCTCTAGTAGACGACCACCTCCTGCAAGCGACTGCGACCACCGTTTTTTGGGCCTGACGGTTAATGATATCCCATTGTTTTTAACCTCTTGTAGGCGACCACTTAATTTGACGCATTCTCTGATCTCTATGTTCGCTGTATGCACTATGCTACTAATAATATACGAAGAACTTTAGTGAAAACATGGAACTACGCCTGGCTTAACTTAGACATTGCGTGGAATAACTATCTTACATAAAGAAGACGTGTCCGGACCACTTCTCAGAAGAGACCCTCTGTGGCTCGATTCCTGTAGGCGACCACTCAGTCTTTGGATTTTGTGTGGTCGCTTACGGGAGTTCGACTGTACGTCTTAAAAATATTTTTACTCAGTACTTTGAGCCTAGCTCGAAAAGCTACGCTTTCCGTATGCGTCACCCTTCTGGGGCATTCGCTTCCACCGAGCACCGGATAATATTTTACCAGGCTTGTAACAGGATCGCATGATGGTTTTAAGTTGCCGGTTGCATGAAATTAGCGAGGAAAGTTTCAAAACGGGCACAACGAAAAAGACGATAGAGGTACACATTTCACTTCAAAACATTAAAGACACCTCACCATGCAGAACACTGTGCCTCAAGGTTTCAAAGGCGCGAGAACTGCGAAAAAATTGCATCACGCAGGAGGGTTTAGTTCTGGTGGTGGAGCGTTGGCAGATATGAGATGAGCAGGAGGTCGCCGAGTCGATCGCATGAGCTAACTATTACTCGGGGTTGAGTAACAAGGTAATGTCTTTTTTACTGTCTTTACTGTCTTTTTTTCCCCTCTCTACAGATAGACCTTTACGTGACCCGATTGAGTTTGCAGAAAAAGTGCTTCCTTTTCTAACGGAGGACGTGAAAGAGTAAAGTAGAACAGTATGCTTTACAGACAGCAAGTTTTCTCTATTCCGACGAAATACGCACATGATATCCTTTATAGAATGATGTTATAAGAAAAATATCAAAAAGTGACTGGGGTTACAAATGTTTTTAAAGAAGCAGACGTTTCGGGTCTGCTTATTTTCTGTTACATTTACCGCCTATTATAGTCCCAAATTGTGTTGTTGTTTTGTTGTGTTCAAAATACCCCGGGTAAGTAAACATTAATATGTTTCAAAGAGTGGAAGTTTTTTGCCTTTACGCATAAAGCATTGTTCGTTGTACTTTCTTTCTTCCTTCGCTGTACTTCCATCGTTAGTTAGTACTTTCCGCGTAACATTCTACAGCATTCATGTTTTAATGGTTCTCCCCTCGTATTCAAATCACCAGCCGAAGTTAAATTGGTCTAGTGTTCTCGTCTTCGAGTAGCGGCAGAGTTTTTTCATTGTATATTTTCGTCAAGTATTCGGCCAATGCACTGAATTAATTATTAAATGATGGATACGAGATAAAAAGGGACACTTAAAGCCAATCTAAAAAATGAAATAAATCCTCCTACCAGGTTTTAACAGCACCTATGCATTTCACCTGATTTTTTTATCATTTTTAGGGGCTCGAGAATGGAGAGGGCGAAGTTTAATTGTTAACATCAATTATTTTTGTTGTTCTCTTAATTTTCGAAATACCCTGTATTTGCCTATCCACTTGTCTAAATTACCTACCCTCTTGATTAAATCTATACCGTTCGATTAACGTCTTCTATTCCTAGTCAGGCCAGCAATTTCGACAGCTATCGGCTTGCTTGTCGATTCTAAAATTTGACTAGAGTAATGTATTTCAGTTCCATACATTTTGGGTGCAGAGACAGTAATTTCCTCCATGGAAGCTTTATCATTGTTATCTTTTCCTTCCGCTATCTTTCCTACAATTCTAGTGCCGGAATCATTTCCTTCTGAGTTTTTTCTACCGCCACCAACTTTCCAAGTTGAGCTTCCTTCCCAACTACCACCTTTTCCAGCTGCACCACCACTAGCCGTGGCACCACCGCCTCCTCCTGCTGCTCCAGCTCCAGCTGCTCCACCACCAACCCCACCAGCTGCCCAACCACCTCCTCCTACAGCTGCTCCACCACCAGAGGTAACACCACCACCTCCTCCTGTTCCACCTGCAGCTGCACCACCACCGCCTCCTCCAGCTGCACCTCCAACACCTCCTCCTGCTGCTCCACCTCCAGCTTCACTTCCCCCACCTCCTTCAGCCGCTCCACCACCTCCAGCTGCTCCACCACCACCACCAGCTGCACCACTACCGCCTCCTCTCGATGCTCCACCGCCTCCAGCTCCAGCTGCTCCACCACCAGCTGCACCTCCGCCTCCTCCTTCAGCCGCTCCACCACCTCCAGCACCAGCTGCCCCTCCTCCTCCTTCAGCCGCTCCACCACCTCCAGCCCCAGCTGCCCCACCACCAGCTGCACCACCACCGCCTCCTCCATCTCCACCGCCTCCAGCTCCAGCTGCTCCACCACCAGCTGCACCTCCGCCTCCTCCTCCAGCCGCTCCACCACCTCCAGCACCAGCTGCTCCACCGCCGGCTGCCCCTCCTCCTCCTTCAGCCGCTCCACCACCTCCAGCCCCAGCTGCTCCACCACCAGCTGCACCACCACCGCCTCCTCCATCTCCACCACCTTCAGCTCCAGCTGCCCCACCACCAGCTGCACCACCACCGCCTCCTCCCGCTGCTCCACCGCCTCCAGCTCCAGCTGCTCCACCACCAGCTGCACCTCCGCCTCCTCCTCCAGCCGCTCCACCACCTCCAGCACCAGCTGCTCCACCGCCAGCTGCCCCTCCTCCTCCTTCAGCCGCTCCACCACCTCCAGCCCCAGCTGCACCACCACCGCCTCCTCCAGCTCCACCACCTTCAGCTCCAGCTGTCCCACCACCAGCTGCACCACCACCGCCTCCCCCAGCGGCCACGCTTTTACTTCCTTCTTTCTCTTCACTCCCGCTGACGTCGGCAGAAGGAGGAAGCCCCAGTTGATTTGTTAACCAAGATGGAAGCCAGAGTTTTGGCCCTTCTCCTGGTGGTGGAGGTGCTGGAACAGGCTTAGCTACAATCAATGTAGGCACCATCCAGACATCTTCTAGCTTTTTTGCTCCAGGGTTGCAACAGCAAGGACAACATGGTGGCATCATGCAAGACTGAGGTTGACAAGGAAAACAGTCGGAGCATGAGCAACCGCAAGCCGCTGGATTAAAACAACTACTCCCTGCCCCACCACAAGGCATAAAGCAGACGGACCCACTCTGTTCTGAAGAATCTCCAGACTTATCCTTCTCCTTTGATTCATTTTCTCTGTCTTTATCTTTAATTTTCTTTGAATTACCTTCGAGGTCAGGGGCGTGCTTATTTTCACCTTCCAAGTCAATTCTTGAGCTCTCATCACTACTTTCGTCGTTTTCCTTTTCATTTAGGGTTTTCAGTGCATTTTTTAAAACCAAGTACAATCGTTTAAAGTACTCCCTTGAAATCTCATGAATTGGGCCGTCAGGCGTTTCCTCCTCACTTCGTTTCGTAACAGAAAACCCATTGCCATTTTTTTCTACTACCAAAATGGATCTTGGAACGTGCTTCAGATTATTTGAGACCTTGAGAACTAATCCATTAAAATCCTTGTTTTCTTGCAAAAGTTTATAGAAGTTAAAGTATTCGTTGATGAAAGAATTGTTGATACTTTCCTTGGTAAATGCTATATCTTTGAATGATGTTAGTATCACCAAAAACGTGAACACTTTAAACATGTCGCTCCATTGGCCTTCCTTTTTCTGTCTATCTGTCTCATATTTTTGTTCTGTCAGTAGCCAAATGATTTACGCGATACCATATGCAGCGATCCCTGAGTTATATCCCAAATTAATAAGTGGAAGTTAAAAGAAATCTCAAGAGCTTTTACCACCATGTTGTAAAGTGCTGTTGAACAATTAAGTTGGCAGGTTATAGTATTATCAAATCGCAATTTATGGTTAATAATGTATACCCATTGGGGTCACTATATCTTCGTTTTAAGTAGACCCGATAGCTTAAGAGATTTTCTAGGTGACCTCCAAACCAATAAGTAACTATGATACTCACTTCATTGAAAGCTAAATGAGATTTAAATGACGTTTTTATTTATGCTTCATAGCACTGAAAGAAGGAGAAAACAATGCTCTCTGACAATGACTCTGGAAATTAGCAGGCCTTTTAAAACAGTGAGACCCCAGTGTAATAAGAGCTTAAAAAGGATCTAAAAAAATTATTCGTTACAACGAGAGTAACTGATATTGGGTGTTATTCACTTCGCTTTATTTCAACTGCTGGGTGAAGAATATTTGTTGTAGTAGGGTGTTTGTCATATAGGGTTTTTTTAATCGGGATGTCACAGTTGTATTCTGGAAGTTCTATCTTGAGCTGGCCTCTACATTGTGTAATACAAAATAAGCTGAATAAATCGCTACGTTTGTTTAATATAACGTTCAATTAATTTTTATAACATTCGTGTAGTGGACCGTCATCAATCGTTTATAAACGGATTTTCAGTTATAACCTGCCAACGATTTGCCGCCTTTTCGATCGCTTTAACTAGCATTTGTGAATTATAGATAGATCATCGACTGTTTTATAATGGACATTTTAAGACGAGACCAGAATTAGAATGGGCGCCTCCTTATTACTTACCCCTATTAAAAAATTCTTCGTGACGTAGGAAGTTGTTCTCTACAGATTTACCGAACCAATTTGTTCGACGAACCCCAAGAAATAAGTTAGTGGTCTTCAGTAATTTCATGTTAAAAATGATTATCTTTTTTTCCTACCAAGACAGAAGCCATAAAGGGGATTACCACATTTTGTTTTCGCCTTTAGAGCTCGCATCTTAAATTTGGGTGGCTTATATTTTACCTTGTACATAATCATTGGACGCATGAGACAACATCCTCCGCAGCCGCATGGGCAAAAGCAAAGAGACGGAGTCGATTTTGGCTTTGGCTCTGATCTCTGAGACTTATCTTCCTGTTTTGAAACAACTCTGTTATGATAATCAGAGTCTAATTTCTCCATTGTACCTAAGGCGTTCTGTAAAAGTTTACAAACTCTCTTTAGCTTGACTTTATCCACTGTTCTAGCGAATCCACGGTCAGTCGATCCTTGTTGCTCCGTGTTTCCATTTCCTTTTTCAATGTATAAGGTCGTTTCGTTGAAACCAGTTTTACTTGTCGACGGTTTCAAGTCATTCAAAATATCAGCCACCTTTTTCGCACGGAGCCCCCTTAAGTAAACCAATGCTATACATTGGTCAGGTATATTCATAATAACGCAGAAAAACAACAGTGATAATAGAAGTCGATTATTTCCCAGATTCGACCAATTTGTTTTAAGTAGCATTGTCTCATCGACAAATTATCTTAAGTGATCCTGAGGCAAGATAAGCGAAGTCCAAGAATTTGCTTTGTTTTATTTAACAGCAGGTTATTCGGGTTGTTCTATCACTAGAGACAATGGCCTGAACTACCAAGTGGTAATCAGTGAATTCAAAATAAGACATTCTTTTACACTAATTAAACACCTAAAGCGTCCTAAAATTGCTTTAGAAGTACAAAATGTAACCATACGTAGCTTTCAATTATGTGGAGTAAAACGACAACCGTTTCAACATGAGCAGTCTCTTTTAGGCATTTTTCCCGCAGAAAAAAGGGTTAAAAAGAATTAGATTTATCAATTACAATGATAACATAAGTTTTCACCCAGTTCAAAAATGATCTTATAATTATGACACACCTAGATTAGGAAGTGTTCTTTCAAAAGGGCAACAAAAAATTGCTTTTTATTTGGAGCTTCAAAAATGAATTATCAGCCACTGAAAAACTGAGTAAAAAATGTATGGCCTCCTTTTACCTTCTTCCCAAAGTCATTTTTTGCACCAGCATAAATCTATAGAGAGAAGATAAACCGTGATCGATCTTTTATTGCGGATTTTTTCGATCCCCGATCAAGATTTATGCGCGGGTAGAGTTATCCTCTGTTAAAACAAATAGGATGGCCTGGGTGTCTGTTAATACTAAGTGAACGTATACCATCATTTTTCATGAGTGTCACATTGAGCAAGGGTTGTTTACAGTAACATCGAAGACGCAGGGGAATGTTATGCCAGGACAGCAGCCGGCGTTGCACCCACTGCAGGTTATTGGTGGATAGAAACCTCCTTTACAGTTGGAGCACATGGTTCCACCCGCCCAACAGTCATTTGGACAACTGCAACATCCACAACATCCCTCACAAGACTGGCGTCTCCCTAAAACTGAATGAAGTATAGATAGGCTAAGAGTGAACGGCAAATAGTAATCTTCCTCACTAATCATCTTTTTACTGTATTCTGTCCTTTTTGTTAACACCATAACCTCATGGCACGACTGTAATGATGACATTATATCAATAGGAGACCGAAATTAGAGAAGGCCTCCATTAGGCAAGAAATTGGACACATGCATTTCTGTTTATTGTGAGTCATATAATCCCGGGAAACCCAGATACATCTCAAACATCACAGGATGGGCCAGGTCCTAGATCATTGTATAACAACCGCTCGAGGAAGCTAAGTTTCAAGCCTCCCACGCAGAAGTTTGTATGGGCCAAATGAACGTACGTCTGCGTGGGAGGCTACTGCAGTGAAGGGAAGACGGTTATTATGTTGCCCCTGCATTAAAAGTTATCTTAAAGTGGATAATTCTAGATCTACAAACAAATTGAATTGGAGAGTGAGGGGTATGGCTGATTCCCTAAAGTTGATTGATGTAACCGGCAGGCTTCAGGCTGGTATGAACGTAATAATTGCTATCGCCACCTTATATCTTTAATATACTTATTAATACGTTTTTTTCGATAGTGGTTCAAATGGGGTAACCTACAGAATAATGGGTAGAATGAACAAAGGCGTATGTTAGGAACGCTAGGAAATCTATCACATTCAGCATAAGACAATTTTCTCTCTTTTTTTGATAGACTTAATCCAACGGTCAAAGTATCATTAAGAAGATAAAACGAATGATTAGATTTCAGGCGGGATAATTGGGGTGTCAATGGACCACAGATTATTGAGATTTTTAACAACGAAACAGCTCGCGTGATTTTTAAAAACACACCCAAGCCACACACTCACTAGATACTACATATTAGCTTAAAATGATCAGAACTATGAATAGGCACTACCTGAAATGCCATTGATATGTGGAGTATTTTTTAAAGTCAACTATATTTCACATGAAAAAGGGTTGACATACTGGGAATGAAAGAGTTAAAAAAGAATACGCTGAAAGGAAAAAACGCACGCAAATGATATTCAAATTTTGAATTGATTTATTGTTCAACGTTTCAGTAATTCATACAATCAATTTGTGTTATTTTTTATATGTATCTCCTTGGAATCATATTCCGCTTTGTCAAGTCTTCATTTCTTCTATGATCCTTACAGGCTTACTTCCCTGATTTAGGGGCCATTGAGCTGCCAAGTAGAAGAAATCCCAGTTTTCCATCTATGTACGTCATCTAAAGAAAGCGGGAAAATATTTTTCTGCATCATCAGGGGGCAGTATAGTTCTAAGCATTTTCTAAACAATTATTGCATGAGGTTTAAGTGATATCCGGAAAAATCATGGCCGAAGGTTTCATCATGTTTTTTTGAAGAAAATTAAGAACAAACACAGCATCGCATGGAACACAGTTTGACATTGATGATGGAAACCATGAATTGTATGCGCAACCTACAGATTAGTCACTAATCTACTAACAGATAACTAACTGATCTGTAAGTTGCGCTGATTTCCAAAATTGTAGGCTCTTAGCCAATGAGAAGATAGATGGTGACTGCAATAATATAATAATAATAATTATTATAATTATTATTATTATTATAACAACAATATGTTATTCCCTCCCGTCTTGCTTCGTGTTTGGGAGTAAGGGGGCAAACCAAAGATTCATGTCTTTATCTTTAATGCTACCTGGTAAGCGAGGCGTTTGTTTGAATCGGAAGTCTAGTTGCCCAGTGTTTATTATGGAGGTATTTTTCATATTCAATTTGTATCTTTAGTAAGTAAAGCTTATCATCACCCTGGCTGAAGGGCAGCGCTATCGAGAGACGATCTTTAAAGAATTTCTACAATAAAAATGAGGGAACCTAAACAGGATGAGGATAGAGCAAGAGTGAATGAGGAGACTGCAGATTATTGTTCAGTAATGTCATTTTGCAAGTTTTTGTCTAGTTTACACAAACACGTTAATGAATTTACCTTAAAAATCTTTTTAAAATAGCCTCGGAAAAACCATCCTTGGAGCATTATAAACGAAAGGGTTGTAGAATGCTGCATAGTCATGCCTAAATGTAGCTGCCATGAGTCTGGGGGACTGTTCCTTCATCAAACTTCGTTTCACAGGACCTTTACCTGTGTAACAGGGAATAAAGGATACTAAAGTTAATTGGATACTAAGACATTTATAGGAGTTTTTATTCAAAGCCTTTTACAGGAACACAGATACATATTTTCCATCGATCTCGTCTTAGTTTTGCTTTATCTTGCTGTTGTAAAAAACCTTATTATAGAATGAGTAGTTTTGCTTATCTGTAGGAATGTAATAATCTGCTACATACCTGTTCTTCTGAAACAATGTGATCCACAAGCAGTGTGATGGCTGTGTGGTGAAGGGCAGTGGCAAACGGGCTCGGGTTTCAGAGGTTTGAACTCAAACTTTGGAGGAGTGCAGGTGCAGCAGCAAGGCCACATGCATGGCCATTTACATTGTCCAGGTGGAGTCTTCTCCTTGCAGCATTCACAGGCAGGGTTGTTGACAGTAGCACCGAAAGCACAAGGAAAAGTAAGACTTGGGCAACAGCCAGTGTTACAACCCGAGCAAGTGATTGGGGGACCGAAACCTCCTTTACAGTTTGAGCACATGGTACCAGGAGCGCACCAGTCATTTGTACCGCAGCAGCTAGGTCCACAACCACATCCACATCCACCACATCCGCCTGGTCCGTAGACACCTCCATGAGCTCCGCCGCAGCCTCCCATATAGTCACAACCGCCAGAATCAAAGGCATCTCCACAACCTCCACATCCACATCCACATCCACACCCACATCGCTTTGCTATAACAAGGGAAAACATAAAGAAATAAAACACAATTAAACAAATACGATACCACTACATCATATCGGTAAAAAGCTTATTTGACAAGGTCTAAAGATTTAATTTTTGGAGTTTTCCAGCCAATAGTATATTTGTTATCGATCCCTGACTTTTCTTTTGAAATTAAATGAAATACTTTGGGCAAGTTAAAGCTTGTCTGAAAGAGAAGAATCCCAAGCAGATTTAGATTAATGTATCGTAATAAATAATAATTGTAAATAATAATTTACACAATCCGTTTTCTCTCCACCCTTCGACTTAATTCTACGCGGTAACTTTTGACGACACCGAATACTGACGCAAATGATTTCAAATTAAATTCCTTAACAGACGAAACATACATATCAATAAATAAAGAGTATCTGTAAATAAAACTACTTCTTCACAATAACGTTTAAAAAACAACAGGAGTTTTTTACCATTTATATGGAATCCAGTTCTCCCATTTGAACTGTAGGAATCGACATGCATTAGTTCTTATCTTAATATACAAAGACTGAACCGTAACTATTTGTAGCAAACTCTTTATTTCGATATTTTAAGTAGATATTACAGAATACAATAACTTAAAGAGAGGAGCCAACAACAAGAATAAGATTTTTTCACTCTTCTTTCTCTTTTCCCTCAATTTTGTCCTCTTCTTTTTCAATGTTATTCTCCCAGTCCTTTTGCCTCTTCGTTTCCATACCGGTTTGAACATTGATTGAAACCTGTTAGAGGAAGTCATCAATCAATCAATCAATCAATCCATCAATCAATCAGTCAATCAAACTTTATTTATAAAGGGTAACACCTAATAGTTAGACAACTAATAAACTTGTGGCCCCTTTTAATTATAATTTTATAATATTAATATTACAAGAAAAAAAAGAAATACTTAAGAGATTAAGATATAAAAATTAAACTTAAGGACAGGTACATATTACTGCACAATCTAAAAATTATTATCTAAAAAAGGAGTAAAAATTCAATCCCTAAACTGACTTAATTGTATCCCTTAACTGACTCAGTTTAATTTGTTTATATTTGTTTATAAAGATAAAACCGAGCAAACATCTGCGTACGTCGGTAATTTTGGTGAATGATTCCCAGGTCCGTTTGGTTATAACTACACTATGTTGATTCAAGAAAGGATATGTCGTATTTAGGGACATTTTTATATTCAGGCAAGCTTTTGCTCCCTAGGGAGTGGAAGTTGGTCCACGTCCTAGACATTCTGCCCTTTACCTTCGCTCCTGAATGTTCAGACGTCTTCGGAGCTTGCATGAAAGCTTGTGGTCTAATGGGAAAGCCGTTTACTGTTGGAAAGCTGAATGGAGAATATCCTCCTGGGAATAAACGGCCAATAAATGAAGAGCTGCTTCCTGGAAAGAAACCGCGTCCGGGTGGAACTGGGTGCGAAATGAATGCAGGATAACCAGCTGCAAATTGCCTTTCATCGGATTGGGGATAGTCTTCAGGGTTCTGGGCATCGTTGTTATCTTCTGTGCGCGATTCTGCGTTAACCTCAGGGTTGCTTACTGAGAAAAAGTGCTGATAGTTTGGAAAATGGTTACTAGGCAGAGGAAGAACATTGAGTGGAGAATAAGCCTGTGGAGATTCACCTCCTGTCATTACACGCATCATATTACGTTTGAAGGGGGCTTGTACATGTTGGCCTGTGATAAAGTACAAAAAGAAAATATCAGCAAAAAATATACATATCATGAAATATAGGGTTAATAGAATTTGATTCGTTAAAATGTATCCAAAATTGCTTAAAATGTACGTTATTTTCACTAAGATATTTAAGCTATGCTATTCAATTTCAAAGCTGAATCTTAACGCAACGTTCGATTTCGAATTTAATCGGCAAAGGTCCTCGACTCTAACATCGCTAAGTTATTTATTTTCAGAGCTCTAGAGTAGTAGAAGATATTCTGTTTGTTAATACTTACTTGGGCGTTTTGAGAAAAATAATATAACAAGACGTACTGGATTTTTTGTGACTGTGTCCTCTGCGATGACAGTGAGAATGACATACTGGCTTTGGCTCCAAGGGCTTGAACTTAAACTCAGGCATCTTACACTGACAGCAACATGGCCACATGCATGGCCACTGACACATTCCTTTGGGTGGTTTCTCCTTACAACACTCACAGACAGGATTGTTAACGGAAGCACCAAACGTGCATGGAAAAGTGAGACCTCCGCAGCCACCACAACATCCACCTCCACAACCAATGGGAGGACCAAAACCACCCTGGCAGTTGTGGCACATGGTTCCATCAGCGCACCAGTCACCGCATCCACCAAATCCACCGTATCCTCCAAAGCCGCCATATCCGCCAAAGCCGCATCCGAATCCAAAATGACGCTTACCTATTGAAATAACCAAATTGATTAAACTTGGAAGTCTGAAGGTACAATTTGCAGATTCATAACAAATTACATATTAATAAAATCTCTTCTACAGATTTCGTAACGTTATAAAGAAGGAGGATTTTACTACACACTCCCTAATTTCTTCGTTCTATGATTAACTGAAAAAGTATTAATATGGTTAATTATAATTTCGATACAGAATTACCACAAGTTTAGTTTGGACAAATGGCAATTAGTTTTATTAGTTTTATTTTTCTTCTTATTATTGTTATTATTATTATTATTACTATTATTATAACTATTATTATTTTTCTACTTTTATTTCTATATTGTTTATTTTCTAGTATTTTTTACATTTTCTTACAGAGATTATGCAGAGTAAGACATTAAATCAATTTTATGTCAGATTTCAAGCAAGCTTCAATATGTTAAGAGAAAAATGGTTTAGTGAAGAAGTGGTTAGCAGAATGAAGTGTAACATTATGACTGATACGTAATATATGTACCTTGTGAGAATGGAATGATGGTGTCTCTTCTGTTCGGCATGGCGGCCATGAGTACACTGTACCTTATGAGTGTGGGGCGTGTTTCCATGAACTCCTGCGTACTTCATGAATTTAATGTTGGTGTATCAATATGAAGGCTAATCGAAACACTAAACACCACACAAAAAGCTCATTCATTTCACAAACATTTTATTTCACATTTCATCGTCAAGTGTATAAGCTTTTCAAAGCTGTTGCAATTTTTCTTAAATATAATAGAGTGTTGGTAATTTAGGAAATATAAATCCTTTGGGAGCAATTTCTGTCAAGGGAGCTAACACGACTCATTCCTCCATCTTTCGTCATTCACAAAATGCCTTCATCTGAAAAAAAAAAAAACAAGAGCATCAATGATTATAAAAAGTGACTTAAGTCTCTAACAGATTTTTGCCGTACAAAAAAGCTAGAGGCCTAAGAACGAAACGTCTTGTGATAAACGAACAAAATGTATATGTACGTACATAAAAGTTCAAAGAATCTCATCTTGAATGAAGATGGCAAACCAAATAGCAAAAGCATGTCTTGTGAAAAAGTAAAATCAAATTGTCCTTATCCTATGAATCCATTTACCTGATTGAATGAACTTTTTAACAATTTAATATTTGACTGAATTATTTAACGTGTCTTGACTTGTTACCTTGCTTGAAAGAGAAAGTAGGCTCATTGGGCTCATCTTAGTACGGCATATTCGGTAGTGTGTTGTAGAATGGACTGATGATTGGTGCATAACCATAACTGTAAGGCGTCGGTAAGAAAGCAGAGGGGCCTTCATTCAAAAGGCTTCGCTTTACCGGCCCTTTACCACCTGGGAATAAGACAAAAGGATATCGTTCACGAGACTAACTCCAAATAGGGATATCAATTTCAATTTCAGTCGCAATAATTCATTTCATTCTTGCAGTTGCTCCCTTAAATGGCTGTTAAAATGAATGAGTTTTTCTCAATGTGTACCATTGCATTCATATGGTTGTGCTAGCAAGCGTTTCTTACAGAAGGTAAAAAAAATTCGTTTGGGGAAGAAAAAGCTGTTTGTCCTTTGTTGAAAACATTAGTAACAAGGTGCATACTGTTTGATTTTAAACACTGAGATCCAGAGGCTGCGTGGTGATTGTGTGATATTGGACAGTACAATGTGGGTATTTGTGAAAGTCTCAAACCTGTTCTTTTCAGGCAGTGGTGTCCGCAGGCTGTGTGATGACTGTGTGGAGAAGGGCAGTGGCAGACAGGTTCGGGTTTCAGTGGTTTGAACTCAAACTTAGGTGGAGTGCAGGTGCAGCAGCAGGGCCACATGCATGGCCATTTACACTTTCCCGGCGGGGTCTTCTCCTTGCAACATTCGCATCCAGGATTGTTGACAGAGGCACCAAAGACGCAAGGGAATGTTATGCCGGGGCAGCAGCCGGTATTGCAACCTCCGCAGGTTATAGGTGGGTAGAAGCCTCCTTTGCAGTTAGAGCACATGGTTCCCCCAGCACACCAGTCATTTGGACCACAACAGCCTCCGCACCCCATATCACCACATCCACAACATTGTCGTTTTACTGAGAAATAATAGAAGCAATATTAATTTTTAGCCTTTTTTGAAGGCTGTTTTTTTTCCTGAAAACTGCTATTTTACTGGTGTTATTCTGTTTAAATCAAATCAACTACTTACTACGGTAATATACTGTAATTTAATCAAATAAGAAGAAGTATACCTCAAGGGGACTGTAAGGTTGTTGGTTGTCGTCGAATGCTGCCGTACCTTTTGAGAGATTTCTAATTTGGCGACAAACAATAGATGTTATCGCCAAGTTGCATCGAAATTAGACAGCCAGGGATAAACGGAATAAGAATGCTCAGCTCAAACTCTTTAACATTGTCTTGATTCCTTCGAAAATACTACGCATCATTTGGGACAGCAGCGAGAGTTCCGCATGTTTGCGTCTATCTCCTATAACCTTGTTGAATTAATTCATCGAAGTGATGGAGCAAAAATGGTCATTTGCGTGGGTAAACGCAATCGATACCTCAAGTAAATTCGTAATTTGCACTAAAGGCGAATATGAGAATAGCAGAGGCAATACGATTAAATCCATTGCCTTGATATGGGGATCATCGGGAGTTAGATGGTAGCGATGCCAGACACACAAAATCATGTTAAATTTTTGTTCAATTTATTGACCAAATTTCTCATTAAAAATGTGTAAATAATCATTCGTTACATATGACGATATTTCCTCTCAATGTGTTTTTTCCTTAGAATTTAAATGTTCAGCTTGGAGAGACGATCGTCCATTCTTTTTCATCATTTTATGAAAATTTCTCGTTTAGACGGAGGCCAAACTTTTGTTTCCTCTGAACAATGGATGTCCCTTGCATTCATTTATTTTGATGTCGTATCTAAAAGGAAAGCGGAAAGACATTGACACCAGGTTAATTCTTTTAAACAAACCAAAAAACAGTCACAGGGCATTGAGACAAAGAAAACCCCTTTACTATAAATCTTCTAACAATCGTCTCGCTTAGACTCATAATAGGCTTAGTTAGTCGTGGCAGGTAATTAATAAAGGGAAGCTTCGTGCTGGACAAATTATTTTCTTGACAGTTATCCTCATAGACAAAACATCAATCATCATTACCATTCTCCTTATCCTTATTGTTGTTATTATTATTATTATCATTATTATTTGTCAATAAATGACAAACAATCAAGGCCGAATGCTAAGATTTGCTTGCCTACCTTTCAGATGCTTTTAAAATTGTCTTGGGTAAGGCATCATTGGAACACCATAGTAGAGTGTATTGTAGAATGGTGCATAGCCATAACTGTGAGGAAACTGCATATAAACGGCAGGCTGTTCTTCCATCAAGCTGCGTTTAACTGGGCCATGTTTAGCTGAGGACAGCAGAAATGGTACAAGTTAATACAGAAGAAATTGATAAATTGGTAACTTAGCATGAAGCTTATTACATCTGTGAACGAGAGTAGATAAACATTTTCTCGAGATTCAAACCTGTTCTTTTCAGGCAGTGGTGTCCGCAGGCTGTGTGATGGCTGTGTGGTGAAGGACAATGACAAACAGGCTCGGGTTTCAGAGGTTTGAACTCAAACTTAGGTGGAGTACAGGTGCAGCAGCAAGGCCACATGCATGGCCATTTGCACTTTCCAGGCGGTGTCTTCTCTTTGCAGCATTCGCATCCCGGATTATTGACAGTAGCACCGAAAGCACAAGGGAAAGTAAGACTTGGGCAACAGCCAGTGTTACATCCTGAACAAGTGATGGGAGGACCAAAACCTCCTTTGCAGTTGGCGCACATAGTACCAGCAGCACACCAGTCATTTGTACCGCAGCAGCTAGGTCCAGCACCACATCCACATCCTCCGCATCCGCCTCCTGGTCCGTAAACACCTCCAGGGGCCCCACCGCAGCCTCCCATATAGTCACAGCCGCCAGAATCAAAGGCATCTCCGCAACCTCCACAACCTCCACAACCTCCACATCCGCATCTCTTCTCTGTAACAAAGAATGGAAAACAAACAAATGAATAAGTGTGTGAATGAATCTCAGGATAGATCCAAGAAAGCTCATTTGGAATAGCTATCAACAACATTAAATGTGTGAGTTTACCAGAATTTAATAGATGATGTGAAAATGCTTACAGGCTTATTCAAGACAAGATACATGATATACAAAGCGATCGTTTGATTAACAATAATGCCGATCAAGTAGAACATGCAGTTATACTGCCAGTTAAATAACTGAACCAAAGGTAAACGTTTTGTGTTTATTTTATTTTTCTAAGATTTAATTTACTCTAATGTAATGGAATTTACTTTAATGTATAAATTTTCATTGTTAAAAGTACTAACTTGAGTTTTTCTTCGCTTTATTTTTAACAAACTATTATCCGGTCTTAGAATCTTAATAATTTTACTAATTTTATAGTTTCTTAAAGTGTCTCAATTTAACAAACTAATTATCTAAAACGTCCAGCAGGTCACTAATAGATACAGCATCATTTTATTTCATTTCATCAGGCGGCAGTTTGTTCTTCAATAGCACCCTGCAAGAGAGTCGAAGGAAAATGGTTACGTGAACAGCTATCCCAATAAGTACCATTTCAAAAAAAGGAAAGAAAGAGAAAAAAAAGGAATGAAAGAAAAGAAACGAAGACAAGTCTCTCTTTTCAAACTGAAAAACCCACTACATTCAATTTTCAAATTTATCATATAAGCTGAAAAGGACATCTAAACAAGATTTTGTTGCTTATGAGAAAAAATCGGCTATTTTCAATCTAGGGGATAAAAATGAATGCCACTAATAGACGACAAATAGCAACCATTCTTTAAAATTTCCCTTTCATACAAATGAGTCATTCAATTTTACATTAGGCCAGTGCTTGTAACAAATTTCATGTAACTTCATGATGATGCGGATACAAACCTCTCGCGATAAATAAATCTGCGTCCCACTTTAGAAGTAGTAATAAGGGTAGCTTGGCAGTAAGGGTGCTCCATAATAAAGAGGTAAGACGGGATTGAAGACGTAAGGTAATGGCTCAACAGTCTCGATCTGGGGAAGAAAGCAACGCTTTTTACAGCCTCCTAAAATAGGAAGTGAAAAAGCAAAGCAACTGTCAGCAGTAAATTCTTGCTCATGGGCGATATGAGGGGCCCCCAAAATATGAAGCAGAAGTTGTCTGTTAAGTAAGTAGTACGAGTGTTCTGTGTATAGGTTGCTGAAAATAGGTACCTAAGGAACTCGATAGTTGTCTCTTTTTGCAACACTTATCTGGCCAAAAATCTGAATCCTTAGTGGCTCTCCCAAAATGAAAAAACGCAGGCAATCTACATCAGGCATGGAGAACATCATTTGCCAGGTGGTCTACTTCTAGCACGGAGAAGAACCTTTGCTATGGGTAATTCAAGATTCCGACCCTTGAATTTTGTAAAGTGTTTTGATAGTTACCTGCGCGTTTTCGGCGACAGCAATGACAGCAGTGGCAGCCATGGCAACAGTGGCAGCAAGGGCAGTGGCAACAATGACAGCAGTCGTGGCAACAGTCATGGCAACAGTGACAATCCTTGGGAACCGCTTTGGGTTTCAGTGGCTTCAGTTTAAATTCGGGAACTTTGCACTCACAACAGCAGGGCCACATGCAAGGCCACTGGCAATATCCTTTCTTTGGCGGCTTCTTGCAGCACTCACAACATGGGTTATTAACACATGCTCCAAAGGTGACTGGAAACGACATGGAATCGCAGTGACCGCAGCCGCAACATCCTCCACAGCAATGATGGCAGCATTCTGGACATCCGAAGCCGCCACAACAATTACAACATCCACAACATGAACGCCGGTCTGGTGGAAATGAATCATTTTAGAGAATTAACGCCTTGTCTTACTGATTTAAAGTCCGATAAGGTTCAAGATATAACAGTAAAACAAAAAGAACAAGTCAATAGAAAAGCATAAGCAGGCAAGCTTCGTTAAAACGACTTTCCCTATCTGCCATCATTTTGGCAGCAGATTGGTTGAATTATGAAAACAGGTGTGGAAATTCTTTTTGACGAAGCTGCCCTGTCTATGTTTCTGTCAAAGCAAGCAATCGAAAAGAAAAGAGCAGATCGCAACAACATACTCACCAGCGTCATGAATGAAGAGTAGCTAGCGAGCCGGCTGTTACCAGGGACAGCAGTTTGAGGTACACACCTACTTTTTAAGGCGTTGGTTATTCTTTTCTTCGGGAGCGTTATTTGTAAAGATTTTCAGCCTTCTTGTATGGGAGTATCATATGCACGAGAGATTTTTACGTGATATCATTATGTATTTTTAAAAGCCAACATTACAAAACGCATTTCGGTTTTTCGAAATGATCCAAAAGTGTTAAATGAATAGTCTTTGACTATAACAAGGCAGGGCAGCTTTCGACAGCCTGTATTATATTCCAGATTTTATTTTCCAAAACTGTTCAGTTACGTGAAAGAATAATGTCAAAACTGGTAAAAATGATGTTAAAAAAAGCCTAAAAGAACATATCTCTCGAGGCCAGTTATCCTAAGCGGAACATAGGGTGATTACGATTCCTTTAGGAATGTGATTTGTTGTTGCTTTTGAAATTCCATAATATTTGCAATTGTGAAAGTTAAAATTGACCTGACGGGTTCGATTCACTGCACGATGTATATTTTGTCAAAAAAACGACATATGACGGAGCCATGTTTGAAGGTAACAGGCTTTTTAAAAGGCCTTACCGTTAGTTTTAATTATCATTAATAAATTATAGTCATCTTCTCAATGCTGAAAAATAGTGATCACTGCGTTCTTCGAAACTTAAAAGTACCTAAAGCTGTAATTGGTTCCTTTTGACAGAAAAAAATGTTTTAACTATGGTTGCTTAAAAATCGTCCCAGTTGAATGTACCATTTAAGACGCCGTGGTACTTTGGAACAACTTCTTTTGAGTCATACGCCTCTGCCAAGAAACGGGTTTTAATGAGAGAGCGAAACCTCCATCACGAGGTTTTTATATTCTTTTATTTTCCAGGTGTTTTGTTCTTCTCTAACAGTGAGCTCGAGACCAGTTTATACCCAAAAGCCGACGAGAAATACGAATAATACGCACAGGACCAGCGTTCATGATAGCCTTCATTTGTCAGAATAACACACAGTATGTACATTAACGGAGTGGTCTTGACTTCTTTACAATGTTTACAGTTACATTCTTTCAACTAGCTTGTTTCAGATCGTACTACAAATGATATAATGAAATAACTAAAAACGAAAAATAGCTTAAGTAGTGTCTAAGTACTTTTAAGAGAGGGTAAAGGAGAATGAAAAAGAAGACGAGACACCACAAAGTTGATTTGTTTTATTTTCTGGCATGTAAAGTGTTGGAATGGCGAAATCATGGGTGTGATAAAATCGTATCAAAAAATAGATTTTCGCGAGCACAATTTTACTGGATTATCAAAAACGCCATTGTCTTTGTCTCTCATCAATTATTTATGTTTCCCAATTTTTTGGAAAAAAATTCTTTGTTAATATTTGTATTCTTTTTACAAGTATAATCACTTGGATATAGGTTCTCATGATAAAAAGTCACAAAAACGTTGACCGGGCGTGCTTCTTGCAACCACTCTTCTCAAGATGACTTGCGCAGAACTTCACTGGACAGCTGAAAGAAAAATAGCACATTTATTAGCATATTAGCTGTTAGTGAGTTTTTCGCATTCTTTGACCCTTTCGTTCGTTTTCTGATGTTTTTTGGGGAGGATAAATTATTGTAAGTTTTCGAACGAACTGCCTGATTAATTAGATCAAACACGTTTTAATACTCAGTTTAGATATACTATGAGTTGCTGCTCTTAAATTTGTTAACAACAGCTTTGGAATAATTCATGTTGTATAGATATGTGTGAAAAAAAAATCCAATTATCTTCCCTTTTGAGAAGTGTTCCTTAACGAAAGGGATCAAATCGAGGTGGATTACTACTTCAGAAAACCGTGACATGAGGCATGAAATAGCTAAAACACCAATGTGATTGATCTCACTCGAAAGCTCCTAATTTTGCAGTCTTTTGCAAGGCCATTGAGATAACTTCCCCCAAAATCAAGATGTGAGGAGTCGCAACCTGCATTATCTGTCAGCGTTTCGCATTAAAATAAAAGGTGAACTAGCGAACCTGTTTCACAAAATCAAGAAATTAAAGCCCAATTACCTGACTACTCAGCTCCACCACTATTATTTCTTAGAGAAACCGTATCGGCTACTGGTTTAAGACGCTGAATACCAATCTGACAATTTCAAGGGTAATTACTTAGGAGAAGTTCATTCGAGCATTCGAAAAGTGCTGGAATCATCTTACTTACCTAATAAAATGAGAAAGGTCCACCGTGAAAGTAGCCTCCAAAAGATCCATAACCCCAAGGTCCATATCCGCCATATCCACCCCAAGGTCCTAATCCGTATCCGTAACCATGGTCCCAGTCACCATATCCGTATCCCCAACCGCAACCTCCGCAGCCACCGCAGCCGCCACAGCCGCCGCAGCCGCATTTCTTTTCAACGGCGCTTCTTTTGGTTGGACCTGCGTTGTGGAATTATATTACGTTTAGTTTAACCTTGTATTTACTTTAAAGATAAGATATCGATCTCTGCGTTTCAATAGTCTTTTAACTTTAGTCGAACACAGCTTGCAAAACGATAATCACATCGAATTAATTTGTTCAATACGTTCTTCTCCTTGGTTTGAGTTTTTTCCTCACAACTTGCCACAGGAATCACTTTATCATACACGTTAAATACTCAGAGCCTGAAATAGTCTGGTCAGTCGATTTTTGACTGATGAATTCCGTCTTCTTAGATCTACTTTTCTTTCCAGAAATGAGAATTTAACTTTGCGTCAATATACATGTAGAAATTTAATTAACGTGCATCGGTTAGTATGGATATCTAAATAACAGCAAAGAGATGAACTCACCTTGGCTTTTCTTTCCGCAGCAAGATCCATGACCGTTAGGACAGTGGCACATCGGCTTGGGCTTCAATGGCGTGAATTTAAACTTAGGAGGATCGCATTCGCAACAACATGGCCACATGCAAGGCCACTGGCATTTGCCTTTCGGTGGCTTTTTCTGGCAACATTCACAGCAAGGATTGTTTACACATGCACCAAACGTAACTGGAAAGTTAAGCTGCGGGCAGCAGCCACATCCGCAGCCTCCGCAAGTGTGAGGGCATTCGAAGCCGCCGCAGCAATTGCCGCAGCCACACCCCTCTCCTGCTTCACCCCAGCAACCACAACGTTTACCCTGGACTGTGTCATGCAAATAGGATCATGCAACATGCAAAAATATAACATGCAAATTTACATCATTAGTTCATGCAAGGTGTATCTTATTTCTAACTGCTATTTACTTTGTTGTTATGTTTGTTTATGTTGTCTCTAAGTTTTTTAGCCGAATGTAAATTTTTCGCCCGTCTTGCTTTAAAATGATTAACATTTGTACATGAATAGGTTATTTGTAAATTAATAATTATGGACACGCCACCATATTTTCCCATAGTCTAAAAATAATAGGTAAGACTAAGAAAACCACCACTTTAATTGTACAGGGCAGTTCCCTTTCCCTTTGTTTCAATTTTTAGTCCAGATCAGCTCTTAACCATACTTACTGTGCTCTCTTATTCATTTTTCATATTTTGATTTTATCAGTTTACGACATCACGAATCAGTGAAAGGGACTTTGATGATATAAAGCCCATTCCACGTCATTCGCTTTATCTTTATTTCACTAAAATTAATTCATTTATTTCATAGCAAGAAATTAAACTGAAATTCGCTGTCTAAACCCGAACATGGCAAACCCGAACGCGATTCACTTGTGAACAAGTAAAGTAGTCTCATCCGAACAGGTGGTCGTAAACTGGTAATAGTCTAACGCTTCAACAAACAAAAGGGCAATTTATCAACCTCTAATGTTTAAACTTACATAGAATCGCGTTGAAAGAACTAACTTTAATGCTTGAATATGTTACCAATATAAATAGAGAAAAAGATTTGATTTGTTTGGAAACTGACCTAAATTCAGGTGTCACAACAACCGCGATGCGTAAAAGTGATATAAAATATTAATAGTTTTGTCTTCACAATTTGATTTTATCTTTAATTCTTTATTTTGACTTCCAGGAATTAAAAGTCTTATCCAAATGAAGGCCCAAATGTACGCAAATAGCCTTTTTATTTTGGTGGCCAGCTTGTCATTTTAAACTTTCCCAGTTGAGTTGTCTGATCGTGAATTTGTTTCTCAATTTACGTAACAATTGCAATTAACATGACATTATTGTAAACAATTGAAATAACGAGCAATGTTAATCTAACCTTGGGTTGCTTTTGTTGACTTCTTCTGACTGTCCACTGATCGCTTCTCAGGTTTGTCCTTTTCTTTCTCCGAATCGTCGATCACTACGCCCTTGATTTTTCCGCTACCACTTCCCTGGAGCACAAGATGATCAGAGTCAAGATCAACACTCTCCTCGCCGGAAGACTCGCTATCATTCTGCTCCTCGTTTATGTCAGGTTCCTGTTCATCCTCTTCCTTTTCATCTTTCTTTTCTTCATCATCTTTGGAATCCTCATCATCTTTCGGACTGTCATCTTTTTTCTCCTCATCTTCTTCATCATCATGTTTATCCTCTTTTTCGGACTCCTCATCTTCCTTCTCATCATCTCCAACCTCTTCGCTCTTTTCCTTGGCCTCCATTACGTCCATAACATTTTCATTTTCTAAATTATATGACGATGCGACGGGTACTGCCGATGCTTCATAGAAGATAACGAATAATGTGAAAACTACCAATAGTGCGGTAGTCCTCATCATCTTTAGCTGCGTTGTTTTCCTAAGCCTCAGGTGCAACTAATTCAGATATCGTAAACAACGTTACTAACTCGCCTCGCTTCGTCCTATTGTCTCATAAGCTATGATTCTCGAAAATGACTTGAAATTAGGTAAGATTTAAAATATTTACTATTTGAAATCTGGTTGGCTAGGGTGTTCTATTGTACGATTACTTCTTCTTTTGTTCGACTGGATGACTGATCATGAGTAAACAGGGTGACAACTCATTATTTCCATATTTGGAAACAATGTTAAATATTTAGTTTCCCCATTTCACGCTAAATCTCTCTAAAGTTTGTATCATATTTTTTTTTTTCAACTATGGCTTCCCCATCAACGACAATAATGAAAATGAAAACCACATTCCAGTCACTGGCTCTTGCGTGAGATTTGCCTCCTTTTCTTATTAAATTTGCAGGGCTTGCTCTTTAGGTTTTCTTGTTCATTCAAGCGATAAAAAGACACCTGAATATCCCGCCGAACGCGCCCGCGAATTAAAGAGAGGCTTCTATTTAGCAGTTTAAGTGAAACTTTGACGGGTGTCACAATTTTCCCGCAAAGCTGAGGTAGCAAAATGTGAAAAGCTGTTAAGCATAACTACTAAAAGTGATAACAAGTTCAATTTAAAATAAGTGTTTATTTATTGTTTTTACTGCTGATTCTTAGAATGAAAGGGGCAATTTGAACATCAAACGCCATAATTGCGGTGATAAAGCAATTAATTGATCAACACGATGGATGTGACTAACTGTGAATGACTGTTTAAAACAGATACTTTGGAATGAGGAACAAGAATAAAGCAAGGGAAGAGGAAGTTTTGAGGAGATATCAGCTGCTACTTATTTGTCATAAAATAAAATAAACTCCTTAACAGTCTAGCTGAGCATTTCCTTTTTGGGCAAACATTCCACCCACAGAATCAGCTAGTTTCTTGATCTTTGCGGAAAGGTCTAAACTCGGCAGTTTAGTCAGTTCTGTGGTTTTCGAACAACCTCATGAAAGATTTCAATGGGAATTGCTACAACATTTTCCAAACAATTGAAAGAAATGGGTGAGATAAAATTTCCATGCCGATCCGCTAAGAATTGGTCATGTTTTCGGTCATGTTGTTATTTATCGCTTTAACAAATTGTATGTGTGCCAAATTTATTGTTACTTATTTGGAAAAACAAACCTAAAATCAACTTCTCATATCATATGGACGTGTGTTAAAACAAAGTGACCTTTATGCAGGTACCAGTTAAGGCAATTATCGTTTCTTCAACACCTGTTTTCATCTAAAGACTTGAACAATCTATACACGCCCATCTTGCCAATATTGTAAAAAAAAATGGTTTCCTCTGTCGTTTCTTGTCATTTTGGTGTAAGGAAATTGCCCAACAAACTTGTTTGTCGCAAATGTGTAGACGAAAAATTCTTCCAGGATTTGATACAGCGCTTGTGTGTAGCCTTAATTATTTTAAGCTTTACGCTTCGCTGCATGTCCAGAGAATGTGATAGAGATGGTTTCGAGTTCGACCGCACTGCAAAACTACGTATAAAAAGACACCTGCGCTCATCCGGGGTATATCCCTATGTGTTTTCAGTAAATTCATTTTTTAAAACGTATTTTAAAAAACATTACAAAAATCATCTCTTGTGAAGCCCAAGAGACCTTTGGTGTCTAGCTGAAGATGAAGAATACTACCTGGTCCCAGTTTCTCAAAAGCTGGACAGTGCTACCTACTGAGGATAAATCTTTATCCCAAGCACAACATAACTGGTTCCCCCCAGGTTTAACAACTATCGCTATTTATCTGGCCCCGGTCGTTCAAAGGTTGTATAGCGCTACCCACCGGATAAATCCCTATCCAGCGGATAAGTATTAGGAAAACCAATTGCTCTATCCAGTGGATACATTCTTACCCAGTGGATAGCGCTATCTAACGTTTTAACAACCGGGGCCTGGTAGATAGAATTATCCAACTTTTCCACGACCGTTACGGCCGTCACAACATTCTCTGCTAAAATACGCTCTTAGGTTGGATTTAACATGTTTTTAAAATTCTAATAAGCTGACACAAATTTTTCCTAACCAAAGAAAAAGGTTATCGTGATTTTACGTGAAGAAAACGAAACGTGTTTCGTCTGGTAAGCGAAGACACAACCATTTTAGAGGCAAAGAACTAATGAAAAAAACAAACAAACAAGCAATGTTGATGTGATTGCAATTTGTTCGAATGAACGTGTAAGCTCGTTCTCGCAACTTTCGGCAGAAAAGGCTACAAAATTACGATAAGAACAAAGATTTTATTTTTTTCTGAATATCCACTACAAATGTTAGGTATCTTTTAATGTAGCAATAACAGTTTTTTTCGGCGACATTTTGTTAATAATAGGTAGTGATGGTTGTGCAACCATTAACTTCTTTTCGGAAACTTGTGGGTGCATTTAGTGATGCTGTGGCTTTGCGTGAGCTCCAGCTATCAGTGGGTTGATCGCTTGAGCCATTTGATCGGACGGTTTTGATTTCTTGCAGCAGCAATGGCAGCAGCATGGACAGCAATGGCAGCAGTGACAGCAGCATGGGCAGCAACACTCATGACAGCAACAGCAGCAACATGGCTCGCAACAGTGGCAGCAGCAACAACAAGGTTCGCAGCAGTGACAGCAACAATCATGGCAGCAGTCGCAACAGCAGCACTTCTTGGATCCTCTTCCTTTGCGCATTCCCTGACCAATGTTGGTTTGAGGAGATAGTGGTGCAACAGCCAAGACAGAGGGGTCATCGGACATTTGGGCAAAAGCTGCCTTTCCCGTTCTGGACCTTTCACTGCATTGGCAGTTACATTTCTTGGTAGCATTTGTATTTTTGTCAACTCCTTTTAACCCATCTTTATCTTTCAGGCACTGAATGTTTTTCTTTTTACCTCCTGGCTCGCATTTGCAGCTCTTTGTATCTATCCTGCACTTTTTGGTATCCTGTTTGGAGCAATCGCATTTTTCTTCACATTTTGATTTCTGCTGATTGTCATCTTCTGGAATTTCGCAAGTGCATTTATTTGCCTCGGCATCCTTCTGAGCATCGCTGATTTCTGTATCAAAAAATAAAGACTGGAATTAAGTGTCTGAATCATGTTTGGTCGCTGTTGTTGACACAGTGCTTTTTACGGAAAGAATTGTCTCAGGAGCACTGAGTTTCTTAATAATTCTAGCATGTGTGAATGTATCAGAACACTCTCTGATTGCTCTCTTTTCTGGAATAAAAACGTTTTGGCAGACCAAATATTTACCAGACACTACTACAATGCGATCTACAGGTGCTATTTCGAAAAATGAATAACACGGTCCCACTTTCAGGGGAAATTAACTTAAGAAGTCTTAATTTTGTGGAGGAGGGTACGCATAGACCCTTCTACAAGAATAGCTCATTTTAATTGGGTAACTACCAGCAATGCTAACGCACACTCAAATTTGTTCCTACTAGCCTCTCTAAAATGCCTTCAAAAATTTACTTTATTGAGGTCGCACAATTAATGGTAAACCAGTAGTTTTCATTGTGGCCCATAAGGTTAAGAATCCCAACTCGTCTGAGGCAAACCCGAGTTCGCTATTTACAAGGGTGACCGAGGATCGAACTCAGGACTAACGAGAGCAAATCCAGCTTGCGTTTAGGGTGGGCATTGAACCCGAGGCCTCCGGATTACGATTCCAGCACACTAACCAGACCGCTAGGGCAAACAGCCTCCATCTATGTAAATAACATGGAAAACAATACGAAAGAGGTATACTCTACAAACTATGACAGCCTTTTTTGGATATTTATTCTATACAGTCCTTCCTGGCGGCTTTCTGTGCAACTCGCATGCACCTTAAGGGCTGAGAAAAAAGACGGTCCTGGAACAAATGCAGTCACGCATCACGCAATAGCGACCTACGCTTTGGAGTAAGGCTCGACTTCTATACGTTGATAAAACCCATGCAGAAGCTGTTAAACTAGTTATTTAAGCATAGTTAAGACTTCGACGAATTGTAATTGTCCAGAGGTACAGTTCATTGAATTTGATTATATTAACTGCTAGCTATCACTCAAGCTCAAGGCGTGTTGTTCACTGACCATTATTCCTGGAAAACGGTTATATAACACGATTTAGAAATATCTTTAACGTAGCTCTTTCATCCTCCTAATTGCCCTCAGTACTTGCGGTTAACTGTTAAGAATCTAGCTTTTCTTTCATCGCAGCTCGTTCTGCTTTATGAGACTGCCTTTTACATATTGCAAAGAGGGTGGGTTTCTTAGCATTTATGACACCGCCTGAAAGACTCTCGCAGAGACAATCGAGATTTCGTACCTCCATTTGACTCTTCTTTTTCACGAGAATCTTTAGTTTCACTTCTATTTAATTCAGTTGCTAAAATTCAAAAGAAAAACAAAACAATTTATACATATTTTACATAAGAAAAACAATTCAACCAGTTACTATGTGTCGATTCAATTTTTCTTTTTTATTAATTTCACTACTTCCTTCTCTTATTTGTATTAATAAATTTAAGCAAAAAAAAGTAAAGCAACTCGGAAATACAAGATGATTGTACAATTACCACCTCAAATAAACGGTTTCATTGTAGTTACTTTTTACAGATTTTCTTTCTAAACTTAAGTATAGCCCGACGACATCTTAATCTCGATAGACATCATTTGTTGTCCCAATTCAGGTCTTAGTATTCGAGACGTTTAACAGCGTAAAACCGGGGATGCCGCGATTTTTTACTATGTGTGGCATGTAATGTGAAACTAAAAGTACAGGCATTAAAACATTTGAAATGCACAAACATCTCTTGCTTGATGATTTCAGTTGCAAATAAACATCTTACTAAACAGTAGGTGGTATAGATAGAAAACAATACCGTCATGGGGAAGGGTGGTAGCTACACGAAGATTCTGATTGAGTTTATATAGGCACGAACTAGAAAAAAACTCTGTTAAGTATATTTCCTTGGCATATGTTGCCTTGTTAGCTGATAGATGCACAAACGAAAGTTGAAATTTTTTTCCCAAAATTGCCACAGTTTCCTTTATTTTGAGTACAGCCCTTTTTGAAGTAATAAAGAAAAGATATTTTCTTACCATCTTTCGTTTTTACTGATCTACCCCACACAGGTGCCGAAACAAGAGTCAATAAAAATAAGCACAGGATCGCCGCCACCTTCATGGTGAAGACACAAAACAAACTCCAACGCACGAATAGTGAATCTAAAATTAACGTGCAGTCTCTATGATGTAATTTACTTTTAAATGATCAAAAGAAGCTGGTGACCTGTCGTACGGACTTCGGTTCAGTTTCTCCGGTACTTTCCAATGTGCTATGAACATACGAAATTTTAAGGTGAATTGTCCATTGAGAAAGATTGTCACGATCAACAAATACCTATAATATGACCCACGAAAACTGATAAGCAAAAACAGGTTAAGTCTTCCAATTGAAGCCATTTCGAACTGCCCTTACCAGCTCTGGGGCGTTCCAATGTTAAAAGCAACCTGAAAGAAATGTCAACAGTAGTATGATTGTTTCACTCTAAATGACTTGCGCGCCAATACACGATTTATTTTCGATTGTTAGCGATTGATTATATAAAGGAAGAATTTCCCATTATGGATAAAAATAACCTATTAATTGATTACCAACACCTGATGTATTTGTTGATTCAAAAAGCAGGATACTTGAGTTCTCTTCAGGTGTTTAAACTAACTATCACGTGACCTGCGAATGAAAGTAAAGGCTGCAGCTTGACTACCAAAGGAGCGTAAAGGCGAAATAATCCAAAAGAATTTAGAAGATCAAAGTTTCCTCTGTCAAATCTCTTTGACCGGCCTTCACTCGTTCTTCCTGGTTACACGGGGCTCCTAGGGTCCATTGCTTCTTTTGTCAGCTGTTCAAACATCTGCTAACGCGGCGACAAAGTTTCCTGGTCTTTTCGAGTCTGACATGCCAAGAGAAAGGAATTGCTCCTTCTTTTCTTTGTTATTTGTGATGATCCTATTGTATTATTGCTCTATGCAACGAAGTCACATTGTTGATACCGGAGCTGATACCATTGTTTTACGTATACTAAATAGACTGTTTGCAGTCCGTCTTTTCTTCTAAATCCGTCGTGTTCTCATCCCAGTAAACACGTTTGCAAACAATGCCGTTACAAAAAGGGGTGGTGAAAGAGACGAGGTTACGCCCTCGTTCATCGCGGATCTCGTACATGCGATACCAATGTAGTAACGTTGAAAAGAAATGTAAGAGAATACTCGCAGCCTATTAGACGACATTTACCACTAACTACCAAGGCGTAAATGGACAGAAGAACAAGAGTGGAAGATAATTCATGTTAATGTGTATTGATTACTGATTTCACACTACTTATTAACCGAGAGTGAGGTCATTACAGCGAAATATAAGACCGTATTGACCTCAATACATCGAAGTCGAGGTCTGAGATTTCCCAGTGATGACCGAACAGACGAGGTTGATAAGTTATTTATTATATTGCCTTTTCATTATGGACCTGAACCTGTGATCAATTAAAACCAACAACTGGTGTACAGCCAGGTGACTCTGCTCAGTGGATATTCTTTTTGACAGTTGTCAGCTGACCATAACATGGATGTCCATAAGGATGTCCACTATCAAGTAAAACACAGATTGTATTTGCCTTGGACACCTAGATAGTAATGCCTGGTCATTACAAGGAAATAATGCCAGGTCATTACAAGAAAACAGCTAATCAGAGGGCACGTGCTATAATTGTAGCCATATAATACATGTTATAACCTCAACACTTTTCGGTAATGATATGTCATATTTTCATGTTACAGAACTACAGAATGACTGGACTACAACTGCATAGGTCTAATAATGTCTCTGAACCCATTTCAGGCATGTAAATATACCAATTCTTGTTAACAGAAAAATTCGAATGCAGGTGAAATATAAGCCAGTCACAAAAGGATCACAACCTTTCCAGCATCTGCGCACCTTTATTGATGTTAGGAAGACATCTACAATATCCCAGATTTATTATTTATTTCTTAATTGGAAGCGTAAATTTATTATTATTCATTCAACCCAATTTTCTGTTTCAAATTATTTTCGGCTAATTCAGCTTCATAATAACCAGCAAACTTTGACCAAATTTGGAGGAAGTTTGCGATATCTAGTAAAATGATCGCAATCGATAGCGAAGGTTTTCGCGAAAAAATTAAAGGGGCGACAATTGAGAAGCCTTGGGGACAAGGTATTAATTTTTGTTTAAGCTCGGCTGTTTTGATGGAAGTTGAAAAAATAGCAGAAAAACGTCTGTTTTGCAGGGGCGAAATAGTCGAACGACTGCCTATAAACAAGGGTAGACTAAGCAAATTTTGGATGACAATAACTCTCTTAAAATATGACTCTTAAATTTGCCGAGGAAAAGGAAAATGATGAAGACAGGGAACTTAACATAGTTTGAGTGTCTAGAGTAAGGAATATTTTGGATGAATAATGAAATAATTAAAAATTGGATTCGGCTTTCTTATGATTTGAAGAATCATGCAGAGCTTGAGCGGTTCTGTCTCCACGCAGATAACACCTTACTTGGCGTACATAATTCTTCTGATCATACTCAGCCTCATCCAATAACTCAGGGCTAAATGTTATGTCAAGTAAATGTAGTTTTTCTTGTTGACCGGAAACGATGCGATATTGTTGCACAAGATCGGGGGCATTTAGGCTGAAAAGGAGTATTATGGTGAAGATTTATGTAGATTTGGCTTGCCTTCGTCCAGGAAAAAAGGGAAGAAACTGTTGCGTGCCAATGTGTGTGTGTGTGTGTGTGTGTGTGTGTGTAACTTTTTAACTGCCGTTGCACATCCTTAAAGTCTGCGTAAGGACATAAACATACATGTGTTAAAATACATGTGAAAGGAAATGAAAAATGATAGAAATTTTTCAGCATCTTACAAGCATTTATTTGCTCTAACTGATTGTTTGACAATATCGATAATTTATTACTACTGAGCTTAAAAATCATTAGATAAAAGTGATAACCAAGAAAAAGTATAAGTGGGAACACTTCACTTTGCTTTATTAAATTCAACATCAATGATATAAATTATTGCACTCCCTGAGGGAAGTCCGGAAAAAGTTGTATCTTATATAAAACAACATCATACACCGGGTAGATTTCGAGACACCTGCCGGAAGAGGAGGTAAAATACGAACGAGTCGCAGGAGATGTCATTACTCTTAAAAATGAGTCTTAGCTTTCTTGAACCTGCCAACAAGTTTGCGTGGCAATTACAGTGTACATGTCTTCTCGCCGTAGGCAACGCAATACAATGAAACGTCCTAAATCCTAAATTGTTTCAAAAACTTGACGGTACTTCCGCTTTCTCTAGACCCGTGTAAAAATATTCCCTTAACCTTCATCTTTCAAGTTTTTTGGAGCCAATCGAAGCTCAGTCTGTGATATTCTTCAACTTAATAACGACTTATGCAAACACAATGGAGTTTTTATCTGTACCACCTGTAAGATGGATTTTGGCGGAAATAACAATAAGCTAGATCAGTTCAACTATTATTTAACGAGGATCACTGGCCTTCCTTAGTGATGTTCCGGGCGGTTGGCAGCAATTGCTGCCGCAGCAGCCAAAGCATCGGAGTTAAGCTGTGACTTGGACTTCTTACAGCAGCCGCAGCCGCAGCAGCATGGACAGCAATGGTGACAGCAGTGGCAGCAGTGGCAGCAGCATGGCTCACAACAATGGCAACAACAGCAGCATGGCTCACAGCAATGGCAGCAGTGACAACAGCATGGCTCGCAACAGTGACAGCAACAATCATGGCAGCAGTCACAGCAGCAATCATGACAGCAGTCACAGCAATCGTGGCAACAATCGCAACAGCAATCGTGGCAGCAATCGTGGCAGCAATCACAGCAGCATTTCTTACTATTGTTCACCTTTTTACCAAAGCCATGTTGAACCGCTATACCATTCATAGGTTGCACGGCCCCAGGGGCAGCTGAAATGGCACCTGGCTTGGGAATGGCCTGTTTGGCTTCCCCTTCTTTGCATTTGCAGTTGCTTTTCTTCGCACTCTCGTTGTTTTGAACATCTTTGCATTTCTTGGGTTTGTCGCTTTGATTCTTGCATTCACATTTCCTTAGTTGATCTTTGACTTTGCATGGTTGTGCTTTTTCCTTGCATTGACTTTTCTTATCTGCTTCTTTACATTTCTTGTTTTCCTGGCAAGAGCTGCTACATTTGTTAGAACATTTAGATTTCTTCGTTCCTTCATTGTTTTCTTTAAGTGCATTCTGGTCGCAAACGCAAGGATCTTTCTCTTTTTGTGCTATAACAAAAGAGGAAAATCGAATATTTTAATAATATTTTTCCTTTTTGTGGGTTTGTTTTGTTTTGTACGTGTCAGTTATTTTTGTTGTTGTTGTTGCTATGTTTTCCCCTCCCTTTGGTACAATTTTTAACATTATAATGAATAATTGATGACTATTGTAACAGAATAACAACATTTTAATCATTAAGGGAGGCAAAAGTATCGTTAATCATAATAGCATATATAGTAAATATCTTAAAAATTATCGTTTTATACTCCCAAAAGCTATTTGCCAAATAAAAGTCCTTATAACCAATCTGTTAAACTTCGTAAACAAAACATCACATGTTTGGAGTAATCATTCCTATTGTCTTCATGCCATTAAACCGTTTTTATTCTTAGAATGAAGATGATGTGAACTGTGGAAATACAAATCTAAACGAAGATTTGACCATTTCCCTGTAAATTGTTTTAATTCTCTTTATCTACTGTTTTTTCACTTTTATTTAAAGTATTAGAATACATGTTCAGATTGAGAAAGTCACCTTTGCAATAAATATTATTTGGTACTTTATTGGTTCTTGAGTACATGTGAACACAATCAAGGAAAGAAAAGAGTTTTTCTCTTTGTAAAACTGATGATGAGAGTCAAGAGGAATTTTGGTACACCATGCCTGAGGTGTGGTTATAATGCCTTTCACATACGTACAGTCACATATCGCCCCATGAATCCCCATGCATAGCTGTTTCAGTCCTGTTAAGTCTAATCCGCGTAGCACAACAACAGGTGACTGAGGGGCTATCGTGGTAGCAATGCACTTTGAGGTCAGAAATTTTCTGTCTTTTTTTCTTCTCCGTATACTGGTATGAGTTAATTTTTGTAAACTTAAAACAAGTCCTGCATTGCTTAGTAATTACCTCTTGTTACCTTATTTTTTTATATTATTGATCAATCAAGCAGTGATGGTAAAAGGAAAGTTGTCAATGTAGCTTCTATTGCATCTCAAAGAGTCACCAAATGCTTAAATAACGTTGAGATTAACAAAGAAAAGTCTACTTCTTTAATCAAGTAGTTCAGTTTAGACATTTCATAAGGCCCTGCTCTGTGATTTCACTCAACAACATCGTAGAGTGTTACATTCAATACGTCGGTTTTATCTGCATACTAACCGTTTTCAGATTCACTCTTCTCGCTTGTTGATACAGGTTCATTTTGGACCAACTGGTTATGTTTCTCCTCGTTAGAATTTTGATCTGTGGAGTCTTCTGCAAAAGCACAAAGTTGATCTTTGGTAAACTGGTTTTCGTTTGTTAATTAAATTCTGATTAAAAGCGTACAATACCGTTTGCTTTGTTTAAAGATTTTCCCTTAACCAGAAGCACAGATCCAAGTGTGATACACAGGAGCGTTACTAGTTTCACGCGCATTTTGGAAGAGAGAAGTACAAAACAATGATAAAAACCAACGAGCAACTTCCGTTGTGATGGCCAGTAAGGGATATAAGAAAGTCTGACATCACGAATCGAAGAGGCTAAACAATGGGCAAATCGACGAAAACAGAAACAATGTCAACTACGAACTGGTAAACTAAACCCCCTTCGAAGATAACGCCCATAAGCTACAATTCCATTGGCTAACCAGCCAAACACCTGATAATTACTTGAGTACCACTTAACCTTACAGCATGAAGATTTTGATTCCTCAAAATTTTGACTTTACTTAATAATTCACTTTTAAAATGAGTAAAGTAAATATTTCGCGCTGTTATTAATCAGGAAACTTCCCGCGGACCCCTACACCCCGGAACAACACAGTTATACGGATTTTTGAGATTATGCAGTCAATGTTTAAATTTTAGGAGCATAATTTAGTTAAACCGACGAAGAACATAACGGACCCACAGTTTATCACTATCTCTTTCTTTTCTCTAATTAAATTACAATAGCAATCAGTAGTCAATTGCAAGTCCTCTTGCTGTAACGCATCAACAAGGCATATTAATTTAACAAACAAAGAGACGACTAAATTAGGTGGCCCCCACCGTAGCTACCATGGTGTCCTCATTAAAGGCACTTCACCTGCCAGTCGGGAGGTTGGGACTTTCTAGTGGCAGTGAAGCAATCATACTGGGATTCCCCGCAATGCACACCATTAACACTCAAGATGCACTCCCCTGGGAATTAAGACAATATATACAAAGCCATTCTGAAGAGAAAGCTAGCCTCTGAGAAACAAGCTAAGCTAAATGGTGAACACGAGGCTGCATGTTCGAGCGCTAAGGGCGCTGACCTTGCAAACCGGATGCCGCAAGTTCAAGTTTAACCCTGACTGCTAATTGGACTACTTTATTAGTTTGTCTGCAGTCCACAAAAAGAGGTCAACTCTACATCTAAGCTTGTCATTAGTCAGATACTTCGCCTCCCGCCAGCTGGGCTTCTTAGGCTGTGTCCACACAATACCTGGTAGTTTTTCATGCCGACATGAGGGCCAAGTGTTCATCAGTATTTTATACTGTCAAGTGCCACCCTCGAAAATTAAAGTTGATTATTATTATCGTTATTATTATTATTATTATTATTATTATTATTATTATTATTATTATTATTATTATTATCATTATAAAATTGTCGTATGAACAACTGAGGTCTATTTGATAAAACTTTTACCACGGTAATTTAGAAGTGAAGCTATTGTTTTAGGGTCCGAAAACAATGGCTACACTTGCAAATTACACTAGTAACAGTTTTATTAAATTAAGCCTTGGTGTTAGTGCCCTAAAGAGTGGCACATAAACTAATCTGTGACGATCCACTTTCAAGATCGGCGTGGCACCGCTTCATTCCGTTACAGAAACCGGGCCTAAATCACCGTTCTCATGAGTGACGGAAGCCCTATCCGGTAGCGTTTTCGTACCGGATCAACAGTACAGTGTAGTAGAGTGTAGACATGGCCTAATTATATATATTTGCCCTCGTCTTTGTTTGGCCTTATTAGTGTCGTTGTGCGGCAAAAAGTGCTTAGGGTAAATAAAGCTTATTGCGTTTGGATTATTGCCTATTAATGTTGCAAGGGCCACTGCAGCGCGTATCATTTGAACTGCTAAAAGAAGAACAGTACTTGAGAAGGATAAAAAAAAATGCCGTAATCCGTGGCATGTAAACGCCACCAACCATAACACAGGCCTGCAGAATAGCTCTAATGGGAGTGAAGGTCCCCAAAGAAATTCAAGAAATAGATCTGGTAACTCTACGTTTAAGAACTGAAGGTTCTGCCCTAGTGCGCCATCCGTGGTGGGGGGAGTGGAAGGAGGAAGAACCTGTCTCGAAATACAGTTGAACCTCTCTACAACCGTGACGGCCACCTTGTGGAAAGAAGAAAGTGGCCATTGGGGAGAGGTGGCCTTTAGTGGAGGTTAGACTGTATAAACGTACAACCTTGGGGCCTCCCTTATGGCTTTTATCGAAAATAAGTGGGGCTCCCCTAGATCACTAATAATTGTGCCTTACTTTAATTTATATACACGTTTATGTACATACAACAGGTAAACTACACTGGAGTGACACCTTTTCAGTGACTTACTCAACACTCAAAAATGTGTATCGAAAAGTTTTCACTCTACAGCAAACTAGGAAAAGTGGTACATCTCAAAAATCCCTTAAGGTTATGATGAAGAATAGCGGCTTGAATATCATTATCCTTACTATTTCTCTCCTCGCCTCAACGGTATTCGGTATGGAAACGCAAGTCGTGAAAAATGAAGCTACCCAAGAATCAACTAATAAGAGCGTTGGACTTGGGTATAGAGACGAACCGAAAATGTTGGAGTAAGTTTGAGTAGAGTATGAATTTGGATTTTCGTTTCCCGGAACCGCGTATCGCTTTTAGATCAGAAATGAACCTGCCGAAGCCGTAGAAATGAAAGTACAAGCATCGCAATATCTTTTAATTTTATCAGGAAATATCGATAGTTAACGCAAACTTGTCCCTTTTTCATTTACTGCTCTCTACCCACCAACGCCGTGAGTTGTCTTTAATAACGTTCAACTGAAAATACTGTTATTTTCTATTACAGGAAGAAGAATGTCAAGATTGTCAAACAAGTAGAGGAAGATGCAATTAAAAGGCGCCCTCAATGGACATACGGTTACCCATGGCCTTGGCCTCGGTCCAGGCAACAGCAATCTGACACTGAAATAACCAGCAGCTATGACAATCCAAAACACCGATTCTAAAGACTCTGAGTTCATTCTTGTGGTAAAAATCGAGTTTCCTTTATTATCCATGTAAGATATTCTGGATTCTGAATCGGGGAAATTATGTATAATGTGTTTTTCATGTGAAATCTGGAACCCTGGGCTTTGGAATCCGTAATTCAGCTCGAGGAAACCGGAATCCCTCAAACGATTGTAATCCAGAATCCAAGCTTCATTGAGACGGATTCCGGAATCAAGTACCTGTTATCCAAGACTGTCTTGGTTATAATTGCATGGGGGTGGGGGAGGACCTCTACTTCGCTTTAAATTAGTGTAGTGGAAATTTTATCTCAAAAATAGATAAAGAAGGGATCGGAAGACACCGAAGAAAGCAACGAACTGCACTTTAAATGTAATTATTCACCCTTGTTAACGAAAATGTGTTCATTCTTGGTCTTCAAATTAGTTACCATTATTTCATGTAGAAATGAGTAGGCAAATGAATACCCAGGATCATTTATTTCAATATTGATGTTTTAATATTTAAAAACACTACTGTGTTTCATCAAATATTTTAAGCAATTGAAAAAATAAATATAGTCTTAAATTTAACAGAAGTATCGCTGAATCTGTGCTATAAATTTCTAACCTTTAAATTTGTTGACACATAGTTTTGAGAAGAACATGTCCCTTTGTCTGCACGTAGACCGTTCCGAACTCTGCACTTCATTTAGCGTTCAGGGCCCAGTTGTTCGAACGCTGATTAACTAACCCCGGGTTAAAGTTTAATCCAGGTTATTTTATCATTTTGTTCAAAAGAATTTTCTCATATAATTTTCTCAATTCTTTTAAAAGCATCCAATCATCTAACTGCAGACAAAAAGGAATTTTTACTTAATTTCCCTTTGAAGCTTTCATATCTGTATTGATATTTTGCACTGGCCTAGCTTTGAACAACGCGGCTGAAGTGTTTGATCACTTAATACTTCTGTGGAATTTACTTACGAATATTTTAATTTTGACCACTAAGCTCTCGTGTTACGTATTTACTTCCACACTGCGCTTAACACCCTGGTAATGTGGTCTTTTGAGTGTGTATTACTCAATTCAAATTGTTGTGTACTGTTCTAAATCAAATTGTTATCTCAGCGCCTCTTTAAAGGTCCATTAAGAAGGTTTGTTAAACCTAGTCCATTGTTAACAGACTGCGCGTAGAGATTAGCCGCAGTAAAGTCCTTAAATTGATAAAGCGTTCTTTTGACCAAGAAAGGCGAGAAGGCTCCTTGAGACCTCTTGCGGTGGCAGCAATGGCAACAGCAAGGGCAACAATGACAGCAGTGACAGCAGTGACAGCAATGACAGCAATGGCAACATGGACAGCAGCAATGGTGGTGATGATGATGGCAACACGGTCTTGGGCAGCATGGACAACAACATGGGCAGCAACAGGGCTCTTCAGGCTTTTTCTTTGGTGCTGCTTCTTCTGCACCAGGGATTGGACACCAACAACCTACATCACGATAAGAAAAAATAAATTATTAGCTCTTAGTTTTCATGACTCTAAACTTAACGGAAACCCTGAATAGTCGTTACGTTGTTAAAGACTTATTACGTTGCTACCGTCGGAATATAAATTCAAGTATTACCCATTTCTAAAAAACTCAAGTCTTGACACTGGGGGAGGAGGAAAGATGTACATAGAGAGAAATGTTAGATACGTCGGCTGAGTAAGTGTGAAATAAAAATATCCTGAGATTTCGTCCAGTGTTTAAACGAAATTTATTGACTACTTCTCTTCAAATAAAAAGACAATAAGTCATGTATTTGTTATCTTGATGCAGTTTCATCACTAAAGCTAGTATACAAGACCAGAGTGCTCCTTAAATAATTTCAGCAGATTTTTGAAGATCCTGATGCATAAACTTTAAACAAATATCTAATATAAACTAAAGGTTAATGGTTGAAGGTAATCTAAAGTGGTACTCGCTGATAACAAACTGTATTATGGACTTCATCAATTTCATGCCGCATGCCAATATCATGATATTCAGGCTAGACTTACACTGATGGGGATATTTCCGGATCTTCTGCATTTATTATATTTGGATTGGTAACATTTATTTGATTAATAAGTATTCGCCACCAGGCCTGGATCAACGTTTTTATTTCGGATTCACGCATGATATTTCGTGTAACCGGTTAAACGAATCTAGTACCAAAATGTTTCGAATTCTTGAGGAATCCGGAAAATATCTCCCATTGTACAGCTTAGCCTTGAAGAGACAGTGTCATTGATGTTATTTCTTTTAATCATGAATAAGTACTCAGGACTAAATTACATGCCAGTGCCTTTTCATGCATGAATGTGTCGTCTAAAAGACCACGAGGTTCATTCAAGAAAATTTGAGAAGTTAGAACCACAATATCATCATCTATTTGAAGGCAGGAATAGTGGATAGTAACAGAATTCACTGTATTTTAACCCTGCCGGATGAAGCTACCAACTACAACCTGGAATTTGTTCGAAATTGATGACTCGCTCCATGTGAGGAAATTTAAAACAGTCTTGGATTCTGGATTCCACGCCGTGGATTCCGGATTCCAGGTACTGGAGGTTGGGATTCTTTGTCGATGGAACTTGGATTCCGGATTCTAATCGCAAGTGACCTAGAATTGTATTGCGGATTCCAAAGCCCAGAATTCTGGTTTCCGCAACTCAAATTTCTCGGATTCCGGATTGCACAGGCAAAAATTTCCCGGACTCCCTTACGTGGAGCGAGATGACACTCTACTCTTCAGCAACCATTCAATGTCTAAGTCGTCAATTTATTTGTGACAACATGCATGTTCATGCGGATGACAATTGACAAACCTCCTTCAAATATATTATGACAACAGTGACAGTCACAGTCACAAGGTGGCGCACACTGACCGCCAACACAAGGCTGAATCTTATGACAAACATGGCATCCTGTAAAAACAATACAGCTAAACGTGTTTAAGGCGAGAGTCAAAACGTTATGTGCCCCGCTGTTCCTGTTTGAATATGAGGTTTGGATAACTAAGAATGCGATTTGTTCTACACAAATTTAAAAGAAAAGTACACTGCTCAGTCTGCCAAATATCACAAAATTGTATTAAGTGCCAATTGTGTAGCCAAAGTCGCTGGCATTGAAAAACGATAGATAGCATAATAGCTAGTGCCAACCGAAAAGGAAAATAAATTTTGTGCGTCACAAACACAAAGGACACATATATGCAAATGAAAAAAATTTCTGCTTTAATTACAACAGCTATGCGACTGGCTGTTCGCGCGTTTTCTTGACAAAGTCTTAAACAAAACAGAAGCCGAGTCTTACTACTCCAGAAATCTAAAATAAATTTGAATTGAACCATCAAAATGAGTATTACACCTAAACTAACCGCATCTTCTGGATTTTCCTTTTCGTAGATAATTGTTACGACATCCGTCACCGATGCATTCTGGTCTGAAAATACAAATGCAGAGAATTATGACTGTAAGCATACGTATGTATTAATACTTGTTACCGCGTAAAGCCAATTATTGACGTTGAGAAATGAAGATTTGTACACATGAGTATGTATTGATATTTATTACAAAACTGCAGGTAGCCAATGACCAGCAGTGTAACTTCTCCCTAGAGGAATATGAGGAGTCTGGTGTGAAAAATGACTGGGAATGGTTTGTGGTGGACCGGGATAGGTATGGGAAAAGCAAGAGATGCAAAAGCATTGGCACACATTCTTATTATAAAATGTCTATTCATTATAGCACGTTTTGAATACCCCTACGTCGGCTCTCCAAACTCAGCCCCATGTAATTTAACCCAAGACAGTCAGCTACACAGATTCTGGATTCTATACTTTAAATTCCTAATTCCAGTTGCTGGATTTCTGATTCCTTGTTAATGGGATCCTAGATTCCTTGAGCTGAATTCGGGATCCCAGGAGTCCAAACCCCAGGTATCCGGAATCCTGATTATCTTATATGGGGAGACCAAACTATAGTGGCGGATCCAGGCGAGGGGTCAGGGGGGCCCGCCCCCCCCCCTTATTTTCAGAGCAAACTGAGGCCCGAAGGGCCGAAAAAATATCTTTGGAGACTACTCCCCCTTTTCTCAGTGTCTGGATGACTGCCCCCCCCCCACCTCTCTCTTATCTGAAGATCTGGATCCGCCACTGAACTATAACACACTCCCATCATCCTTCATGATCAGACCCCGTGTGGGTTCCGAGTATAGATTTGATATCTATTTGGCGAGTAATGTTTCATTCTAAGCTTCAGAAGCTTTTGCTTTATAGTTATTGAATTCTTTGAAAGAGTCACGGTCTCTTTCAAAAATTTTTTTTAAACAAAGACATATTTTCAAAATCGTTAGACTGCAGAGAAAGACACACAAGTGTGCATTTACTTTCAATTAGTTTAAACGGAATATTCTAACATCTTTATTAACTATTGCTAAATAAATTTGAGATGACGTTCTCTTTGAAGGTTACCAGGTAAGTTAGACAGTGCCATTTACCACAGGTCAGCGATCTATGTCTGTTGAGAAGATAGGCCAACAATAGTCACGTCAGGTGGAAGATATGGTTACTTTAAAGTCAACAAACACTTCAAATGCTCCAAAATTTAAAAATCGCTCATATTCCATTAATCTTAAGTGGTTGTTTTTCCTCTGCCGACAAAACGCATTTTGGGAGTAACCCTCTGATGAAGAGACTGTAATTCAACATAGCAACTCGTTATCCTGTTGGATGGCAGAGATCTTATTCCACGGCCTAGAATGCCAAATTGCGACACGGTAAGTACTTCATTATTTCTTTTTTTTTTTGCACAGAAAACTGCGAAAACGTTGACAGTAAATTGCCTTTTAGTGCAAGTCTGAAACAACCCTTTAGGACACTTTTAAAACTAAAAATAAATCATGTAATGTTCCCCTTACCTTGACATGCTCCCTGCTAAGTGTACTTTGTCAGACGTCTTCTTCAAGACGTAGTTTTCTCTTAAGTCACCATTCTTCTGTCCAGATGTGTGAATCCTTGAAAATTCTCTCGATTTGTGTTTGATATTTTTCTTAAGAACTCCCTCAGATAATATGGCAGCGCGAAAAATTTGTAAGATGAATAATACATTGATTACGATTCTTAATTTCATGGCCTTCTAGATGAATTCCATGTTTTCTTTCAACAAAGATCGGTTGTCAACTTACGCCGAACAAAATATTTTTATAACTTCCACCAATTCTAGAAAATTGCTTTCCACACGATGGATTAGAAATCTTACATCACAGCACCATTCAACCTTCGCCTCCCCCTCATTTTATTTTTAACGCTCCACAAAACCAGGTCATTGAGAAACACGAGAATGAATGTCATTGGATAGTTTCCAGTTTCATGGCATATACTCTTCTGGTACCAGTGGAGCATTTTCTCAATTGATTTTATTTCTCAGTTTGACAATGAACTGTTTTTTAATGTAAAACAAAACATTACTACAATAGTCGACGATATTTTTGGTTTTCAGACGGTGTTTTTTAACACAATGCATGTCAAGAAGGCTCAGAATCCGGTATGGTATTTTCGGTTTCTCAGCGTGGAATATTTTTCTCCGATGTTCTGATTCTAATTGTTGTTGTCGCATTCTCGGTAATCACAAGCATTTCATGAAGGAAAAAAAGAAACTTAATCTATTATTTTCTGGCTGAATTTTAGGCTGAGAACCCTATTTCCCCGCAAAACTGTGGTGTTAAACTGTGTTTAACTGACGCATAGCAGAGAATAAAAATCACATTTTAAACATCATTATTTCCTCATTTTTCTTAAAAATGATCTTGCCTTCCACTTAATAGATAAAAAGAATTTCAGTCCATGCTCTACAAAGGTAAAAAAAATTATTATTCATGTTATTCATGAGTTCCATCTTTTTAAACTTTGTGCAACAATAGCAACTACTCTAAATGTAGAAAATGATCAAAATTGTAATAATCCTTGTTTTGGCCAAACCAGCTTAAGTAAAACAATGTTCTCTTAACATATAAGCATTTACAGCCTTAAATCGCTCTTAGATGAAACAGTGTTTTACAATCAAGATAATTGAGACAGATTTTCTACACCAATAATTTAATACAATATTAAATACTTAAATGTGTGACGCATGATGAATCAGTAGTATCACTTCAGTACCCGATGACCAAGGACAATTTATTGAACTGTAAATCGCTAAGTAGACTATGCATCTGATCTGTCGTTAAGATTGATTTTCAGCCCAAATACTTCAACTTTGGTATAGCCTCATGAAACTGGAACTGAAATTAAAAAGGCGTCCCGTGACCTGTGACCAGGTAGTCATGCCATGTCTACCATGCGCTCATGGATATGTTTCGAATATGGTGCATTGTGCCTGTTGATTTAAAATGAAATTAGTTAAGAACGTTGTTAATCACTTCGGAATCGAGTAAATCTAAAGCATGCATATTTTGCAGCTTTTCCATCTAACTACAGCATTTTCTTCAATCTCGAAGTTTCCAGAAAGTAACTGTTAAATTTAACAAAGAAAAAACCTCTTTTTACAAAAAACGGTGGAATTAAATATATCTATAATGAAGCAAGATTTTCACAGTATAAAATTTGAAGGAATATTTAATTTTTTAAGTGGCTTCCTAACTAAGTCATTACAAAATACTTTATAAAAACTTTATTTTGAGAAAGTAATTACATTAAAAAAAAAATCTTACAGAACTTAAGCAAAAATCATTAGGAGTACTAAACATTTACTCGTAGACTGATAGCTTCATTGTAGCTTGCTTACCTTTTCAAGAACTGATATGGTCGGTAGGCTGGAAAGAGGTAGCCTAAGCGAAGAATACGCTTTCGACGTTCTCCATTCTTGTCTTCTGTTTTTCCTTTACCCTTTTCTTTACCCGATTCTAGGAAAGCAATTTGTAAAATGGCAATTCCGTAGAGTTTTAAACAAAACAAACGTAACTCGTCTAATGCGGATATTGTTCGCTGGTTTCAAAGGGAAAATTTCTACAGTAGCATTGAATGTCTTGATAACTTTAAAAAGATATTGCTGATTCAAAAAAAAATCAAATTATTGGCAGTGATTAAAAGAAACCAACTAGTCATTTTTCAGCGTATCATGAGCGACAAAACTGTGGCGGCATGACCTTGCACGAGCGGAGCTCTATTCACCAAGTTGAGGAGACACTCGTGAAGAGTAGGGTTTATGCGATAGGCGACCTTATACTGGTAGGATCAGAAATATAGAAAACGTGCTTTATTTATCAGAGATGAAATCAGAGTGCTCACCTTCTTTTTCAGATACAAAAATGTTGCAGTTGTAACCACCACAACCGCAAGGACAACTCCATCCACCACTTCCATACGGTGGAGGACAGCCAAAACATCCACCACAACCACCACAGAGAGGATCCAAGTATCCATATCCACCACTGCAACACGGCGGAATGCATTCGCAGGGCCCACAAGGCAGCGGCGCGCATGCGCATTCGCAACAGCATGGTGGTGCGCATGGACAAGGACATTGATGATGTTCGACGTGATGCACGTGATGAACACAGCAGTCATGATGGTGACAGCAACATGGATGGCAACAGCATCCACACGGCGAGCAGCAGCATGGTTGGCAACAACAGCAACAACCGCAGCAGTTATTATTTCCTTGGCCATTCTTTTTGCCGTCATTGTTGTTATTTGTTCCACAATTCCCTGCTCCACAGCAACATCCACATCCGCCTCCGCAATTATTGTTATTGTTGTTTTCGTTCTTTTTATTATCCTGCTGTTGGTCTTCATGCAAAGGTTTCGTAACCAGTTGAGCCAGCTGAGGTGCAGACTCTACATTTTGTGTTGTCAGCCGTGTTGGTTGAGTTTCCTGCAGTCCTGTTTGAGGCTGTTGGTTTTCCTGCTCTGATAATTGGTGAACTTGATGGACATCTTCTTTTGTCTGTCCGTCACTAATCACCCCATTTTGCTGCGGTAACATTTCGCCATCCTTCGCACCCTGATGAGTTTGAAGTCCATACCCCGGTTTCATATCTAATTCCACTTTCTTTAGAGATAAATCTGACTTTATTTGCTTTCCATTACCATGTTGGGTAGACTGAGGTGGGTCTAAGGTGTGAGTCGGCGAAGCAGCGTTTTTTAACATAGGAGCACCAAGCCGTACGACTGACGCTTCCGAATCCTTTTTACTTCCAGTCGGGCTAAGTTGTTGTCTACGACCATAAACGGGACTGGGAGAGATAGCTTGTTCAGTAGATATCAAAATAGTATTTACGAAAAGCATCATCCATGACCGCCGAAAATGCGCCATTTCTAGCGAGACTTCACAAAAGTGGTGGGAGGAGCAAACCACTTAAAAACTAATCAAGGAGGAGGGAGGATTGAATTACCTCATGAAGGCACCTGCTAAATGACTTTAAGGAAACATTAAAACTCGTTGACATTACCGTTAGACGAATAAATCGATCAATTGATCAACTAGACGGAAACAAAGAGACTCGCTCAAGTCCTTTGTTTGCGTGCTACAGAAAAAGTGACGGGAAGCATTCAGTTAACCTGTTGTATGCACTGATGCCTTTTGTTTTGTTTGTGAATTTTTTTTCCTTCTCAAAAGCTTTTTCTGGTAGATACTTGAGAGTAAAGTTTCAAATTTGGGACATTTTTTTAGTATTTGGAGTTTCAAATAACTCGTATGAAGTACTCGGAGGGTGAAAATCGTTTCACTGAAAAAGAAGTAATTTACTACACCTAGATTCACTACTACTACACATGGGAAGCATTCTATTAGATAATCGGCCTTAAGTTATGGAATCTACTGCCTTAAAATATAAGGGACCTTCCTACACTATCTGTGTTCAGGTAGCATATTGTAAGGCTAGACTTAAAATTCTTTGCTGGCTGGGCTCTTTGATGTAATCAACATCATCATAAAAAAAATATAAAACCTCTGTTATTTACCCTAAGCAGTATTTACAGCACTAATGCTAGTGGGGACGAGCAATTGCCTTAAACAAATAATGCAAATTGAACTTAACAGGGTTAAAGGGACAGGTTCACGGTTATGCACATCATGCATTTATTAATAATGCTTTCGGTTAATTATCCCTCTCACATGAATCCCAGCGATCTCAGAGTGTATTTCAAAGTAGAAGTGTAAAATCGCAGAAAAAAATCAGTGGATTATGCCAACACTACCAACGTTGAATTTTTTGTTGACCCGAAGGTTTTATTCCATGGTTCATTAATTTACAGCTATTTGCAACTATTTAAGTTGATCAAGTGCAAGTGACTGCCACGGGAGTATACAGATTGGTTCTTTGACAACATTAGGACATGATCATATTGCTTGCATAGACGATACCGCATGTTCAGGCAGAAAAACAGCATTTTGATAAATGAGCATGCGCTGAACCGTGAACCTGTCCCTTTAAGAATCCCAACTGGCCGGATGGAACACTAGCTGGCTATTTACAAGAATGGCCGAGATTTTAACTCGGAACTGCCAAAAACAGAACAAATCCAGCTAGCGGTCAGAGTGGGACTTAAACTCGGGGCCAACGATTCGCTCTCTAACCGCTCGGCTATGCTGCCTCCATGTAGTACTTGATGAACACATAAGTATTTTTTTTTAAAGCGTAACACGATCTTCACATCCGTATATTTTGACTTTTACATAAGACAATCATATCAATTACATTCTTTGGCCTCTGGTCAATAATATTTATTATACACTTATAAAATCGCAACTAACGCGAAAATTCGTCAGACTTGGCGATTTTCTGCAATTTTCGCTACTGGCTTTCAAAAAATTGCCAACCTCACGATTTTTGCAATTTTTCGCAAATACACGAAACATCGCAATTTTTGCAGCTGCGTACAATCCTAGACATAAGTGTCCCAATTTAGTGATTCCTCTACTGCTATTTTAGTTAAACACTTTTAAAATAAAGCTATTCATAATTCATTCATTCATTCATTCTCCCAGAGCTTAACCAGTCTAATATATAAAACTAAATATGGACTAACCAAAATATGGACTAGTCAAAACCAGCTTTAAACTTTGCGCAAAGAGAGGAAAGTATTCAAAGCCATATTAAGCTAAATATCTATTGAGAAGAAAGGAAGGAAGACGGAAGAACAAGTGATCTTCCAATTCAGGGAATGAAAAAGTGTAAAACTTTGGATCGTGAACTGATGTAAATGGGAACTTCCTGGATGAAGTGTAACAGCGCATAACCAAGATGGAGAGAAACAGTGTGGAGACTTTTTATCCTATGGAAAGAACACTATACGATAGATCACAGACTGGGCCTTCTTTACCCCACATCTAAGCCACGCGCTTCCAGTATCATGTTAATCTTTGTTGAAGGTGTGAACGTAATTTTGATAGAAGTACCGATCGGTACATGCCAGGCAGTGTCATGCTCCCCCACCAAAACAAAAAGAAATGAAAACCAGAATTCGATAACAAGCAACAATAGATTTCCAAGCGGAACAGACGAAAGGTCGTCTCCTTGAAAAATGGAAAGCCGAAAATGGATTCTTAAATGGAAAGCCAAACGTATTACTCCTATTGCATTAGAACTAGGTCACCATTGAGCAAGCAAGTAAGTATCAGAAAAAATTTTTATAGATGACAAATCGACCTTAAAACAACAAAAATCTCGGACAGACAACTTAGTTATAATAAGTGCTCTTCGCTTGAATTTGATATCGCAATAAACAGCAAATCAACATGTACCAGTTTTGTGGGAGGAACCTTTCAAACGCATTTGGCAAAAAGAGTTCGCGAATGGTTTCATTTTTATATTTTGGGTCAAAATCCACAGCGAAATTTCCGACAAAGATAGGTGTCTTCAAATAATATTCCATTAACATTTTTATATCGTTAATTTGGACGACAAGAAAACCAATGAAATTTTGTTACGAGACCATAAAGCAATTCTTACCACATATACTACCTCACCACACTTATCAATAATTATTAACCACAAAATCTCACAAAAAGAAAAGGAATCTGGATTTGTTCCCTTGGGTAACGAAATAAGTTTTTAAGAAGCTTGCTATGAGGTTTTTATACCTCAAAACGCAGATGGTTGGGTTTAGTCTTTTTATAATATTATCACGTGTAATCAACGCTTGGCAGTATATTCCAAGCATTCATGGACCACTGGAATTCATAAAGAGGCAAGAATATTCTGAGAGCGATCCTGGCATCAGACAATATGCACGAAAAAATCTACATCTAAGCAATCCTTATAAATTTTCATGCTTTTTTGGCTGCCCACTAAATGCAGGACTGTTAATTCGTGGTGGACCTTGTCGCCCTGTACCAGCAGTAGACTGTGGAGGTTTCAGTTGTGGTTGTGGCATTGGGTTTCATATTTCGAGTGTTTCTTGTAAGTGTGTTTTTTTCGTGCATTAACGTTTAGCATACAGTCCAAATCCAGCAGGGACTACCTTATTTTTAGAAAACCGTTTGGATGAATAGAAATCTCAAAAGGGCACGTCTGTAGGTTTACTAGGTTTGTTTAATTATGTGTTTTTACGCTATTTGTCTCAAGTTTACTTAATATCAGGTCAATTCACTTTTTAGGGGGGGGGGGGACAAAAGAAGGCTGAAAGGAAAGCAGCTAACCCAAACTTTTCAGGAAATACTGAGATCCTGGATGACCTTAGTTTTACGGCAATTTCTGTACGAGGACCTCTGATTCATATTATTTTAATTTCATAAATAGGCCGTAATGAAAGGAATAAGCCAGATGAAGGAAACACCACAGCCAAGCGGTTTGATATTACTGGTTTTCCAGCTGCACATAAGGGTAAACACTTGACGAGAAAGCGTCCATTACCATTTGAAGCTGAATCCTCAAAGCCGGACGAAAAAGAACAATTCGCCGATGACGAGGGATCTAAGAACTCAGGAAAGAATATTTTCCCTCATCCCACTGGTCATCACCAACCGTGGCGCCCGTACTTGCACAAGCCTTTGTATCCTCCCCAGGGGCACTTTCACATCCTTCCGAGTTACTGGCCTTTCGGTAGAGATTTGCCATCAGTTAATTACTGGCGCTTTCAAGGATACTTCCCTCATATGGGATGGAAGACGCCTTGGAAAATGGACCCATATAATGTAAGGAATCTTCGCTACTATCCTGAATACCAGTATGTTGATGTGGGGTTTACTCAACCAACTCTTCCTTTCCAGCCAAAACCACGCTTAAGAGAATACAACGATAGGATCTCTGAAGACCAGCCAGAAGAACAGCAAGAATACGTGACACACAGCAAGCAAAGAGTTGGCCAACTTCAAGAAGAGGACAGAAAAATGGTTGATAGCCCATATGATTCTAAAGATCAGTCAGAAGTACAAGACGACATGTCCGAAAATAAAGACAAGCTGAGCCGTCAGACAAACCCCATTCAGCCAAATGATGGTCACGCAAACATGGTTTCTAATGAACACAAGTCAGGTGGCACTTTCGATGAAGATAATGGTGCTGAAGAAGAAGTGCTCGAAAAGGAATTCAGTGACGATGCAGTGGAAGATGAAGAAACGAAAAACTTCCCTGAATACGCCAGTGAGCTTAACACTGATCCTTTCTTACCTGCCAAAAAACGACATGCGAAGGGAATGAACACATTCAATGAAACTGAAATAAGGCAGCGAGGTAAAGGATTCGATCTGGACGCTTATTTCAAAAGGAAAGAACAAACTAAGGTTGGGAAAAAAGCTCGTAAAGGGCTAAAAGTCAGTTCTGGCTTAGGTGACGTGAGGATTAAGTATGATATTATGTCATCTCAAACTTCTCATCAGGGATTTTCAAGACGATGAGACAATCTTGTGTTGGGATTTTGCAATTTAAAGGTTATAGAAAAGTAAAATTATTATGAAAATTGAACAGTCACACCTGCATTACTGTAAAGTGGGATGTAGCGGTGGAAATGTGGAAAACCATAGTTTGCGTTGCTGACCTGCCTGTTACTACGAAAATAGCTACCACTCTAATCGACTGAGTTAAGCATCGGAAGTATTTAAAACATGTTGAATAAGGTTTGATACATAGAGTACTTTTGTCAGTTTCAGTCTACTGTATTTTGCAATTGTCGAGTGTTATCTCTATGGAAGCCGGTTCGTAATTAAACCTGGCGACACGAAAAAGAAGAATTTATAGACAAGTTCATTTCTATTTTATGGCACTATTATCACGTAAAACTGAATGTCTGTAACAGTAAAAAGAAAATCACTTTGAAAATGTTAGGGAGGATATGTCAGGCCTTACAACTGTTTTTTAAAGCAAGACTGATTTTGACCTGTTGCGTGTTATATTAGTAGAAAGCACCCATGTTCAAAATCGTTTGTCATTGCTCAGAATTTTGGATTTTATTTTACTCTATAGACAGTCTTTAACAAGAAGTTTGCATTACTCCCCCATCATTCTCTATTTTTATGAACTCCTAAAAGTGGTAGATTTTTGTTAGTTAACAGTGATAAAAATGGCCACAAAGTTCTACACAGTGAGCCCCATCTAGACCGTCCATCACTTTAATGGAGGGGCAGCACCACTCCAAAGGAAGGATAGCAATATTTGTTAGCAATGTTACTCTAATTTGGCTCAGGTCACGGATTGAAGTTCACATGGAAACATCTCATACACCTTCTCCAAGGTACAAATACGATGAAAAGCTGCCGAGTAGTTTTTAATTGCATGGGATCGCGATAAATTGGATTGAATCTGTCGAGATTGGCAGAGACTCAATAAATGACTGTAATCTTCGGATAGTTCTAATGAAGGTAAAATAATGGACGTCAGTGCTATTATGCAAATGGCAAAAAATGCCATTTCTTGAGATGAAATATTGTGCCTTATATTTATAATAGTAGCATCCATTCATTTAAACCCGTCGGGGTGTTACTTTGATCCAAGGCCATTTAGTGCATGTTGCGAACAATAAGACCACAAGTTGACGAGGTAATTCAAGTTGCAATCCTTCCTGGCTTCTGTTTCACTTTATTTCCCAGCATTAAAGAACTTCATTTACATTATTACAAATTTAACAAGTATAGGAAGTTTAATACAGTGTGATGAAAATAAAATCAGTTTAAATGATTCTTGTGCCCGTTGCTATTATGAACATATTGTGACATTTCTATCATCATGTAGGCTCTTTAATAATGCAACGTTTGATTACTTTCATTTCTTAGACAATTAATCATTTATTAAATTTCATAAATGGTCCTCCATTATTTTTTTTCTCCCATTTCCTTCCATATGAACCGTGCAAAGGATCTTTGGGGGGGGGATTAACCGATCCCGTCGTCACAATCAAAGACACTTGATTGGTAATTTCAGCGAATGTCAACTTTTTGATTTGACGTCTTGATGTTTCGCTGCCAATAAATTTCCATTGGGTTTAAACAAAAACAACGTCCCAACAACTTGATCAGCCATTGAAGATTGTTGGGGAGCTTGCGCTGGACATGGCCCATTGCCACAACCTGATTGGTAGGGCTCAGTACCATAGCCTGATTGGTAGGGGTCACTTCCATAGCTTGATTGGTACGCGGGTGGATAACTTCCATAGCTTGACTGATATGCATAATTTTCATAGCCTGGTTGATCTGAAGGATAACTTCCATAATTTGACTGATATGGATACTGGTAGCCAGTGTTATACGGGACATCGTAACGCTTGAACCAACGTCTCATCGGCTTCATTGGCTTGACTTGAAGAGGAGCCTTAAAATTCATTTGCTTTGCCAACAAAGGTTTGAGAAGTGGTGGACCACCAACCTGGCTTGGCCTTTGTGGTGAGGAAGGAGTCTTAGAAGCGGCACCGTTGCACTGAGGACAATCGTTTAGTGGTCCTCCACCGCCGCCACCAAAACCTAAGTACACGAAAACGAAAAATCAGAAATGACAATTTACGGCTTCCTGTTGACCAAAAGTGTCTCACATGCATTATATCAAACTTTGCAAACATCAAATAGATGAGCTGTTTAAAATATTTCAGTCCAATTCAATCCTTTTTTTTTTCAATTTGTACATCTCTGTCTGATATTTCAGGTGTTGAATTATTTTTAACTTCTTTTGATGTCTTGTGAGGTTATTTTTATGTCACTCAATTTGGTGACAGGTCCAACAGTAAAGTTCATTAAATCAATGATCGCGAAACAGCCCTTTTTCGAAGAATATCTAAGTTTTTTATCTAATTTTCTTGTAGTTTTGAATATTGAGCATAGTCGAGCCTAGGCGCTGCATGTATAACACGTGACCTGTGGAAAATATCTATATCAAGATCACTTATAGCCACTTTTACACTTTTCTGATGTCATCGGCATTTATGTTCAGGATGCATCGGTTTCGACTTCTCGCGATGTTATCATGATCAAGTCAGACATTTTGACTATTTTCCAAGCTTAAGGACATAGCAAAATATTTAAGAGATAACGAAGAACGCTTCTCAGTCTAATAAAAGCCTTTAAGTTTAAGTTCGCTTTATTTTAATAAGGTTTCGTCTCTCGTAAACAAAAAGGAAACTAAGTTGACTTACAGCACCATCCATTGTTGTTACAGCCACAGTGACAACTAGGCCCTCTCCATGAACCTGCACAACCCCACGGATGATACCCAAATGGAACTCCATGTCCTGCCCAAATGGGATGAAAACAAGGCCCGTACTCCGGATACTGTGGACCCGGTGGCCATCCCCAGGGAGTTGGCCAGTGTAGTAAAGGATCGCCGAATTCGTCTAATCCAAAGGGACAGTCATGTGGAAGTAAACATCTCCTTCTACTGTTGAACTTGGTGGCTTTTTGTGATTCTTGACTTCTCTTAACCTTGCCTTTAATTTCATTTCTGATGTCCTCTTTGTTTTCTTGGTCTGTTTTAGACTGACTTCGATCGAGGCCTTCTTGGAGAACCCTGATGACTCGCTTTAGCGGATTTAATTCTTCTTCTGTATAAATTTCCAATGGTTCTTCCTGTCCATCCCTTTTAACACCCTCTGTTGTGTCCTCAAAAGCGACGACCAAGCAAACAACACAAAGGAAAATTTGTAGGGAGTTTAACCAGACACCCACCATATTTACAATTATTTGTGAGCGCAGTGGTTAGAATTATGTTCTCAGTGGAAGGTATCGTTATGCTTTATTGACGTCAGACTTGTAAACGAATTTTTGAAAATACCCTCAACAACAATCTGCGAGGTTTCGAGATGCTCTTGCCAACGATGGTATACTTTAATTTAAAACTCTGGAAAATTTTAAAACGTCAACAATTTTTTGGAACTTATATTTCAAGAAAACTGTAAAGAATTTCAAAATAGATACAAGGTTTTAATCTTTGTCGCTGACAATTATCGCTTTTGAACAATGAGAAGTGCTTGTGGTAGTACTATTATTGATAGGCAGGAGCCACTAGAACACACCCCTTACGTGAAAGTTAAATCATTTATTACCATGCTTGCACGTAACGTGAGAAAGCAAAAGATTATTTTGATCAAAACATAATGGGTGAGTTAAACAACAAGCATTATGGCCATCCAGACCATTTTAACTTGCTACGTTCATTGAATTTACTATCACAGACGTTTGTTAGTGTTACTTCATAAAAAAATCAAACAACGTTGATGGTTAAACGGTTGCTATCTGCTTGTTTGCGCTCGTGTGCATCGGCTAGCGGTTTCTTAACATCCTGAGGTTTATCGTTTTGTTTTTCCTCTTCACAACCTGCAAATATGAAACAATATCCAGAATTTGCAAACAGTCCGTTCTTAAAAACAGCTCGACAGATTCGATATCTAATCAAAAGGCGCCTGATTTCCTTCAAAAGAACTTGTTGAACCAGTACAAGCTGGGGATCAAGACCATTCAGATACTTTAACGCGAAGATTCGAATTAAATAAATGATTTCAAGATCGAGCTCAACTTCATGGTAATCATGGTGGAAGGATTTGATGCTATCGGGTATTTTTTCAACATTATAGGCTATAATCGATATATTCATCTTTCATTATAGTCTCCCTCAAACAGATTAAACTCTAAGTAATATATTGTTTTTACTTAGGGATACTGCCAAATCAGTTGTAACAGATATGGTCATTCTAGCGTTCTTCTATATGATTATAGCCTAAGATAATTGATTTTCCAGTGCAAGATATTCCGCTAAAAGCATGAAGAACTTACAGCACCATCCACATTGCCCACATGGACATGAATCAAACTGAGATCCTGCTTCATCACCACCAAAACTTCCCTGCAACCAAGGCCATCCATATCCAAAACTGTATAGTGGCGTCGGAAGACCATTTGAAGCCGTTGGACATGCCATGCAGGGCCACTGCGGGTATGTCCTTACAAATCCATCTGGGCAACTAGCACTAAATGGACAGAAGCAGCTGCGTTTCGACCCTTCCAGAATGGGTATTTTGTTTGGTAAGTGTTCATCGCCTTTTCTTTTGTGGTATCGTTGTTGCTCGAACCTTGATTTAATCTCCGTGACTTCACGTTGAGTGATATCTCTACCTTGTTCAATGCCATCAGTTGTTCCATCAGTTGTTCTCAAGACGTCTTTAGCTTTGTTTTCCATTGATTTTAGAGCTTTTCCACGACAGCTTACCAGCCAGAGTGAAAGGAAAAGGAGACCAGTGAAGTACATGGTCGCTTCAGTTATTTCTCAATATTGTGTACCTTCTTATGTCAATACCTTTTTAAACGTCTTTCTAAGAGTTGAAGCAGTCAGATCAAAAGAAAAAGGAATAAAACGACAACATTCATGCTATAATTGCAGAAAACCTAACGATATTTTGGAAACAATATTAGAGAGAGGAACAAAACAAACAAACAAAGCTAGTGCAAGAATAATCTATTCTGTCATCCTGCTAGTACTTGACCAAATTTTGACTCTTTTCTCCGCCTTTAGGTGACGCCTTGTTGCGTTTTTATACATTTACACCATGAAAGACACCAGAAAGGGGATTAAAATGGGGAAACTGGGGGCTACGTTGCTAATTTGCAAAGTTCTCTTTCTTTCAACAGGGATAGGGCATCAACGTCGAGAGCATAAAAAATAGGGAACTTTTCATCCGTTTTTAAATCACGAGCGTATTGTCGCCGTGGTCTGCAGGGCCCAGAATTTTCGAACAGCATAGAACTGAATTTGAGCGTGAGAGGGCCGGGCGACCGGATATGTCACAGGGCTGTCATTAAGATCTCCCTCGGCTACTAGGAACGTGGCCCCGGCTACTGTCATAGGAAAATAGAATTAAAAAAGGAAATCCCTAGCTGTTGAATTTCCCGCCTGCTTGTTGTATTGTGCGTGGTAACTTAGTGACAACCCTGTCAGATATAGATTGAAATAATGAGAACTCGTTTCAAATGGAATCGTGAATGAACAAAAGCATCTGTTGTCTCTATTCAGGGGTCACCCATATTTAGGAGACTATGCTCTGTTACCATAAGGGTGTTTCCACTCTATATCCTGAGTTTTCCTTGAAACCTCTGTTGAAGAGAAATCTCTCTTCACGGGACACTTGTCGGGTTCTGAGAGTGTCCAATGAAGCCCCCTCTGTATGTAACCCTTTTTCTTCCTTTTACATTTTCATTTTTCTGTCATCTTTCCTTTGCCTGATTACTTGGCCAAAAATCATCTCTTGATGTTTTTTTTTTCTCACTTGGTGGGTTCGGTAACCTGAGCAAAATGAAGCTGGTTGTGCTCACGTTCTTGTGCCTTTTTTCGGGTGTCGTGCTAAGTGAATAGAACTAATAGAACTTGTGTAATGCTCTCTTTTCTGTATTGTTTGGCATCCGATTTTAGAGGTTTGTCCTTGAATTCTCAAGTCATCACGCGTTTAAGAGTTGTCTGTACTAAAAGAAAGTGGATAGCCACTCAAGAGCATCACTCATTCTTAGTACAAGTATTTGAATCTAGCATTTGGATCAGAATACTAATGGGAACAAAGAAATGACAAATTTTGTCTATCTGCGGGCGTTTTACTATGGGCCATACTTATATGATTATTATGTAGGTAAAGAAGGTGGTAAATGTGTGATTTCTTTAAAAGCGTGAAAGCTGTACTACGTTTCTCCTAGAATACGTCCGACGAAAATAAAATGCATTGACTGATATCAGTTAAAAACCTTTATTAGGCTTCTTTACAAGTAGTGGTCTTAGGACTGCTGATCTCCTAAGCATGGACGGACGATAACCACTCATTTAGTCGGTAGCTTCCTAAGCAAAGAAACGGAAAACACTTTTCTATTTCTTCCAACCAGTAGCGGGGAAGGTATGCCTTCCCTCCTTTTCTGGCCTCCTGTAAACAGAGAGAAAACGATAAATTAAAAAAAAAATAAAAGACCTAAATATTGACTCTTTAGAAGGTTTTCGTGGAGAAACTAAGCACAAAAATCGACCAAAACACTTACAAAACTAAACTTTGCCTAAAGGCCTAAAGCCCCCATTCACAGAGCAAGTTTACTCTCGTTTTAGTTCCACGAACCCTCGGCCAGCGGAATCAATTCAGCATTCTTGCACGGAAAGCAAAACAAACCATTCATGAGTCATATTAGCATGGCCCTTTTTTCTCCTTAACTTGAAGGCTGCACCTTTCTTCTTGTTCTCATTAGAAGCACTAGTAAGTTTAAAGAGACGCAAGGTTTAAGGAGTGCAAGAAGTGCAATTTTGGTACAAGCCAAGCTTACGATAATGACCATTTGGAAAATGGAAAACTTTTAGAGATCCTTCACTTTCGAAACTCAAGGGCTTCATATTAAGCATATTACAAATGTAGAGAGTACATTATCAACTTTCAAGCTTTCTTATTAAGGGCTGCAGAGAGAGAGAGAGAGAGAGAGAGAAGAAGAAGAAGAAGAAGAAAGCAGATTTCATGCACTTTATAGATGTTGGCTTATGGAGGAAGGAATTCATGTCAAGTTGTTTGGCATCTCTTAGGACCAAGCAAACTTAACCTATGAAGGTGTTTAAAAGCGTAAGCCTTTCACTCACTCACCGAGCCAAACGTGTTGAACATTTCCATCTCTAAAAACATGGGGAAAACAACGGCCATATCCGCATCCACATCCACCTGTGCATCCACAACCACAACCACAACCTCCACAGCCACCATACTCTACGTCACCTCCCTCGCATCCATATCCGCAGTCATATCCGCCGTTACATCCGCCTCCACAACCGACATGAATATTGTTCTGACTGCCAACATAATCCCAAGGAGAAATCCAACCGGGGGGACAAACTTGAGGATGGCAACGTTTGGTGGCCTTTGCTTTACCCCTTTTGACATTTTCAACTACACTTTGAATTTTCTTCTTCCTTTCTTCAATCCCTTTAAGTTTTACTTGCTGGTTTGATCCGGCCAGATTGGTTCCGTAATCTAAAAGGCCTTCTTTATTACTCCCAGATGTGCTTTTCACTTTTTTGGCATCGATTGACTGTGGCCTTGCATCAATAGGATTTGGAGTTCCCACAGGGAAAAGCGTGAATGTTGCTGAAAGTGTGGCAAGGATAAACAATTTCATGGTGAACAGTGAGAGGTTCTCGCCTTTCTACTTCAAACGCGGGTAACCAGAATAAGATACTCTTTGCAGGCAGGTACCGTATTTGAGTAGCAGAACATTCTTCTTATTCGTTTAATAAAGACAGGGGTGTGGTTTGTTTTCCGGTACCATTGTTTGATCATAATAGGTTACCTTACAGTCAATATCTCGCTTGCTTATAAGACTGACAGCAATAATTTCACAACGTAATTGCACATTTCATTACTATGTGCTTAACGTGACGATTGTGTTGAATATGAACACTTTCCAAGGGAAGCTTGTAAAATTGAGCCTTTTATATCTTGATTACAATTTTTCGACATTATAACTTTTTTTACACAGTTGGCCCCTGTTTCCCTTAGGTCTGATCAACAACTCTGCAAAACCAAAAAGGTTATTGCCCGGAAAAAGTTTAATAATTTCAATTTTAAATTTATCTAATGAGATGCAATATCCTTTTGTTATCACAGGGTATCTAACAAACTTACAAAGGAAGACGTCAACACGGAGAAGTAGTCTCATTAACAAGGGTGTATGCCTCACCCGTATTTACTCGAGGAAAGATTTCCAAACCTTGCAACCTAGCAAGTAGTGGCCCTCTGTAATATTGCCGGTCCCAAGACCCTTCAGAAATACAAGAGCTTTTGCAGCAAATTCCCAGCCGTTAAGAGGCTCCACGTCGATACTGCATGTCTTAATAATTGTTATTTTTTATTTTAAACTGATCAATTTTATTACATCAAACCATTTTTTTTTACATTATTGCAGATTCGTGGCTCCTTTGGATCAATGTTAAAACCACTAAAAAAAGGCATTCCTAATGCACTTTATTATTATCTCCCATGGTTTATAGTACAGTATCTAATTGTGCTTGTGAGTAAATCCGCGCTTCATACAAAGAAAAAAGATTGTTCAAAATTTGGCAACTTTCACTGATGGTTTGTTCAGTTTTAGAGGTGATGGAACTGGAAGAGGCATATCCCGTTGGCCATTCTTTGGATTTTTGCCAGCTGGCTTGTACTGTGCTGGTTCAGATTTTGCAAAATCCCTTTCCTTTTCCTTTTCCTCTTTCTTACAACCTAAAAACAAAACATGAAAATAATAGAAGTAACTTTATAAAATACAATTTTACCCGTATATCACTTACTTAGAAAATAATGTCAAAACATTTCATACAGCACATTTCATAGCTTTAGAGTCCTTTTAGAGTTCTATCCATTTTCATCTGCGAAATAGGGTTCTTCCTTTAAAGGTGGTATATACTTGCATTTAATTTTCGATTTAGACAACTTTAACTAGGTAATGATATTCTTCCATTTTTGTCTCCGTTTAATAAAGATCAAACTATTTAATGAAAACTACAAAACTCATTATAACACTAATTATCTTTACAGCACTTCTTAATTAGCCTTTGCTATTTTGGTGCACTGCCACACGTTACAATGGCGTAATAATATTGAATTGAATTGTATATAAACCTCGCTAAAACAAGATTTCCTCCATCCTCCTCTCAAAGGCTCACGCAGAGAATCTTAATGCGTGGGTCTATTTTCTTCTCAAAACACTCAGGCAGAGAAACTTAAAGCATGTTAGGAACTATCGCACCTAAAATGATTTCGTCGTAAGACAAAATATGAGATAAGTGACCGTTCCTTAAGACTAACCAGCTAGCGCCATTTGCAGTTCAACTATCATGGAGCTGGATCATTTGGATCTCTTATACAAATCTATGGAATGAAGTTAATTTTATCAAAGGGAAATCTTCGTTATGGAGTATATACTTACAGCAACATGGAAATGGGAATCCAAAACTGCCACATCCTCCACATCCTCCACACCCTCCGCAGCCTCCGCATCCTCCACAACCACCACACCCACCAAAACCACCACCACACCCACCAAAACCACCACATCCAAAACCACCTCCCAAATATGGACCACCATACCCTCCATAACCACCCAACCCGTACAGACCTCCACAGCCTCCACAGCCAAAGCCCGGCCAGATTCCTCCGAAACCTCCACAAGGTGACAGTGGATACGTATACGGACCACTGCAACCGATCACTTCGAATTCGTTTGGAACACCACAAGGAAAAGGACATAAGCACCTCCTGCGGATCTTCTTCATGCTATTGATCTTTGGCTCGAGTGGTGTTATTTGGATATTTCCTGGTGTACTCATGAGATCAACAGAGCCCTGATCGTTTTGTCTTCGTGAAGAGGGATTTTGTAGCCCCATGGGTTGCAGAGCAGTGATAGTAAATGGCCCTCGAATTCCCATGCTATTTTTCCATTGCAGCTTATCTTTTCGCATTTCCTCATCTCCACTGGAATTCTCGGTTTCTTCTTTCTCTCCACTAAAATCCTTCGAGTTCTGCTCTTCTTTGTCGGTTTCAAAAATACGTCTCTTTTCTCTCGCTCGTGGTTCTTCGTCAATGGTGCTTCCATCCTCTTCATCTTCCTCATCGGAATTTCCAGAATTTTCCAGTTCATCTTCCACGCTAGATTTGTCTTCACGTTTTTCTACAAATCCCTGGTCTTCATTAACAGGTTTAGCCTTTGCTATCGCTAGGAAACAAAAGAAAACCATAAACACAGTCACAGATTTCATACTTGTTTCTCTTTGCTTGAGGAGATACAATTCTTCCTCCGCAAATTTTGCTTGAAGGCAAAGTACCAGAACGAAATATTCCGTAATCTTATGTCATTGTTTTGACTGCCTAAATGGCATGCATGATCACCTGTTGAATCGTTATGGAATCTTGAATAGAACTAGCACTAGCACACTTTGTTTTAAGGCCATTCACTATCTTTTTTCTTACACTTAGAATAGACTTCAGGTGCTGATGTCCGCCTTAAAGCTTGCTAAAAAAAGAGGTGTTACTAACACACGAAAGCACGTTGGTGTCTTAAAAAAAGCCCTTTAGTGACGAAACTGGACTTCCGTAATGTCATTTAAAAATGATTTTTGTAAAAATATCGTGATGAAGAAAATGCCACAAAGCGGTAGGCAAAACTGAGTACTTTCTCTCTTACGCCCAGAACTATTTGTTTACAAAGTTTTGGTGACTGTTATCACGTATGCGAAGAAATCTGTTCTGAATATTTACCCCTGAATCTAGCCTCTCTATTTAAACAACGTTTTTAAGAAGATAATAGAAACAGGGAGAGGGAACCATGTGAAATTGCCCAGTGCATTTGCACACACCTAAGTGCTATGGCAAGCAGAACGCATTGAACATGTTGCTTTGAAGTTGGAAAATTCAATAGACCATTCGATTATATTAGGGTGAAAAAGTTTGATTTTGTCTCTACTCTTCGGTCAGGCTTCGACACATACTTGATGGCGAATTATCTGCTTTCGCGTAGCTTTTCGTCAAAAAACAATTAAGTCCTGGTTAACTATGCAACTTGAACTTTTTGGAAATACGGTAACTTTCTGACTTTAGTTGTTTTGACTACTCTAAAGTTTAGCCATCTTGGTCATGGCAATATCTGGTTAATCATTTATTTCAAGGTTACCTTAACAAAAGAACTGCCCCAAGACGTTCTGGTTCCATTCATAAGATGACAATCCAAACTTGGTGGTATAAACGCTTCAGTAAATTCTTGAAAGCTCTCATTGTACTAATGACAACTGACATAAATGATGAGAACAGCCTGGGCGGAGGGGGTCGCCGATGTAACAAACGTCCCAGAAAAGAGGGGAATGGCGGGAATTTAAAGCAAGTGAATAATTAATTGATTGTAAGTCAATGATTGATTTATTTAATGATACAAGCAGCCTTTTGACCTGTAAAAATCGAATCACCCAATCATACGCGCGCTTTTTTGTTATTGAACAAAAGAGGCTTGATACAATCTAACGCCACGTAAAGTTGCTTAATTATTCCATCCACCTAAGAAAATCCTAACCTAGAAAAGGTGCCTTTTTTGAAAACGACTATAAGGTCTTGGATGCTGCTATAGTACTGCAAGAATGGCGGGGCTGCCATCAATAATTTTAGTATTTCTCACCTTCCTTAGTGTTTACCTCTATGGGATAAACGGAAGACCAAACAATTTGGAAGATGTGTCTGCAGCCGAGAATCGAATAACCTTCGAAGGGAACAACTTGATAAAAAAATCAAAAACAAAAAGTGGCGAGCAGGAAAAAGGTAGGTCTTAAAAAAAACGAACTTTGAATACTTCTCTTCCATAGCCTTTTTTGATTTCCATGAGTTTCTCCTTAGCGTTAAAATTAACTAGATCCAATAACAATTATTTCATAGCCCTGATCACAGAGGTTTTTCCTGTAATGTTGTTTTTAAGCAAAAATCATCACACGCAATAGTTCAATTCCCCTAATTAAACGGATTTTGGAGAAATTCATAGTTTCCTTTGACTTATTTAGTTTTGTTGATTATCCGTTTACCTGTTATCTGAGTCTCCTTTCTTTGTTTGTTATTTCAATACGAAGTAAAAAATCGTTCTATCAACATGCTTATTTTTTGCTTACATCTTTTTGTTGCAACTCAGACGAAAGCAGATCTGCCTTCTATTAGGTGCTAAATTTATTTTGAAGTTTAGACGAATAGATTCATGGCAAATCAAAGGTAATTCGAAAAAATATTTTTTGTTAACAAATAACACATTCAACTGCTTAATTGAATACACTAGCCACCCGCGATAATGTGTCTTCCAAACAAAGATGACAGGTTGGCATTTAGCTGACTGGTTGAGTGGTTCTTTATAATCTGCCTTACGAACTGTCTTTATTGTGAAAGCAACATGCATGCTCCATCAAGCGACCTCACATAAAATTTGGTTGATTTCCGACACTTAAATCTCTGTGCGTGCAACTAACTGATGAAGAGAAAACTTTGTCGATATGTGCCAAAGGTATTCTAGCTTTGTACTTTAAGCTTCTTTTACAAAGGTTTAAAAGAACAGGGGAGTAATTAGCACTGTCAATCTTACGTTGACATTTTATCAACGATGCCATTTCCCTGTTAGGAGTATTTAATAAAAAAATAAGACACTTACCTCGTTATATACATATTTCTTTTTGCCAGGCCGGAATTCGCACAGGGGAAATAAAAAGCAAGTCATTGATGCGTTTCATCTTGGTCCTTACCATCACGGCCATCCTTGGGGCACCATGTCTCATTGGCCTGGGTATCACTGGGGAGGTGGGCATCATGGTGGGTGGACCGGGTACCCAATTCTTGGAGGATGGCATAGATCTCATATCTCTAAAAAGGGAAGTAAACCGTCAGCACACAAGTCAGCTTTAAAGCGCCAAATGTTGTCTGCGTATACTTACCCTATGGCTGGGGCAGTCTACCCGTACCTAGGGTTTGCCGCAGTCCCGTTTACCCCCGCACCCTTTGCCTGGGGATATGGCATGTACCGTTCAAGTATTCCAGAGGTAATATCACAAGGATTTACCAGGTCTTCCGTGAAAGGTCCTACTGCAAACAAAAGATGGTGGCCCGGATACATGGGAGGATGGGGAGGATGGGGCATAGGAAATTCAGGTTACCCAGGGTGGGGGCCGTTGGGTGACGACATTTGGGGACGTAGTTTTGATCTTGCTGACCCTGGTCATGGATGGGGCGTTGACATTGGTGGTACTTACCATCCGTTTCTGCGAGCTGAGATTCCCGGGAGAAACAACGACAAAGAAAATAAAGCAGACAAGCGTTGGTGGCCTGGATACATGGGTGGCTGGGGAGGATGGGGTTTAGGTAATACTGGTTATCCAGGATGGGGGCCTTTGGGAGCTGATTTAGCTCATGGGTTCAATCCCTATGGCTATGGCCACGGATTAGGTCACTTCGGGTATGGATATGGATTGGGGCCTGACGGATTTGGTCATGGATTTGGTTTAGGATATGGTTACAGTCATGGTTTGGGGCTTGGTTACCGTAGGGATACTTCTGGCAAAAAGGGAGCAAAAGCGGAAGAAGGCCCCAAACGGCAATTTATACACGGACCATATGGAGCGCTTGACCACCCGTGGGATGACTATGGATTCGGATTTCCATATGGACCATACGGAAGTTTTGGCTCCCCTTTCCTTGGCCATGGAGCGTACGTTCCCTATCCAGAAGCACTTTACGGGGGTTATCCCCAGTGGGGCTATGGTGCGTACCCCTTTTTCAACAGTTTCCATATGGGTCACAACTTTTACAAATCAAATATCCCAAGCAAAGACTCTAAAAAAGTGAGAAAAGAGCGCAAAAAAGAAGAAGGAGCCATAGGACGCCACCTTGTCCATAACTTTCATCCAGGAAGATATGGATGGGGAGGAGCTTTATATCCTGGTCATGGCTATCACAGCGTCTTTCCTTTACTCGGAGCTTTCACCTACGGCGGTCTCTATGGGGGTTATTATGGCCCTTATGGACCTCCGCGAGGTGCATTTGGCCCATATCATAGGTCCAAGGTCCCTGATTCACCAGAAAATGCCAATAGTAGACAAGTAGTTAACTATCACCCTGGCTGCTATGGATGGGGTGGATGTATGTACCCAGGTTGTGGTTGCATCGGTGGATGGAAATGGCCAGTACCTTGCCACTTCCTCCACCACTCTCACCATTGTGTCCCTTGCTGGACGCGTTCTAATTCTCCAAAAGCGCAGAATGTCAAAGAGGAAAAAGGGAAAGTCAGACAGGATATTTTTGGGCCTGACAGTGATGTTAAGGATCCCACAACAAGTCCTCATTTGGAGGGTGCTGAATTGCTACATCAAGAGATGCAAAGTCTGGCCATGGGATATCCTGGCATTGAGAAAATACAAACACCTATGGGTGAAAGTAATCCAGCGCCACAGGAATATGCCAATCAAGAAAATGAGAACAACCAAGCACCTGAAGAAACGCCTTCTGATGAAACAGCTGGGGAAAATACAGCCCAAGCCACGCCAGAAGTAGCCACTGTAGTCGCTGGGCAGGAGGGTATGGGGGCAACAGAAAATCCAAATGACTTGGGATCGATGCTTGGAAGCGTAGAGACTGGTCCGCAGCAACAATCCACAAATGATATAATGTCCAGTTTTAACATGAATCCTTCTGAGGGAGAAATGCCAGCGGACTCATTTGGCGATACTGGTAAGCTGTCTCTGTGCTAATCGTCACATTCCTTTATAGATTAAAGGCTTTGCACTCTTCGAGCTCCTTCCTGATGATTCGCCACTGCTTGGGTTTACGAGTTGAGCAAACAAGCTTCACGCCCGTTTTAAACAATCTTTATGGTTTATGAGCAGTTTTTTTTATCTAGATACCCACTGCGTCCTTTTTATCATTTTTAACCTGGCAAGCTGAATATCGGCTATTAATGATTTGCTCTTGCCTTGAGAGTTCTTAATATCTAGAAAAATTTGGTCTCGAAAGAAATATGTATTATACTTTGTCAAATTTTGTCTCAAAGGGGAACAGGGCAAATAGCAGTCTTCTTAGTGGCAGTGAATTGTTACAATGGTTTGCTCCTCATTCGCTACATTCCGTTTTTATTTTAAAGTCACTTCCATAGTATAACTCGTGTAGCCAGATTTCTTGCTCGTCCCCATTTAGTGGTGTAGATTTTTTTTGGAGTATCAATAAAATATTTAAAGATCTCCGATATTTACTCTCTCTTTTAAGGAAATCCCAACGTTCCAAGTATGTATGGCCAAGAAAGTGATGGACAAACCACCGAAGGTGCATCACGCCGAGCTGATATTCCAAGTATGGACGACAAGGCAGTGGTTAAGAAGCAAGCAGTGTCATATCCTTACAATTACTTCTACCCCGGTTACATGATGCCTCATAGCGTCACTCCTTATTTGCATTACACGCCAGTCAATTATGTAAGAACTATTTTCATCATTGTCCCTACTCTCAAACCATCGTCTAACTAACTCGGTTGTAGAGAATCACGACAACTGTCGTATTAGACATTTTGCAAAGTATTTTACCTTTCACATACTAGTTAGCTATTTGCACTATGTCTGAATTTGCTGCACATCACCCACCCTTTCAATCAACGACATCGTCGACCTTGCGTCGCAATGAATGGAGCTGCAACTATTTTTTTCACTCTCTCATCATCAATCGGCAGTTTTCTATTTTCTGCCTGGTTTGGCTGGGGATTCCCTATGCTGTTAAGCTTATTTTCAGAACAACGTGAGAGAGTTACCTATAGCTGCTCCAATTTTTTCGACCATTTCGTCGTTTATTTCATATTATTTATTCCTATTTGGGTCATTTGGCTTCCCTACTCTTATCATACCTGTCTGGACGCTTGTAGCTTTCCCCGACCAAGTATCTATATCCTTGCGTTCTATTTATCTCCTCCTGTAGATCGCTGCTCAGCACATGATGACTTATCCAACATCCTATCCCGTGGTGCACCCTTATTCTATGGTAGGTCCACAACTACTAAATCATCGTTCACATTCAATTCACGTGGGTGCACCTGATGTTAACATCGATGTTCACACGACAAGGGAGCACGTGGCTCGGCACTCAGAGAAGCAAGTAAGGAAGTACTTGATGTGTATGTTGTCATTTCCAGTGCTTTAGTATTACACTAAATAACCTGGCCATTCTATAACACCAATTAAAAATAGTATCTTCAGGGTTATTCTAAATAGTTGTTCATTATGATCCGTCAAATCAAAACAGAATAAAAAAGGTACATATGCCACGTGAGACCTCTTTTGTCTTTTTTTTTTTTAAAATGGCATATCTCCGTGTTCCTTGTTACTCTTATTGGCCATGATAGTTTCTTCATCTGATAAACAATCCAATAAAACACAAGATTAGCTACCTTCATCCCGTTAAAAACTCTCCACAACAGTTCAGTAAATTTGTTCTCTCATTCTTCCTGTGAATACGAATTAAGTTCTTAAGTTCTTAAGGCAGCGTGCCTGTATTTCTCATGCCGAATAAAATACAGTTGTTTCAGATTTTTTTCTCCTGTTTCTTTTCAGAAAACGAGAAAGCTTAAACAAATGATGGGAGATTTTTCCAGGAAACTAAAAGGCAAAAACAGCAAGTCGTCAAGAAGAAAGCGGGTGCACAAAAGGCAGATATCTTCCATCGTCTCACCTCCAATCATAAATCGGCCCATGGGATTTCCACCTTCACAGTTTAGGTCTTATAATTAAGATAATTCCTGAGTTAAAAAGACTTACCTAACCTAACTAACTCATAAAATTGGTAATCAGATATTAATTGCAAACGTGAATCACAACTAATACTAACTTCAGTAAGATGCATTTTTGAAAAGTGTTTTAACACTCTACTTTAGTCTTGATTAAATTATGAAGTAATGAATGATTTTCTCAAAAACGACAAAAACGATATAACTATAACATTTAAATGAAGGGAAATACTATATAAATGAAGAGATAAAGCTCGGCTGAAAGTGACAACAACATACTGAGGGACACAACATTTCAAAGAAGCATTCGAAATCATGTTTGTGTAATTTTGTAAAGAAATGAAATGCTATTAAAATGCCTATAAGACCGATGCTTTTTGTCGTAAAAGTGTCTTATCAATTAAGTATAGAGGATTGCACGTAAATGTTTTCGATAGGGGCATGATAGTTTGACATTTTATCATTCACTGAGGTGCATGTTCAAATTTGAAGCATGACTAAACTAGCTATGTTTAGCAGTATTTATATTATACATCTTGCGAGAAAGGAGTGGCTCATGTCATTCTTAGTCGAAAACATTTACATATATATATTCTCTAGTGTCAGAGACTAAGAGACCTAAATGTTCAAGAACCATCATTCATTTCGTGCAAAGATGCCGCCCCTGAAAAAACCTACCTTGACCTCCAGAACCGGTGACGAATGCGTCATTCCTCTTCTCGCAATTAATACGCATGCTCTGTTTGAGTCAAATGTTATTACGATGCATTTTAAATTTCAGCAATGTAAACTTGGTATTCTTTTTTGTTAGAAACTTTTAACCGAATTTAATCAACCACATGGAGTTCACTTACCTTCCGAATTGTAATGAGGGAATTTTCAACAATGAAATTGAGATACTTTTGAAACAGTTTCAAGAAATAAATTTCTTACCCTTTCTCTCTTTTTCAAGTCAAAACTGGATTTAAAGGGGCTATGTTACGGATGCCTAATTCCTTGCGGGGTTAATATTGCCAAAAAATGCGTCTTTATTCACGAATGGACTTGACGTTAGCGAGGAATTTACTTGTAGATGACAAAAGCACAGCTTCGCATTAAACAAATATCTCCTCGAAAGCATGACATCAAACGTTCCCATCAACAAAAATGAATTTTGAAAACAAGTTTTCAAAGTCCGTTTTTTTTTCTTCAAATTTGTCCATCAGTGCCTTCTTTTGTGTTTGTTGTGTTATTCATAACTTCTTTTAATGTTTTGAGCCGTTAATTTTAATGTTTTACTCAATTTGGTGGCAGTATATTGTTTGAATTGTGCTAAATTTGGTGACACAGCTCCTTTAACTCAATATTATTTTTTATAAAATCATTCTGATCCTGATTCCGGACGTTTTGTGATTGTAGATACCCGGTTACAAATACTCCAGGCCTCTTGGAACAAAGGTAAGCTGCTTCTACTTCTTTCCCCTCTTGAAATGAATGATGGTTCTCTTTTTCACCAGTATCTAGCAAACTAGCAAAATTCAGAGCTGTTATTTGAAACAATAACGATGAAACTGAAAATTACTCTGAGTTGACATTTTTAGTGCTAATTTCACTGATTATCAGCCCCTAGTTAAAGAATGAGGAACAGCGCGAGGTAAACAAAAAGTACTTTGAACCTCGTTGCTCTTTTGCTCGTAACCAGATGGGAGCATATCGAGGGTGATTAAGGTGGTTGAAACTCGTTGAAAAGAAAAAAAGAGTTAGCTTTTCAAGGGATGAAAATGAAGTAATTAGTATCTCTACTCTACCATTGTTGGTGGAATAGAGATACTAACAAGTGCAATGCCGCTCAATGGTTCAAAATCTACATGTATTCGTTATTTTACCAGGTTTTATAAAATAGAATGGCGTAACCCAAAGGAGAGACTGAACATGGCCCTTAACCCCCCACCCCATGGCCCCACTCTCCACCACTTATTTTTGGCAAACTGATGGGGTGTTTATTAATAAGCAAAGAATACTAACACCATATATTTTTTCAGAGATATTAAAGGGAGCGCCACTTGTGTGTTAAAATTGTGAGCCCTGTGATCTTAAAACATTTTAGGAATTATCTCTGATCTAAAGACCCAAAGGTTCTGAAGCGTTAGCTCGAAATGTGTCTTCCTGAGAATTAGGCATCTTCAAACATGTCCCAAATCCCATAACTCTAACAGTACAACCAAATGTTATGTAAGCATTGGCCTTAGTAAATCGTTTGAGCCACAAGACAACACAGTTCTTGGTGTGGTCTGGGCATGTTTGAAAGTTCATGTAGGCATAAATAGTTAGTAGGATAAGAAATGAGAAAAAAAAAAAAATTTTTATTGGCCCCTTCAATCAACTTTGGCCTTTGCTGGTGTTACCTAAAACGGTGTCTAAAAGACAAAATTATTATCTCTCAGGATGTATTCATTTCCGCAACAATCGCTTGTACAAACACAACCTTTTGCAATGAATGCCATCGCCCGCTCTGGCCTTCCCTCTGTGCCTTCCCCAGCCTTGGGATCACCTGCAATGGGGCTTTCAGCTCTCCGTAATCCTCAGATGAGGCCTGCATATAATCCTTCTCAGATGGGTTTCTCACGTCAGTTGTCGAGCATCACTGGTATTAGTCTGCCGTTATCTGTCCAACCTGGAATGGGCATAGTAGGTAGGAAATGAGTAAGCAAATGAGAAGACGGCGATCTCAGTAGCAGATTACTGAAATGATTGAATGTTTGACGTATTAACTCGCTAATTTTCACAGCCAAAATGAGGGTCTGGCGCTGACTTCTGACTTACAATAATTTAATGCTCGGGGAATTGTTGACGCCAGCACACCAATGCAAGGTTGATCAATCTGGCGGTTCAGGTGGTTTAATGTTGACAAACCTGTGAATGACAAACTATACGTTTGTGCTCCTTCTCCTTGCACGGAAGGGGTCTTAAAGCTCGATAACACATGATGACTAAGAAATAAATGAGTAAAAGGGGAACGAATGAACGTGAATGAGTCATCGAATAATCTTAAAGAACGGTAGACGGATGGATGAAGTTAAGTAGAAAGGGAAGAAGGAAGAAAAGAAGGAACGAACTAGCGAACGAGTGAATGGATGGATGAATGAATGAATGAATGAATGAATGAATGAATGAATGAATGGATGATTGATTGATTGATTGATTGATTGATTGATTGATTGATTGAATGAAAGGATTGATGAATTGATAAATTAACGAATTACTGAATTAATGACGGCCACGACTTTCCCTTTATTTAGGAATGGCTTCACGAAAGAAACGATCTCCGTCAAGGAAACTTTCTAAGAAGAGCAAGAAGGCTACAAAGCGTCAATTCCTGGCTGGTTTACCTCAGTCCCCTCAACTAGCGGGATTTCTTCCGTTTGGTGCAGGTGCTGGTTTACCAACATTTCCCACGATTCCTTCCCCACAGATGGCTTTCGCGTCGACTGCTGGAGCAACTGCGTTTCCGGCAAAGCTACCTCAGTCTGGCTTACCAGCTTTGAGAATGGGATCCTTTCCAGGGGAAAATATACCGGGAATAGCACCGTTTAGTGCATTTCCTTCTCTTCCAAGTAACCCATTCGTCAAGGAACCTCAAATGCAGAATATGAACTTTTTTAGAAACGCTGCTGGTAGCCAGTGGTCCCCGAGTCCTACCATAAGAGGAGGAATGGGAGGTATAATATCGTCTTTCTATTTAATTATAAAAGTATCATGATATTACCTGTAGGAAGGCCTTTTTATAAAAAAAAATGTACATTGCGGGAGTCATCGCTTTATAGCAGTAAACTCTAAAAGGGTACTTGAGAGAGGTGGTGACGAGGCTGGACGGTTATGGACCGCCACAGGAGCCCATCACATTGATGGGCTCCTGGCCACGAAGCCCATCATATATGAATTCTGATGGAGGAGGACTTTGAGGGTCCGTTCTTATTCTCTTTCTTTTGTTCAATGCAAAAAGCCTGTAAAATTACTTTTTAGTGTTAGCAATTTGCGTATCTCTCTATTGTCCATCTGGCTAGTAAATCGAGTGACTGAACCTTCGAAGCTAATATGTACACTAAGTAACATATTTATATGAAGTTAAGTTGTCTGTGTAAGATTTTTGGTTATATATCGTGAATGACCTTAAAAGTACACTACAATTTCGTTCTAGCTTAAACTAAAGTTTAATTGCGACACTGATAACATTTACTTAGAAACAATGCTGCCCCAACTATATATAAAGGGAAGTTTTTCTGGATCTCTTGAACGTCTATCAAATATCATGAAATCGTTGATTGACTGATTGACTGATTAATACATTGACTGATTGCTTGATTGACTGATAGATTAATGAATTAATTATTAATTATAACTGTAAGAAATTAAAACAAATATCTGTTTTGTTTTTTTTTCCAGGTGGACTTCTTCAAAGCTTTGATGGAAACTCAAGGCCTTCAGTGCCAGAAATGGGACAAGGTGGTGGTGCAGAGCCCTTTCAAATGAATGGAATTAACGAAGGTTTGTTTCTCCTTTTTAATCAGCTATTAAATTGTAATGATGGTAATGGTGATGATGAGGAGAAGGAGGAGAAGGATGAAAGTGAGGATGAGGATGAAAATTAGTTTAATGATGAAGGTGGTGGTGATGGTAGTGGTGGTGGTGGTGGCGGCGATAGTAGTGGGGGTGGTGGTATTGGTGGTGGGTGGTGGTTTTGGTGGTGGTGATGTTTTCCACAGATAAAAAAAAACTTTGCTAATGAACGATAACTTTGCTTCCCACAGAGCAGTTGGCTGGTTTTAATCCATCAAGTATGGCATTTGGAGAACAGCCAAGGCCGTCGCCTATGTTTTCCGAAGAGGGCCGCACATCTCAGCGGCAAGCCGGACTGTTCTCAATGGGGCCCCAAAAAGAGATGGCTTCGTTCTTCGATCAGTTACCTACAGGTGGTGGAATTATTGAATCAAACAATGTAAGCAAATTTCACTGTAAGTGCTCATTAACGTCTCCCAACATTTTATGATATGTGCGCATGTATGAAGGGATTTGCTTGCATATAGCCAAGAATGGCGTTCAAGCCAATTCTACATCAGATGAATGTTATCACGTCGTAAAAATTGATTTCAACATCTGTGAGACTGACAAAAGGGCCATGCGGATGCTAATGATGAGATAACCGCAACATTTGAGTTTTTCCTCTTTTATGTCTTCCACATTTCCCTTTCAGTTTAACATGCAATCAGGTCTGACAGCATTGAAAAAGTCTTCAGTTCCAACCAAGAAACACGAGAAAGGGAAAAACGTGAAATAAGAAGATAGCTTGCTCTATTGTAAGGTGAATTCTATAGCGCTATGGTTACATTTGTAAAAAAAATACTTAATCGCGGTTTTAGTTCTAGAGTTTAAGCCGGTATGAGTTTTACTAGCTCTTGGATGTAGTACTAAAGCAAACTCGACCTAAAGTAGAACTTTTTTGATTCGCGTCAGACTTTCAAATTCTTTCCGAAATTTTCATCATTTTCATTCATCGTTTTGACAGCCATCTCAGAAGCCTACTAATAGTATAACTGCTGCCGCCCCTACCGTCAAATATTGGCAGTATTACCAAGGCACGAGAGTAGCTGGAAAACGAGAAACTAACTGACTCCCTAAATAAGCTGCGAAGACCGTCTGTCTAGAAGTCAAGAGCCAAGAGAATGCTTGAAATTTATTTTCCACACGGTTCTTACAGAGAATAGTGATAAGAACTGAGTGAATGCATGAACATGCTATTTTGAATTTCGGCTCCGGTGAGCACTCTTGCATCAGCTGTTGTATAACTTGGCTTAGGGGGAAAACAACTTTGAAGAAACTGTCCTCCCGTAGCCGTAGAAAATAGTAGAGACCCTGAAGAACTAAATGCACACCCACTTAAAAAATCCTGTGATTTTAACTCTGATACATGCTAATAATATTCCCCGGATTTTGTTTTACACAGTAGGAAACCTAATCGAGTATTATATACCTTCGTTTCCATTAAAGGGGCGTGTTTGAAGCGAACATCCAACCTGCTGGCTACAGGAGGAACTGAAGCAATCTCACAAGAATGACAACAAAGTTTGTTCAAATGAAGATATGCGCCCCAAGGAAGGCCAAGTTAAACTAAATCAATTGCTGAGTTAAACTTCCAGACCATAAGAACTACATGAAAAAATAATAAAAGTTTCGATCGATTACAAGCAGAGTATATTTGCGCGTCTAATTCAAGGCTACCGTTATAAAAGTTTTCAATGAACATAAGAAGCTCCTGACTCGGTTTGAAATTTTTATTTATTTCAATTCTTTTATATTAAGAAAACTCAAATGAACAGATGTTCTTGTAAGAAAACAATAAAGAATGGTTTCTGTGTATGGACATTCTCAATTAAGTTGTTGTGTTAAAAATACTTGTAAAAATTTTAAAACAAGTGTTTTCCGTGATTTCCTGTACCTATAGTCTTTAATTCACCGTTGTGCGCCTTCGTGACGTAATACAAATGATCTTAAAGAAACCGAACAAAAAGCTGCCGTAATCCCACCTAATAACTAACAATAGTCCTCGCACGAAAAGACGACACAGCTTAGAATAGGTTGTTGTGCTATCAACAGCCACTTAATTACATCTCTCGCCTCGGCTGGATGACAAATGGTGAGCTTCAAAAACAACTGCTTTTCGCTGTAAGATCACCAAAATGGACGACATTCGTTTGACCATTGAAAATGGACACGCAACAGATCGGACGCATAATGACCAAGTTAGATAGACGTTAGGGATGGTAGACTCCAAAAAAGGAAAACTGATGATGATGATAATGATGATGATGATGATGATGATGATGATGATGATGATGATGAAGATTATGATGACATTGAACTCATCCCCAGGACCCCAAGGGTCATCGGCTGGTCCGTGAGAGGAAGAAACGTTATAAAAGGAAATAACAATCTGAAGCGACATGGAAGACCTTCTCAAAGGCAAGGCCCATTTTCTGCAGCGAGGCCGATAACTGCAGAATATACAGTATCTTGATATCGTGCGAACTTTATTACAGTGCGCATTGCACCCTAGGCGCCTTAGGAAATGGAATGTCTTGAGAGGGTTGGCAGAAGGGCGGGCGTAAAAATCCCGGATGTTGAGGAAAAATTAACTTGCTTCTGATCAATTTCTTTCTTGACCAATCAGGTCAATAAATAGAGTTAAATACCATCAACTGACGTGACACAACTCACTTTGACTCGGAAGATGACTACCGCACAGGTTGTCGAAACGTCAGTCACTGTTAAAAATAACAGTCTTATTCAGGATTACGTTCATCGGGACGATCATACTCAACCTTCTTATGATCAATTTCTTATCGACCAAAATTTAGCTTGATACCGACAACTTTTTATTAACCAGGATAATAACAATTAAAAAGCAATTGATCCCTCTATTTCTAAACTTTTGTGTTCACATATTTCTTGCATCTTGTGTGTTATAGGACTTATAGGGATCTGTTTTCTTTCACCTAATTTTCATTCAGCTCTTTAATTATTTATACTAAGCAAAGAGCACGTATTGGGTGGGGAGAGGGTACAAAGGTTCGTTGTCGTTGTTAAACGTCAACATGGAGCCGATATGCGGGCTTTCCACAAGTTGCTCGATATTTTCCAAAAAGTTTCCATTAATTTCTCAAAACGTTTCTCAAAAATTGTTTAAAAAAGAGTCAAAAGTTGCTTTTTGTAACGAAAGTTGCTCAAACGTTGCTCGAAAAAACAAAAACTTTTCTTGGTGCTTTTCTTGGTGCTCTTCCTATATTTGATTTGATGGTAAAATATGCAAATTTTACAACAAGTTTAAGATTTCTAAGTATTTTTGTGCAAGTAAAGACTACGCATCAATATTAATATTAACCTTGTGAAAATTTTAGTATGTGCCAATAAAATTGTTGAATTACCTTCTGCGTCCACCATTTTGAATCTTCTTTGAAAACCCGTCATTTCACAGTATAGTACAATAAAAAACAGTTAGGCCTACAACGTAGCTTCACCTTTAATCAAGGAACCAGAAAAAGATTTTGCACTCTAAAGGGTTTGGGGGGAGGAGGCTTTGGAAATTTGTGCGTACCTCTAGAAAAATGCTGGTAACGCCCCCGAAAGCTGCTTCGATATCTCAGAATTAGTAGAAAATTAGAAATATCTCAGAATGCTAAAAGTTGCTCGAAATATGAGAAGTTGCCATAAAGTTGCCGAGCAACTTGAGGAAAGCCCTAGATTTGACCTCAGAAGCCGTCCCAAAATAGCCTGCGCCGCAGACGAAACTAAATTCTGGTTAACTCCGTCTTCGCAGCTCCGAAATCCTTGTTTTGGGCCGCCAACTGTGTACCAAGATTTGAGTGCGCGCCATGATAATTGACCTGTTCCGAAAATACCATTGTCGATTTGCCAATCAAGATGAAACGAAATTCGAAACGCTCTTCTGACGATTCGATGAGTCCGCTGGGGTCCCAGAACAAGGACTACTTCGCAGGCTTTAGTTACTGAGGATCCAAAAAGTTCGGAATAGCTCCGTGCGAAGCCTGGAACTAGTATACTAACAATGCATGCTAATCTATGTTAATGTATGCAAGGGTCAGCGTCCTTCAAGAAGGACCACCCCTGTGAAATTCGCAGCATCTCGAGCCAATATTTTGCTCTTTCCTTGGGAGAAAGATGGCAACAGAAGGGAAAGTTAGTAAAGTCTTGAAGTATGTGCTCTTTGCCTTCAACCTGTTGTACTGGGTAAGTCGAGGAAATGGTGCCGAATGTTTACAATGTATAAGCTTATTTTGGAGGTAGATGAATAACGTAATTTAGCTGGAATTCAATTGAAATTTTCCCATTTTCCTCACATGCGCAATTGTCAACAGTTTTCTCCCTCAAGGTTCCTTGAAGCTATCGAGAAGAAATGAAAATGTTTCAGTTGCGTTTATCTCTTGAAGAAACCATTTCAATGTCTGTAATCGGATTTGCGGGGTCGAAACAATTATTTACTAGGCACTTCAAATTCAAACCTCACTCGCGCTTCAATTAATTCCTTCTTATCACATTTTTCCTTTGCTATCATCAGGTGTTTTGTGTTTTATGTTCACACCAGGCGAATGATAAACTTGTGAGCTTGCATGTTCATTGTTATTTTAGATGATAATACCTTGTTACATGTTTTGTGGTTTTGGGAAGCAGATTTGATTCCCATGTTAATATTCTACTTGTGCGAGCTTATTATTATTTTTCTTCGGTCTGTTTTAGTTTAAATAAGCTCTTAACAAACTCGTGCTACCCGAGATAAGCTGACCTCTTACTTTACATTTTGTAGAATTTTTCAGTTCTTAATCTACTTCTACGGTTTGATTTTAGCATGTTTAGACCTATGGCATATTATGTTCAATATTGAGGACAATACATTCTATATGTCAAGTTCTAAAAATGCCTTTCACATTACCTGTTCACCTAACTTCTGGGTTATTTTGGATCATTTTGGGCCATTGAAACTGTAATATGGCAGTCTCTTCTTGACATTAATTTTCTTGGAGGAAAGAAAATTTAAAATGCTTTTTATCAATACTTTCCTCTTGTATAAATTATTGTACTGTAGTGCCATCTCTGTTGATTGATAATGGTATTACAGTGAGATACAGTTTATGAAGACTGTGGTAGAACTCAATTTATAAAATAACTATGATAGTACATGCTTTTTCTATTGCGTAAACACAAACCTCATTTCAAATATATTTTGGTCTCTTGGCAATTTTTTATTATGGGTTTCCATTGACCCTTTAAATCCCAAAGGTAACCAACATTAATTTTCTTCTAAGAATATCAATACATAACAAACACTCAAAAAAAGCTCCATCAAGTAGTGCAGGACAAAACGATTTCCTTGCTGGGCAAGTAACTTTTAAAGCCACTTGACCAGTGGGCAAGGATCTAGGCAAGTCATCCTCTAATAAAATCATTAACTAAGATGATCAAGAAGTGGCCTTGGGCAAGCAAAATGTGAGAGCTGCTTGCCCAAAGGACAAGCTGGAATTCAAGATTTTTTTTTTTCAAGCCCTGGTAAAAAATAAGGGTAGCACAGCGTGCAAAGAAAGTAGTGTCTGATAGCCCGGGGCTAGTGGATTTTGTTTTGGGGCTAGTGAATTCTGTTCTTAACTTGCCCAACAGGCAAGTGATGTTTTTTGAGGAACTCGAATAAAAGAAGAACTGTGAAATCAATTCTGCTCTTCAAAAAGCTTTTGGGGCTAGTTGAAATGACGTCTGGGCTAGTAAATGTTAGCTTCAGCTTGCCCAAATGGCAAGCTGTAAGAATGATTTTCTTTGCACCCTGTAGCATGAGAATTAATGAAGTGATCACGTAAGGAAAAATGTTTCATCTTTTAACAAATTCTCTCAACTATTTTTTTAAGGAAATGTATGGAGATAAGTCTGGAGAAATTGTATGTGGATTTTGAGGCTAAGAGGTTAAAGAGTACATGATGCACATGTTATTCACTAAGTTAAAAGTAAATTTTTTTGTCTTTCCTTCTGTGAACCTTAGGGCATTGGTGGTGTCATGATGGGAGTTGGTCTGTGGGCAGTCACTCAAAAGAGTGAATACAGCGAGTTCTCCAGCATCTCAACAGACCCTGCAGCAGTGATGATTGCTGTTGGGGCTTTTATCTTCATTGTTTCATTTTTTGGAACAGTGGGTGCTCTCAGGGAGAATATCTGTTTTCTTAAAACTGTAAGTATAGGGAAACTTTTCTTAAAACAAACAAACAGGTACAAGATTGTGTTTCAAAGTAAGTTTGTTGCCACTGGTCCCCTGGTCCGGGGAGACATCTGCACCTCAGTGACAGAATTGTCCATGCTGATGACGTAAATCAATGTTTACATAATAAATACAGTAGTCTTGGGATTCCAAATGTACATGTAAATTTGTTCAATTTTAGGTTTCTTATAGTCAGTTTTGGTAAAGTTTTGTGTTCTTCTGCGAAGGAGCTCCAGCAAAACTCATGCTTCTTCTAAAGAAGAACAACATTCACCATGAATAGTGATTGTTTTGTATTTAGATTCACCTTGCTTACATTTCATCGTTGTGGCCTTTTGTCTCTCATTTATAAACAATTTGCTAAACAAGATAACCACTACCTCAATTAATCATAGCTCCTGACCAGATTCCAGACAGATTTAACATCATCAGTATGAAATTTCTATCATTGAGGCACAGACGTCTCTCCTATGAAACATCCCTAGAAGCAAAAAGCAAGGAGAGATAGCTGTTTTTGCAGGCTATGTTGAGCCCTGTGTTCACATTGGCGTCAGCTTAGGATCCCTCCCAAAGTTGTGTGGAACAAGTCTTTCAATTTAGATACAAATGACTAGAGATCAATCAGTAAGTCTATGAGGCAAGTATATGAAAAATCTACCACCACCACGTTAACAACAATTTTTATTGTTTTCTCGGGCCCTGTTCTTTTCTTAAAACCTTCAGTTCAGGTATTATACTACCCATCCTTGATTGTTCAATACTGAGTTACTTTTGATCTGGAGACTGAGATTGACTTTCACAAGTATAAAACTTTTCCGCAATGTGAACTATCAGTGTGCAAAGAAAGTCGTGTCCAATAGCCCAGGGCTAGTGGATTTTGCTATCGGGCTAGTGATTTTTGTTCTTAACTTGCCCAACGGGCAAGTGCTGCTTTTTGGGGAAATTCAAATTACAGAAGGATTGTAATCAATCCTGCTGATCAAAAAGGGTTTTGGGGCTAGTTGAAATGACTTGTGGGTGAGTACATGCCAACTACAGCTTGCCCGATTGGCAGGCTGTAAAATTGACTTTCTTTGCACCCTGACAATGTTATTAACTCTGACATATTTTACTTTCCAGTATATGATTGTGATGATCATTATAGTCATTTTGGAAGTCATTGCAGGACTACTTGCTTTTGCCTTTTGGCCCGAGGTATTAAAAAGCAATATAAAAATATTTAAATATTATTAAATAAGTTTACTACAAAATGATCCACAGGTTTAAAAAGATTACATGTAGTTGTGCAATGTTGATTACCTCTTGTAATTAAAGAAGTGTATCTGTGATTGTCAGTGTACATGCAAGCAGATTCAAGGCTTATTTACAGCTGATGATCACATTCTGTTTTCATTACATAAATATATGGATATTCTCGCATGCTAGGAAGTCAATATAATTATATTTGCATAGTATTCTATGAACACTTTGTGCACTTTTGTAGAAACTTCACTGGCTTAAATATACTGTTTGTCAGAAAACATGATTTCAGGGGGAGGATAAAAGTAACTCCGATTTACATCAAACTACACTGTTATCCATTTTCTAATGATTATTGGACTGATTATATTTTTCTATGCATAACTTGTATCCTTTCCTTATCAGGTTCAAAAGTCTGTTGACAATCAGTTTAAAAAGGCCATTGAACAGTACAGGGACAACATTGATCTGCAAAATGCAATTGACTCTGTTCAAGAGAGTGTAAGTTATGAGGCAAAGGTTTCTTATTAATATTTACATTGTAGGACATCTCGGCCTTCGGCTCGGCTGAATACCACTTTATATCTCAACCTTGATTATTCCAGATA